ATATATTATTAAGGGGTAGTATAGATAGAAGTTATATATATTCTAGTCAACTAAGTCTAACTAAAATAGGCAAAATAAGCAAGTATAAAATATACAGTCTAATACCAAAGATATAGTGCTTTGACAAATAGTAAAACAAAACAAGACAGAAAGAAAACAGTGATGGAATTTGGTTGTTACCATCCCATTTCAAATTCTTAATATGCTTACTAAGTGACTAATTAGGAAAATAGTGGAGCAAGGTGAACAGAGCATTGACTGGAGTCACGTGAAACAGTGGAGCCAAGTGATGGGAGCTTTTGACCGACCTGACGCGGCCTGTGTTCTGAAATCTGAATTCCTGACCTCCCCCGGTTCCTGCATCTCTGGTACCCCACCTAAGCCACGAAACTCATTGCGAGAGTGTCAACATGACACTCTCCACTCCGGGTGCCAGAAGCCTCCTCAAAAGTCAAATATATCAATTACCAAGCACCACCAGCTGGACCCTGTCAAAAACATTCTCATTCCCCACTCTGCAGCTCATCCAGAACATCCACCGCCCATCACTTCGCAACGCCACACCACAAGCATGCATGAAGAAAAAGCTTCAATTCCCTGCTATATTGCTATCATCATCATCACCAGCCAGGAATCTTGACTCTAAACGTACTCCATCCATCCCCTTCAACCATAATGAAGCCGATGTAATCGAGAAGAACATGCTTGATGATGGCTTCCGGACATGGGGCCTTGTCATCTATAGATGCACCTACAAGAGCGACTCTGACTGGGAGGAGTTTATGCGTCGTTTTCTCTATCATGTTAGAGAAACATTCAACTATTACGACGGCCTTGATATGCTTGATTCATTCATGCCTACTGTTATGGACGACAAGACGCGGTTTGATGGTGTGACTCCATCTATTGTGCGTGATTATTTCAACCAATGGGCGCGTACTGCGTGTGAAACTGAGCAAGGGGTTCCATTTCATCGTGCCCAGTGGGCGAATACAGCACGGTATAGATTCTGTATCATGGTTGATGAGGAGGCGTTGCAGTCTGTTCTGGACATTCCACTTGAGGATGTGGATGATTATAATAACACTGGCTTTGTGATTCTGGTTAATGGCAGGTGGGAGCCAGAGCTCCTAAGTGAAGAGGAATTAGAGGGTTATACCAGTCCGCCGCCAGAGAATAATTTTGAGCCAGTGCAGGGGTGCACGCTGGAAGATGTGGGCTGGATGAAGGTGTGCTATGATCGGGCTCAGATAGTGGCCTCTGCTTTTATGCGCGATGGCCTTGACTGGGAGGCGCAGTATAGGCGTCCTCCTGAGATTACTTTCAACTTCTGATCTGACATTTTTCTATCTTGGGGCTGTTTTTGATACTGGATTGTTTGGTACGACTTTGCTAGTCATTTTAGTAATAAGATAATCAATTTTACTAGCTTAATAATCCTCTTTTTTTCATAGCTACTACATGATCTTTCACACACAAGTGCATTATCTTGAATCAGATGGGAATCATGAAGAAACACCAACACAAACAGCATATCCAATGCTGAGGGTCTCGCAGTCCGACCCAATAGCCGGATTCCACTCATAAAGCTGCGCAAAGGTAATGCCATACTCGTTCTCGATGGCTGCACACGAGTCCCCTCTGACAACAGTGTGGTACTCGTCGCAGTTTGCGGCGATTCCGGTCTGTGTTGGGCCGACGCTCGTCGTTGTTGTCGTTGTCGCCGGTCCCTTGACACAGTATGCATATCCAAGCCAGAGGTTTGTACAGGTGCTGCCAACTATTCATTTTATAGGTTAGCCTTGTATTTAATTCTTGTTATTCAGGGGGGGAATAGGGGAAGGGAGGGAACATACTGCTTGGGTTCCACTCATAGAGCTCTGCAAGGGTGACTCCGAATTCGGCCTCCATGGTCGAGCAGTCGTCTCCAGACTCAACGGTGAAGAACTCCTGGCATCCAGCAATAACCCCGGTTTGAGTTGGGGCTGCTGATGTCGTCGTGGTTGCAGAGGCAGTAGTAGTAGATGTTGCAGAGCCCACTCCAATGCAGACTGCGCGGCTATCGCTATCGTTGAGGTTTGCATAAAAAGCCGTGTCGCAATCGCCAGCGAGCCAGGGGTTCCACGCCACCAGTTCGGCTTCTGTGACGCTGGCGTCTGACTCGATATCTGCGCATTGATAGTCTAGAAATGTATTAGCATTTTCTTAGCTGTATACAGTCTTTTCTTCTTCTTCTTCTTCTTTTTTTTCTTTTTTTCTTTTTGGGACGTACCGCCATTCATGTAGCCATAGACCTGTGTGAAGCAATTGCAGTTCGACACTGTGGTGGACTCGGTGGCGTTAATTGGCAAACAGAATGAACCACTGTCACTGTCACTGCTGTTGCTGATTACTATTTTTTTATTTGTTAGATAAGCCATAGCAATATATAAAAGGGGGGTCATTATGAGAAGTGTCACTCACGGTAACTATTATCTACGACGGCACAGTAGCTGTAACCCGACTGCAAGGTACATGTGGTCATGTTAGAGTCGAGACTAGGGTTCCATGCTAGGAAGTTGTCGGTTGTGACATCGTATGCGTATGCGATAAACCTGCAGGAATTGAGGTTATCCGTGCTATTATCATAGTCTACATATGATTCGCAGTCCGTGAGGGTGTCCGGTGCGGTCGGGAGGTACGTTGGCGTGTAGACAAATCCCGGATCGCTGGTGGTAGTGGGAATCGACGTATCGACAGCGGGGAAGCTGGCCGTTGTCACAGTAAACAAGGGGGTTGTTACAGGATAGCCAGAGTAGGTGCTGATGTCTCCAACGGCGGCAATGCAGTAGGCCTCGCCAAGCTCGAGGTTTGTGCAGTTAGCATCGATCTCAGGGTTCAAGAAGTAGAAGTCTGTTAGAGAAATTGAGTTGGCGACGGATACAAGGCTGCAGGTGTCCCCTTCCACAACCTAGTATATGCTACTATTAGCTAGCTATATTGTATTATTTGAGGGAGTGCACTTACGGTATACCACATGCCACAATCTGTAGTAGATCCATTGAGAGCGTTCGTTGGTGCAGGCACTGCAGTGGTGATATTAGTTGGGTTTGGAGCTGTGGAGTTACCTGACATGCCCGTGGTGTGGTTGAGATAACCTCCAGGTGGGCTATACATTATATCAGCACTGTTATTTCATAGAGAGGAATAGTGAAGGAAGAATAGGTACGTACCCTAAATCCGTCCGACATGTCAGGTCGACCTGGGAGAAGGCCAGCATTGAGGGTGGGTTTGGTGGTGCGTTTGTCTCGCATCTTGGAAACAAGCAGTGGGTATAGACTCGGGGTCCCGCTCCATTAATTACACCAGATACACTTATTGATGTATGTGTAACACGTGCATCTACATATACTCCATGAGATATAAGTGTTAATATACTTGATTCCAGATGTCCACTGACGCATGTGATCTGAGATGCGCATGGCAGGGCCACCTTAGTACCATGCAATGTTTCCGTACGCCACGAGCCCATCTCCCATAAGCGCCTGTCCCAGGCGTGCAACCACAGATACAATATTCAGAACACAAAAAAACGCATAGCCTGGAAAGTATTATAGAATGCGATGGTTCACCTGTATGAAAGCCATTGTATTCAAGCGTCTGGCTGTAAGACCAAATCCCAGAAGCAAATACACCTTCTGGTGGAGTGGATTATCTCATTCATAACCATAGACAGGGTCGAGTGGTTCATAGTCGTGGCCTGGGGCGTAGTTTACGTCCGACTTTGGCAGTCGACCCCACATGACCCCATACTTCCTTGCCCCCACATCTCTGCCGCGTCCCGCAGGTCAGATCCTTCCGGGAACTGCGGTGCCGAAGAACCTACTACCAATCTGGTTATCAATAGGCGCAGAGCTCACCTTTAGGGTTTAGACTCCTAGGCTCGCCGAAGGGTCGTAACGCCCCACCATGTTTCATCACTAGGCCGATCTTTTTCCCTCCTGTTGATTTTAAAAAGCTTGACTTCCCCCTCCTAACCCACTTCAGGGAGGGATGTTAGGTGGTTGCAGAATATGTGATTCTGCCCGCCTATACTCTGTACTCTGGGCTTATAGGCATTCTAACCAACCCAGACTATAAAATCAGATCTGACAGGACTTTAGGAAATTTCTGGGTAGATGGAAAGCATCGGTTCCCCCCTTTAATGCATTGGTCCTGTTTTGTTCCAAGTATTTTGCCTTGGGGAAGTGGGCTAGATCAATGGGAGTAAGCACTAAGCAGTAATATGACATAACACGAGAACCCGTTTCGCTTGGCAATCTCACTTCTCTGTGTCCCAAAGCAAATCGACTATATGATATCAAAGGCTTCCTTGCTGGATCAGACGGATATGATATTCCGGATCCTAAAAGGAATAAGGCCTCTGAGTCTGGTTGTTGAAAGATCGGGCCAGCGAGGATCCTGTCTGCCGCCGACATGACTCGGGATATAGTCTATAAATATTCGTGCACAACAGCATAATATCTAATCCCTGAGGATCCAGATCCTACAGGAGCTAGTTGCAGAAGCCTACGCCATTTTAGAGGTGATGGAATCGCATCGTCTCTCTGAGAAGTCTCCATAGTAGCGGCATCATCACGGCCCCCAAATTCCATTGGCTGCCATGAAGAAAGCATGGGCTGAACTGTTGGACGGCGGACATTGTGCAATTTTGCCATACCTGAGATTCTAACCATCCTGCGTAGGTCTAGAATGGGGCATATCTTGACTTTCTGGTGGATTCGTCGCAGTACGGGCCGTTAACTGCAGCCATCCACACTGTGCCAAACACAAAATTCAAAATTAGTGGCATCAAAGTCAAAAAGGTTAAAACAACTGTCAATAGCAGTAGTCTTTGTGGATGCCGGGGAAGCTTGCTCTGCACAAACAAATGGTGAAGTTATCATTGGCATCAACTCTCGGCCCTAACGCCGACAGGTACAGTCCTCGTCCATGCTCGGGCCGAATATGACATGGTCCCCCCGAGAGTGACGATCTGCGTTGCTCTTCGACATGCACAGAAGCAGCTCCCCAGGGAAAATACCGGGGTTGATGAGATATAAAGGACATCCTCCAGCCGTCGGATACAGGGCCAAGCGACGATACAACTCAGTTGACCGTGTAGAAGAGATATCAGACCAGGATGAGTCCTCCGATTGTCAACTTTCCCAGCCTTCAACCAGCCATTGTTTGGAAGGTCAATTCACCTAGTTGGTATGTTGCAGAATTCCCCGGGTGAAGATTGCCTCTACTGACTGTTGATTGTTCCTGAGTTTAGGACCCCGTGAGAGTGGCTTGACTCTAATACATTTTGTAAGAGACTCTTGGTGGAGTATGTTGTGCTGCAAGAGTGACTGACAGAGGCCAGGAAACTCCCACTGGCATGATTGAAACCGTGGAGGGCTTTGAGCCCCAATTCATGGGCAAGGTTGAATTCGGCGCCGACTGGCTCGAAAGGCAAGAAGATCAGTTTTGGATACACGGGAGTCATCTTCTGCAGAGTGAAAGACGAAAGTATTGTAACGATAAAAGACCCGTCGTGCCTCGTGATCAACTTGACGGCTCACTGCCAGAAGGGCTAGGGGGTTCCCTGGGGGATTATGCTGGAGCCAAACCCCTTTAACCGGATCAACCACAGTCTTCTGGATGGGTTCCCAGAATGATCCTTTTAAAACAAAGAGTAGCTTTGTATATCATTTCTCGTAGTTCTGGTGGTGTACTCGCCGTCTATATGTCAGCGAAAGCGTTCCATACTGAAACAAAGTCCGGGAGATTTACTAACCGATCGGGAGACAGAGAAATGGAAATGCGCCTGCAGGTCTCCATATCTTGTAGGGCTCCGGGTCAAACGGAGGCTGCTGCTTCTTACGATCACCATAGTGCTGCCGATAAATGGCATGCTCCATGAATTTCCGTCAATTGGTATTGACATTTGAGCAGGATGGAAGCCTATAAGAATTTCCTCTGCGGAAAAGTGTGCCTTCATGATGCTGAGGTTCTGAGTACCAGTCAAAAGTCTGGATCTCGGCTTTCCCGGCTAGGCAGATATAGCTGCCTAGTGGCTTGCCCATGTTCGGATCCTCTGAATGAATTAATATTATGCCTGTCCTACGCATAAGCTGTAAAGTATAGAGGGAAAGGACCTAGCACTAGTCCCCATTAAATTCACTGTCAAAGGTCAAATCTAACCACTAACACAACTAAGAACTGAGCTGTAATGGCATAAACAGCGAGCTTTTCGAACTCTTCTCCTAACTCAGCACTGTTTCTTCACATATATCGTCATGCACGTAAAGTTATCATCATGATCATCGGGGAACGGGAACGTATCATAGCATGTTCGTATCATCTCTCTGACGCGTGGAGAGTCTGGATCGGTGCTGTTGCCAACATTAACTAACCAAGGTCACCACAGACGCGAAGAACACGTACCAGGGGCATTTTGGATCTTCGCTTTGGACAGTACACCAGATGAGAACGAGTGGTCGGACAATGTCCGCAACAATCTGCTTGACACAAATGTTGGGGGCGCAGGAGAACACGAGAGAGGCATCGTCCATCTCTAGGAAGCCTTCCGGATCCTCCAGGACCTTCATATCCGATTTCTCAAGGAGCAGCCTATCCGTCTTAGAATATCCCGGGTCCTGAACGTAGCAGGTGACCTCCCCGTTGCCCAAGTTGCTTTCCTGCAGAAATCTCTTCAACGTCAAGAGGAATGCATGTTGAACTGCCGATCTTCTGGATCCTCGGGAATCTAATGCCGTGGTGAAAGTCCCGCATGCCATACCTATCACCTTGGCGATCTTGGAATTGAGGTTCAACGACGAGAGTGTGGACTTGATCTCCCTCCATGCTTCGCTCCCTTCCCAGTCTCGCAGGGTAGTGTGCAGGAATTCCAGTCCTGAATCAAGCTTTCCCAGGGGCTCAGGCTCTTGGTCGACGCGGGTCATCCAGTGTCTGATTCCGACGCTGCAATACGCCCGTGACAGACTGTATTCCAGCATCTGTTTGAGCCCTTCAAACGAGCGATAATAAATGTGCGGGGTGGTCCTTGAAACATATCGTCGAATTAGCCAAGACTTGTTCCTTTTTTGCGTACAAACAGATGTCCAATCTCACAGCACCCATTCCACAGACTTATCCTCTCCATTGTCACCGTTGCGCTCGTGCATCGTCTTGGTGTCGCCGGTCCTGACTGGGTATTCGTAGACCGACCCATCGAACGCTTTCACGTAAATGGAGTCGCCCTTGGTGAGGGGCTTCTGCAGCTGGTCGTACACGTCCTGGAGGGTATCGCGGGGAAAGAGCAGTTGTCCGGCTTGATACCACTCGTCGATGTTGGCTGCGGCTTCGGATTCAGAAGTGGGTTTCCACTCGTCGGCGTCTTTTCCATCGCGACGGGGGCGATCGATCCAGGAGTGCATGTTGAATGTTGCAACGGGCTGAGTGGAAGGGTTGGACACGTTGGAAGGAGTTGCTAAAGTTGCGTATTACCCCGCCTGCTGGCTTTTGTGCGGGGGGTATGAAATATATATGAGGGAACCTAGCTGAGTAGGCTGGCATGGAATACAGTATTTCTAAACAACCTAAGCAACAGTCACTTGGGATGAGGGTATAGGAAGGATCCCTTTAAGAGAAGCTCTAGAACACAAACTTTCCAGGTTCTTCAGTTGAACGGCCATGCTCGATCTAGTTCACGCTCTTCTTTATTATTTCGCGCGTACTTCCGTATGAATTTCTCCTTCACCCTAGGTATGATCTCTCTAGCCTTGGCAAATTGCTCATGGCTTACCACTCCCTGTGCCCGAAAATATTGCTCGCCGATCATTTGCTGCGCCTCTTGCATCAGCATGATGGAGGTTGTTGCACCTGTACTGTCCTTTTCAATTTCTTCAAGCATGTCCTTCGAGAAGGACAATGGAGGTCCTTCGTTGCACTGGGAGATTTTCGGAATGCCAACCCAGTTTTCCTGCTGTTGATTCGCCAATAGCTCTAAATATGTTGCTTCCCCATCAACAAGAAGGTTCCGAGCAAATAGAAGTAAATGAAAGCACAGCGTCTGGCGATATTCCAGAGCCTTGAACAGACGCATGCTTTTCTTGCGCACAAAGTACCTGTACAGAGCGACTAGCGACATCTTGGTGAACAGAGAGTTAGCCTTGCGGCTTGCCACTGGCTCAGGTTCATCCTGGAAAAGTGGGCGAATGTCCTCAAGTCTCGGCCGTTCCAATAATCCACCCAAGGATGGACCATCGTAATCAAGAAAATAGGGTTCGAGCGTATGGTCATACAAAGGCGCCAACTCAGTCGATTGCCAGTCAATAAAACCGTAGATCTCCGAGGGATTATCTGGATTGACGAATATATTTTCTGTATGTAAATCGTTGTGCCAGATGTGGGACATTCGGATGGATTCATCGTCCGGCATTAAGAACTTCACCAGTTTCAGGTAGCTCTCGGCCGCGAGGAGTTTCTTTTCCCTTGACGGTTGGTACGTCCCAGAATAATAGATTGCAATGGGAGATCTTGGAAGTTGTGGTATGTTTCTGATGCAATATGATTCTCGGAGACCGGTAGCCCGTTCATAGTCTTCCGCGGTATGCCCTGTAGGAAGTGAGATTTAGAAATCACTGGGGATGCCATGATACCTACATGGACCTCGATCAAAATGCAACTCGGCCCTTCCGTCATCGGTGTTTTGTCTACTCATTGACGGACCGACTGCAAACCGGTCATCCACAACATCCTGGCCGTTTGTGTCGGTATATTGAACACTCGGGGCGGAATGCGCAAGATCTTGTTTGTAGTATAGGCTCCCATATTGAGAAAAACGAGTCTGCGCCCAGCTGTCTTGGTATAGGGCAACTTTCTTCAGTACCTCTAACTTCACTTCCACATTGAGCCGATCCCATATCTGACTCAGTTGCACGCCGCGCACATTCTCCATCAGGATATACTCCGCCCCGACAGCATTATCGGTCGTAGAACTCCAGGAGAAGACCTTTGGCGCAGGTGTCCCAAGTACGTTTCTCATCTAGATAGGCTCAGTATTTCCTGAAGGATCAATACCAGGTGCGAAGAAGTCATACAAAATCCATCGTAGCGACCTCGGAGGCAGTTGTGAAATGCGGCAAACCGGCATTCGGATTAGGGACTTTACCCACTGCCTGGAAGCCATCATCCATTGTAAAGCGTACAGCTTTACTGTGCATCCCATCGGCCAATTTTTCGATGTTCACACATCTTCGAGATCGGTTACTGACAGCTTCGGCCACACGGACGGCTAGATTGGCGAGTTCATCTATGTTGAACTGAATATATCTCTGCGAAAGCTGACAAGGCTCGTCACAGAGAAACCGACCGCGAGTGAAACGGAAAAAACGTTCATTGTCTTCTTCATGCCTCAGCAAAATCTCCCCAGCTCTTTTTTGGGTGTTATATGTGGTTGACATCAGTCGAGCAGATCTAAAACGCAAACTGGATGGATGAACCATCAGCAAAGTCATATAACTACATCATCTGAGATGCATACCGAAACATTGGGATTCAGTTTGATGGTAGAAAGTTATGAGACTCGACAGAAATGAGACTGATTTGTTAATGCTCAGCTGAAGCAAAGGTCGTTGCACAAGTAGGGGAAGTTAGTTAAAGGCAGAAAAATAAACCCCCAAGCTACCTTAATGTGACGCCTTTTGCACTCTGCACATCCTCTCCTAGACTTGTTGTGCACTTTTCTTAGCAGCCCCATATGCTTTCAATCTGGCAATGGAAGAAGTCGTCGGGATTAAAGAGGTGTAAAGGATGTAGTTTGTTTGTTTAAGAATGAGCGAGGATGTTCGTGTAGGTGGGAAAAAAGGTTCTACAAAAAGTTCGGCCATGATGGATTTAGGCTAGGCCAATATGTCATTGATTTCGCGATCATATAACTTATGTGATTGGCAGAAGCCTTCAGCTAGGTGCTGACTGATTGTCATTTGTCCATCAGTCAGACAAGCCGCTGGCCGTTCACTCTTAACGGCATTCCAACAGGCGAGCAGTCATTCATGTCTCATTACCAAAACCAGGAAATTGTCATAGTGATGAACACGGAGCAAAAACCTTCCTCCTGGACTTATTTTACTAGCGTTGATATCGCCTAGTCAGTCACATTGCTCCCCTTCAATAACGAAAAGCTTGTTCATTTGGCGATTAGATATAAGGTCTGAAGTATGCTGTATCTGCCGTCTCTCCTTCACCAGAGTTACAAAGTTTGAAGGCTGACGCAAGAGTCATTGGGCAACTTTTGTCCCACCAAAATATTTCCTGGGTGATAGACGTGGAAGATTGCCTGCACAATGAACATGGGGATTGCATCAAACATATACATGAAGACCTCGTGCAAATAAACATAACTGTCTGCACCACCGATATATTCAATGATTCGAAAGATGCAGCGCACAATGATTAGCATCGACACGAGAAACAGGATGTGGAGTAGACGACGCCATGATCCCTCGATCAGACCTAATCCTGAACGATGCACTCGGACCGAAAAATTGACAGAAACATACAAGAAAAATCCGAAGAAGACGAGTTGAACGAATAGGCCGACAAGCAGGATCTTCTGACCGAGAGTGCGCATGCTGTCGATGGTCTGCATGCCGCCACCGCTCAGTTGCAGCAGGAAGGCCGTTGTGTCGCCCATCACAAAGATTTTCGTTATCTTGCGCGGCGCGACGATGGAGAATTGTGGTTTTCCGACGAACATGACGATCCGGCTGTAAATCATGTAAATTGTAGCAGCATAAAGGGATGGCGGCAGAATGATGAACATCGACTGGCATATGTAGGCTGCAAGGTTATTCTGATCGCGTGATGAGATCAACCTGAAAATGTAGCCGAGCGTCATCACTGAAGTGGGATTCAGTATGTGTCTCGAACTCTTCAACTAAACAAAATGGAACACCCACTGAAAGCGCCGACAAGGAAGGCAATGAAGAACCATGACCTCAACTTGATGAGTTGCCAAAGGTGATAGAAGGCACTTCCTCCAAATAACAGCATCGCAATAGTTGCTCCCGCCTTGCTCGGTCCATACGGATAGTATCCATTACGGCCCATTGTCGTACTTCGAAGGCTTGATGGCGCATCAACAACTAAGATAGTGTGAAGGATGCAAGAATGACCGTAAACTAGGGTCGAGCTCAAGTTCCGACGTGATGGTCCAAGATACTGCTTGCGAGAGGCTGAGGCAAAGAAAAGTAACACTAGAGTGAAGGGTAAATGCAGATTATGAGTGAGGAACACTAGAAAGGTCCTCCTTTATATTGCAGCAGCTATAGTTATACTCCCTCTTCGACCCGGTAAGAAAAGAGAGCTTCCCTTTACGGCAATCTTCGTTGCTGTCTGATCCACAGCACTGCCACTTTTCATCCTTTCTTCTCCATTGCCTAAATAAAACTCTGCTTCACGGGGCAAAATAGGAACATAAGGCCGCCGTGTAATCCTAGAGCTATCTTTATCGGCTTCTAGGATCCTTGTGTTGGAAGCAAGTAATGGTCCGAGAACATCAAAAGGCGCTTAGTCTTGAATTTAGATCGTTTAGAAGTGTGATAGGAGTGGGACCAAAATCCTGTGCAATCTTATAGAAGGATTTTACGCGGACAGAAAGGCATATGATTGGGTGGACTACACAATATCCGCGTATATTCCCAACTGCCTTGCTTAAGCCGGATATCAATCCATAGTGGGCCAATATTATGATCTCTGTGTAATGGCCTGGCTGAGCCTAGTAGATAGGTGCTTTGAATACTTCTAGTATTGACTCAGATACGGCCAATCTTTGTTGCCTGCTTGTACGTCGATGTGCTCTATATATAGGAACCCTTCGGTGGTCAATGTTGATGGATTGCTTATGTAGGGCTAGAGCAAGAGTTAGACCTAAAAGACTAGTGTTAATGATAGCAACCTGTCAAAGTATAGGAGTTACTGAAATACTATTACCCCGAAAGAGTGACTGTCATGATGTTATTTTAGTACAGTGGTATAAGTTCTCGGATACAGCCCTCTTGATAGTGGACATCGTGATGGTAATGATACACTGATATACTAAGAGTCTTAGTTATAGACAAGATATTTCTATAATGAGGAATAATCTTTTATGCTATTACCAGAAGATCTATTTAGTGGGATGCCTTATACTTATATATAACTTCCCATTGCTTAAACAGGTTCTTGAGGTAGTTCATGCAATATTAATACTAGGAGGATCTGGGGTGATCTCCACGCTTATGTCTAGCTACTAGAGGTCTATAAGCTAACACCTAGAAAGTATTTAATGTTAACTTGGTATGTGTAATGTTGTTCTACACACTTTTCTTAAGGCGAATTCCTGCAGCCTAAGCAGTTTAGTTTACCTGATGACTCTAACAGCCCCTATATCTTGCATAAACTAAAGCAATGATCTGTAACACAGTGCATGGTATGGTCGTCTATACTCCAGATATCAAAATACACATTCAGAAAGTCCCATAGACCCACCCCAAAGGGCCGTCGTCAAACAGATCAGCAGGCAAATTGCCAAACTCCGCAGCCAGTGCGGCTGTATCCGTGAGAAAATCCGGCAATAGCGGCTGAGTGGACGAGGACGGGAAAATAGGTTGCGATGTTTGGAGCTAGGATGAGTCAAACTTCGTTGCAAATGTCTTCCAGTGTAACATACTATCTGCGCATATTCGGCAAGATCAGGTGCAAGAGAGTGCTGTGCATGCGCTGCGAGGAGATGCTCCTGGCATGCCGACAGAGCCTTCAGCATTCCCTGCTCAATCAACTGTTTCTTAGACTCCATGGAGCCCCGCGCGCGTACCGACTGTAGCACGACTGCGAGCAGTAACACGTCTTTCATGTTGCTGCCAGGTTGACCAATGACGCGGGTCAAACCGTTGAGAGCGTTTTCCACAACTCGAGTCAGGCTCGCTTTGGTGTGAGATGCTGTCGTGGTGGGCAACTTTATGTAATGACACACGCTGAGTGCTGCCCATAGGATATCGTTCTTACAGAAGAGTTGGAAAACATCCCAGTACGCCGTGGGATTGAAATCGTCCTGGCCGGCGACCGTGGGGTCAAAATAGTGTTGGTATGCCAGGACAGCCAGTGACGACTCCAGACAGGCGGTTTGGATGTCAAGAAAGGGCTCTCCGTCGCAATATTTCTTAGCCTTGTGGATCGGTCGACACAGGCAGTGAAGGGCTCGACGTATATATAGGTCTAAAAGGATGCAATTTAGTAACAAGCCCGGTTTGTCATTACTGGTCGGCCCGGACTCCAGCTTCAGGCATGGTGGGATTTGTTGCAAAGACCTCTCTATGTCCCGATGAAGGTTGACGAATACCTGACATGGATCCAAATCGATACTGGCCTTCGGCACGAGCGACATCATCTGGATGCGTTGGCGCAATGAGCTGGCTAACGTGACCTGCATCAGGGTATCAGTCCATTCATGTAAGGGCTTTGCTGGAGGAAAGTCCGCTGTGAATTCATCATAATCAGCATCGTTCACATTGGTCGGCATGAGCGGACCGAAATCAAAATCAGGAATGGCGACAGGCATCCCGGACTCGATTGAAGCCTGGACGTCCATCTCCACGATAGTGATCCACAGTCGACGCCGGTTTTCCACCTGAAATGCTGAAAGGCCCTCTTTTCCTGATAGATTTAGATGCAGTCCCATCGCCATGGCAGACCGCACAAGCGTTCCCGTAGCTCGCCAGAGCTCTTCTGAGGATTCGTGCCGTAGTCTCCGAGCCAGGAGAACAAGGGTTTCCGTTTGAAGCGTGGCAAAGTCCGTCCGCTGTTTGCGACTGAGCTTCTGCAGCCAGGTGCGAACAATATCGACAGCAGACATCTGCAGGTAATCCCACGTTGATTCATGATTCTGTCTAAACTGTCGATCTTCCAACGGGTGTGCGATGCTCAGGACGGCAGTGAGCTGTGCCATAAACGCTGAGAACCGATCGCCATTTCGGTCTGGGTCCTCCCAGAACTCCGTATGTTGATGAAGAAACGTCGGCACATGGAGGATGCGTAGTGTCTTCTCAAAGTTGGTAGTGTACAGCTCAACTAACCGGTCACGCACGCCTCTAGGTGGGAGACTAGCCCACAACTGCTGCATTTCTGGGACACCATCTTCCATTCCGGATCCTGGTGAGTTTACTGACAGCTTCAACTGACTCTGCAGAAGCTGGACCTCCTTTGCCAGTCTGCAAATGTGTGGATCATTGGCGCACTGTCTGAGAAAGTCTTTCGCTTCGGGGAACTACAATGTGTGAATACAGTACAGATGGATTCGAGACTGTCATACCTGATTCAAAAAAGAAGTGCGATTGCTCTGGCCATGGTATCGGGTTCGCGTTCCCTTTACGACCAGAGTACCAAGGTACGACGGTGTACTTGCTGATGGTGCGATGCGAGCTACACCGGTTGCGCTGTCTTCTGGTATCAATCCATCTTTAACTGCACTCCAACTGGGCCGGGAATCAGGCCTGATAGAGATCAACTCTTCCACTCTGGCCAGCCGTTGCTGCAGGTCCTCGATGATACCCACGCCTGTGCTAGTCATCTAATGATTCTCGGAAGAATCCGCTTGATCCAAAGCGGCATCTGGACCCAGATGGATTCGCTTGGGCGCGGGCATGCTATTGGCATTCGAACTGCTGCCTGGTCTCTGGTAAAAAGCACAGCTGGAAGAACATCGCGCCTTGGAGCAGTTTTCGCACGGAATGACACGATCACATTTGAGTTTCTTCTGGCGACAGCGGATGCATGAGATGACGGGTCGGGGTCGCTTGCGGGGTTGGGTCCCGTCCCGGTCCAACCCAGGGGTCGGTATCGTCTGCATCTGCCCTGTATTTGGAGGCATGTCTGGGTATTTCCAGAATTCGGTTGGAGAAAAATCGAGGACACCATCACCGTGTCACTGTCACACTCATGAATCCTTGTCAAGACGCTCATGAGCCCAACTGACAGCCCTACGGCGGCCCTGCCACGCCCAGTGCGCAGTGGGGGCCGTGTTTGGTTTTAGCATCCATGAACCAAAGGGTCCATGTTCTGGTGATTGTTAAGTAGATAGGAGAGAATACTAAAATTTGTTCTAAGGATGTTGTTGTTAGCTAGCGGTTGCTTGGTATCATGCAATTTTCATTGTAGGGCTAGGATTCCCGACATATATAACGGTCTCTCTTGGATACACCGTTGCGCGAACTCGTGACTTTGTAGGTCCTAGACAATATGTCACTATCCAGATTGAGACACAAGAATTTCTACTATGTATAGACGCTGTAGTGTCTAAGACAGACATCCTTATTTAGAGTAAAGCTTCATGGGCTGATCTCAATGATGCAGAACCAATGATTTATGTGCCAGAGGTAAGAACATATTGGAAACTGCTTTACTGTTATAAATTTAGAAGTCACTAGTATCTTGCATACAAATGAAGGTCTGATTCTTCTCAGAGGATGGATCAACCTGCAGCTATCCAAATAGTACGATAGCAGGGGTCAGACCATCCGGTAAGAGAGAATTCGTAAGAGAGGGAGAGAATTTATATAAGGTCCAACGAGTCAAACCAAATGGGTCAGCGGTAAATCATATCAACGGAACATAGTCTACCTAATAACCGTCCTCACTGGCCTTAATTCGTGATGACTGGGGCCGAGTTGTCCCATTCATTGCTCTCTGCTGCATCAACCAGCCAGTGCGCCACACTGACACGGCTCGTGCTAGCCATCAGGGGCACACCCTTTCCGCTGTCCGGCCACACTCTGATCGTCTTCTCATCTGTCTCCACGAGCCGCGAAGGACGCACAAATACGTAGTCCACCCCGCTGGCCCGTACGATTCGCTCGGCCTCATTATGGTCATCGTACTGGTAGGACATGTTGGACCTTTTCATGAGCAGCTGCAGTATACAGTTCATGTTGAGCCACGAATCCCCAACACCGAAAGCTTGTAGGATGACTGTTTTGCGAACCCCGAACTCCTTCATTGCGGCCACGATGTTGGCGTTACAGTCGGCCATCAGGCGAGGTGGTGAGATGGGAGCGGCAAGTGGGCTGTCGCTTGCTCGAGGGGCGTTCAATGTGACGACCACCACGTCCGGTATATCAGCATTGAATGCGGCCTGGACGTCCTCGAGCTTGGCTGGCGTGCCCTGGATGACTCTCAAGCCGGATCGGGCATCACCGAGGGCACTCGGTTTGCGTGCCAGCGTGGTCACTGAGTGACCTAAGGGCAGTTAGCAAGGATAAGGTCACCCCGAAAGTGAAATCGAATGCCTACCTCGATTGAGAAGCTCATCAATGACAAGCTTGCCGCATCTTCCAGTACCACCAATGACAAGAACGCGCATGTTGCCTTGAGAATCTGTTGTGATATTTGTTCCGTTAAAGGCGATCAGGATCGGATCCCAAATGTCCACCATGTATGCAGCCCGTTATATACAGAAGCTATATGTACAGTCGCCGGAGATATCATCGGATCCGACCGGAGATGACCCTTATTCTGGCCATTCCCACGAAATCAGGCGAATACTATGGCGTGTTCTTTATATCATTCTCTTCCTAAAGTTGGCCTCTTCTACTTATTAGTAGGCCATTGCTGACTTATTAATTTGAGTTACTGGGATGTGATTTCTGAAAGAACAAGGACCATCTTTAGCCCTCTCTATATAATAGGTAGGGTTTAGGAGGCTGCTGCTCACTTGAAGCATTGCCACCGCCGAAGTCACTTCGAATTCTAATCAAAGAGCATCATTTGACTTCTTCTATATGACTATTGACCCCTATTTTTGAGGATCGATATTTATGTCTCGGGGAAATTGAAACCCCTGATTTGCAATGGAAGTTCATTCGGCGATATGCCTCTATCAAGAACTCATATCGCCGACTTGATGTTCTAGCTGAACAACAGCCATATCGGCGATATTGTCTGGTATTTTATATTGCGCTTGCTCGTCTCCGTAACTGTCCTTTGTTTATTGAACTTTGGTCATTCCCTGATATCCGTTGATGGAGATGATGCGAGCTCGATTATATACATCTATCCGACCACTGTGCTCTAGACTTGATTTTTCTAGGCGATGTGGAAATACTCCAGCGATCGATACATGCCCAAGACCAAAGGTGCTATCATTCCAGTTGCGAGCATCCTCAAGCTGGCAAAAGCACACAGCAACCAACCTCTCGGTTCCAACTTCGTTCAACTACAGTAAAGAAGAAAATGCCGGCAAGCTACACCATATACTGTGAGTGTATATCCTCCCATGCGACTGCAACATACTAACATCGCAGAACAACAACTGACTCCCTGATCAACTGGGCCCGCCAAGGCTCCCTCTGGCCGCTCGCCTTCGGGCTGGCCTGCTGCGGCGTCGAGATGATGGCCGCCTCAATGCCACGATATGACCAGGACCGACAGGGGATCATCTTCCGCGCCTCGCCGCGCCAAGCCGACGTCATGATCGTCGCTGGAACAGTGACCAACAAGATGGCACCAGCGTTGCGACAGTTGTACGATCAGATGCCCGATCCGAAGTGGGTGATTAGTATGGGAAGTTGTGCGAATGGGGGCGGGTATTATCATCATTCGTACAGTGTCGTCCGGGGTGTGGATCGGCTGGTCCCGGTGGATATCTATGTGCCTGGTTGTCCGCCGACGCCCGAGGCGCTTTTGTATGCTATTTTCCAGTTGCAGAGGAAGATCAGGGGTACAAGGGTCACGAGGATGTGGTATCGGAGATAAGGGTGTGTAATGAGGTGGCCAGTCTTCATAACAGGCATTCGATGAGGTACTTCATATTGGTTAAGCATTGCCCGCCTCGTCAAACGGGTTGCTGGATTGTCCAGAAATACTGTCAGTCAAGAGGCTCGAGAATGGAAAACACTCCATCATTACACCATAATCAGCCTCCTCTGTCAGGATTTGTGCCATGAACGACCCGCTAGGAATTTCGGAAACCTGGCTGCATTGCGGCTGCCTCCACAAAGCATGAGAAAGAGGTTCAGTCATGCTTGACGCCCCCAAGGAGCGATCGTGGGATGACTGAGGGCTGTGTCTCCCGTCATCGGGAATTTCACAGCTCATTTTGCGCAGTATTCGCGAGAACATAGAATAGTACCACGGGAGCGGAGGCCAACGATCTTCCAATGTCTTCAGGCAGAGCATGCAGAAGCGCGCTCTATGCTTTGAGATTTCAGCTCCATCGGGTGAATTTCCACTAATGTTCGCAATTTGGACGCTTAGAGAGGCGAATACAGCCGGTAGCCTATTGTCTGTCAGCCTCTTGCTGATAGGGTCTTGTAATCTTGTAGAGATGGACGGCGTACGTTCGTAGGGACGACACAGTAAGAACCTCAGAGGACATCATGTCCTCGAGAATCCGCACAATATTGACAGCAGCATCAGAAGGCAGGGACCCGATCCTCAGCCGATCTGGGTAATGGAAGCCGTTCCTATGTAGAAGGATTTGGCATGTGCTGTCACTCTTTGTTAGTGATCAGTCATCTAATTGCGGATTGACTGTACTTGTAAGACAGGTGGATCAGAGACGACCAATAGCCATTCTGCAAAGACATCGTGGAGTTGTTCCGCTGTAGGGCTCCGGGAAGGGCCGTTTGCCATGAAGAGAGTTTGTCAAGGCTGGTTTGTATTGTGGACTCATCCGAGCTGGCACCGAAGAGGGCCATGAGACACTGACTAGCTTGAAGAAGTTAGCATTGTTTGCGGATGACATTGGGATATATACTTCGCTTGGCCAAGTCCACAAGATACACAAGGTACAGACGACTTTCTTGAGTCCGAGTCCCGAACAGATGCGGATCATGCAAGTCGTCCTGGTTGTCCTCGTCGTCCTCAATATCTGCCTCAGACAACAAGGGCACGCTACAATATGCATCGTTGACGTGCGGAGTATTGCCCAATGTAAGGGCCATAAGGATATCTTGAGTCTACCATCCGGTCAGCTTAGTTTTGTCCGTCATGTCCACACATACATAGACGGTCCACCAAATACGTCTCCACAACTTCTGTTGCTTTTCCGGTAAGCCTGTATATGCCCGACTAGATTGGGCAATCAGTCTCCGCAAAGCCAGACCGAAATCGTGATGTCAACTCACCTCTGGTGCAAACCAAGAGCTTGTGCAAGGCCAACAGCAAGCCCCGTCCAGTGCCATGGATCCTTCTGTTCTAAAGGGCTACCCCACCAGTGGGAAAGAAGGTACAAGGCCTGAACTGTAGCAATAGCATCCGATTCATAGTTCGCATAGTACAAGCCTTTCGCTCTTTGATAGAATGTAAAGGTAGCCATATACCGAGTGGAAAACCCCGCCTTTTCGATCCATGAAAACTCACAGTGAGCCGCGGCCACGAAATACAGCGCCTGCAACACAAGCGGGGAGATCTGTTTTGACTTGTACTTGGCGTGGAAGTCTGAAAGATCGAAGATGGGACAGAGCGGGTACACGACAGAGAAGAACGTCTGGATGAGGGCGTCGCTTATCTCTTTGTCGAGACGCTGGACTGCGCCCATTTCTTGTAAGCGGAAGCGCTCGCTGTGTTCATGAGCGTCGAGCTGATCCTTCGTCGGCTGACCTAAGCGGCTCAAATACAACTCTTCGATGCTAAAACTCAAGGAGGAGTTGTCAAAAGCTCCCGGGAACGGATTCCCCATCTCGCGTAGGACGTAGTTGAGATTGAAGGAGTCTCCGTAGTACACCATCTCCTTGCCGCGACCTGGATCCTTGGCCATGTTAATAAAGCCTGGGCAGCGCGGTCGATTAGATTCATAGGGTTGTTCTCCAGCTTCCCTGCTCTCTCCAGCTAGTGGAGGTTGAGTCCTTGGACTATTGTGGCTCCCCCCTTGAGATTGCACTTCTGCTCGACGAGCTGATTCACTCCGATGGCTTTTCGTATTGGAACGCTTGTATCTGGATAATCTTAGATCTCGAATCATGAGCAACATAACACAGACGGTGTTAGTACTTTCCACGTCGCGAGATGATCGGCTGGCATTCTTGTCCAGCGACTCGACAGTTGATACACGCTCTGTCCTCGGTCCGATCGCATTTCACTCGACGGAGATTACAAGTCTTACAAGCCACTTTTGTCTTGGATTTTGGCGACATGATGAAATTCTTGGTTGGAGATGTGTCAGTGGTGGTCCCTCAGCGCATAACACGAACAAGGTTCCTGTCAGGATTCCATCCCGTTTAGGTTTAGCGTCCCGACTTAGTCAGCCTATTTATAGTTGGCCGCTTGGCCATCCTAATTGGACACTTGGCGCTTCCCGATTCTCTCAGTTCCTTGTCAGTCACGTGAGTCATTGTCGGAAAATGTCGGATATACTGCGAAAGGTCAGCCGATACTTTCCGCCCCAGAGGCATAATTATATTCTGTAAACAGCGAAGGCTTTATGTGAGGGCGCAGTCTTTTGTTCGTCCTTAAACTAGGGGAACTTATCATCCAGCCTTACGCTTATTATGCTTTTCATTCTGGAATTAGATCGCATTTTCCCGACCAAAGATTAATGAAAACAGTTTGGTTTGCCGGAAGCTCTACACAAGGCCGAAGTATAGCAGGATAGCAGGCATTGGAATCAATTGGTCGAATCATACAGATAAATGTTTCTCCCCAGGTAGCGACACCGTCTAGGTTTATGTGCAGCTGATAAAATCACCATTGTTTCCATGGCGCATCACCCCACAGAATTTTGCCTTTCCCTCCTTTTTGCCATCCTTGAATTCGAAGACAAGACGGTCTGGCAAGGTCCTCACGCTCTGACCGCTGTAGACAGTGCCCGGACTGTCTCTATCCAGGGGGAATTCCATGGTGCTCCTGCCACAGTTGAAGGGCAGGTTTTCGCCGTTGCCGAAAACATGCGGGTAGTTTCCTAAGTAGCAGTGAGCAGCGTGGTCTTCAAGGATTGGTTGCAAACTGACTGTCTCCAATCTGTTGGCCATCGTTCGCGTATTGAGCCGCCTTGATAAAAGCAGCTTTGAGCTGACCAGAGGTGTACGATGTCTCTGCATAGTTATTGGTCGCAGGGCAGTTGTAGCTTTGGTCCGGTTCTTGGGCGATTTTTAATTCCTTCGAACGCTTGTAGAGCTCACCATCGGCCTCACCACCAAAGGAAGGCACAATTGAGACTGGGTCGCTGGTGATACTGCCATGAGAAGGAATGGTTGCATCTTGCGAACGCACGACAGCAGGTTGGGGATAGGCATGGGTGACCTGGGCCACCAGAGCGCCAGTCAAGAGGACATTGAGAGCCAGAGAGCGAAAGAACGACGGCATTTTATAGTTACGGAATAAGGTCTTCGACAATGATTTCTTGTGAGAGATTGGGATTTGCTGAGGAACAATGTAGTAGTAGGTTGATGAAGAGAATCTTTGGCAGATTATACTTCCTTTATATCTTTTGAAGCCATTATCCTGATGCATTTGGTGTGAAGATCCAAGGCGTTCAGCCAAAGGGGCCAAAATATTCAGCAGCCCACAGCTCGAATGTCACGGTTTCAGCCTTGGGGCTGAGCAGGAAAGAAGCATAATCTCAAGCAATAGCCTTATCCAGATGTATACAATATTGGGTAGCAAGAGCCTAAGAATGCCTTTCGAAAACGAAGGTTCTTAAAGGGGTTTCGGCGAATGGCGAGGAAATATAGCCAGAAGTCTTATATGCTGTTTACATATACGAACATATAGAATGAGGTATTAAGCTTGCTTTATGCCTGGATATATGCTTTGGAATAGAGAGTACCTTCTGAGCTCAACTATTACCCCAGATGCACTTTGCAGGTCACTCTACTGGGCCTCCTATCAGTTCGAGCCCCATAAAAGCCCTGCTGTCAGATAAAACACATATTTTCCTGACATACGAATGGTACTGCACTGCTTCGTTTGTTAGAATTGACGATCATCCTCCAAGTGACCCACACACAGCACCGCCATGAGATCTGCAGAATGTGGGGGCGATTTCTGGTTTCATCCTTATGATCCTTTCAAATTGGTCATATTGGTTGGCTGAAAAGCTAAGCCTTGAAGGAACATTTGGCAAATTCAGCCTCGTCTGAGATTCACGAGGATCCGATCACCGCCCCCAGCTAGCCCCTCATCTGATGACGCACTGAGTCCATGTCTTTTCTTATTTCGAACCTGAATCACCCTTCGAATCCTCTTCGTGAGAATATCGACCATAACCATCGAGCATTTCACAAATTCGACATTATGGATTCTGAATATGAGACTTTCATCACAGCGCAGAGCCAGAAAAATTACCCCCCGCCGAAGAACGTGCTCTCCGCAATGAAATCACTTCTAGCAGATCCTTGCACACCGCCGTCAAGGGCAGCCAGAGAAGCAGTGTCGTGCTTCGTCGAAGAGTCCAATTCAAACCCCGACTACACAGCACTATGGCCGCTCCTTTTTGCAGCAATCGGGAGATTCACAGACCAGAATGACCGACTGGTGGACTTTGTTGCCGAACTGCAAAGGCTGCCAGACTGCAACGGAGCCTCTGGTCGGCTTGATGGGCTCAGTGAATATATGACTGAGTTTGTCTTTGACTGTATGTCCTCTCAAAGATCAGTTACAACCTCAAACTAACAAAGTAGACGTCGATCATCCGCTTTATGATCCTCAACGCGATGAAAAGCGGCAAAGTTGGGTCAATGTCAATTCTTTCACAGCCAAGCTATATGCCCGGGGCATTCGTGCTAATCACGTGGGTCATCTTCGTCACGGTGGCTGGGTCTTGAGAAAGACACTGGAGAAAGCACCTTGGGAGAAATTCCACCATGAAGATATCGAGCAGGAGCTGGAGGATCTGGACAATGACGACGATGACGACGAGTATTGTGAGCAACGCGACCGCCTGCTGGAGGAGATTGATATCAGAACCCTCAATGGGTGGGTACCCGCCGCAGCACAGTGGATCAGACATTGTGGAAAGGAAATATATGAAATGGAGGGATCAATGGGAAGAGAGTTTCCAACTAAGTGGACAGGATCCGAAGGTTGGTCAAAAGAACGGTGGGCGTTCTGGAAGGAAAGGTTTCAATGGATCAGCTCCGTTACTGCCTTGGATCGAAAGACGCGCAGGGTAGCGAAGGAGATGGTGGAAGAAATGGCCAGCATAGAACAGAGGCAGGATTAGACACTGGCACATTGTACTCTTTGTCTCTCCGCAAATTAGGACTATGCACGCCAATTTAAACTACTCCTATCATTCCTTAGATATTACCTGGGCACTGTTCCTAGACCACCATCTTTTCATCGCGCATTGTTATAGATGACATCCTAGTTTTGGCGGTAATTCCTGCATTGACTAAGGATATACCCACAGGTTGAACTATCCCTGCTATCATCTAGCAAAAAAGTATGCCTTCAATTAAGGCCTATGATATCTCATGCTAGATGTTCATTTCATTCTCAGTCGTTTATTTGTCACTACTAGCCCATAGACCTTCCCACCTATATCTGGGACCCTTGGCTTGTAGAACGTATCAAACCTTTGCTTACAAAATTAGTCTTCAACCTCCTGAATCCACCTTAGTTCAGAAATTATAGGATAACAAGCACTTAAGGCAAAGGCCCTTTCAGCAAGGCCCAAATCATGTCCAACTTCTGATCGTACAGAGAATCGAACCACATAATTCTTTTCAGCATTTCCGTCCAAAGTAGTACCGACTCTATGTCAAAAGTCTGAAGTGCTCGAAGAAGCCGACGGTAGAAGTAATTCTGGTCTGAGGAAGCTGTAGCCTCTAGGGCACCGACAGTAAGCAGCCATAATGCCAATTCCGAAGGGACTAGCGTCAGATCGAAGGCCTCGATCGATGATCGTAACTTCTGCACATGTACCTCTGTAACCACTGGGCTGATACCAGATTTTCTCCGGAATTCAGCAAGATATAGCAACGCCCCAGATCGGACACAGGAGCATACAGGGCCAACGGCGTGTGTATTGTAGTGCAGTGATAGGAAATGATGAGTTAGCGGATGAACCAACTGATCAATCGCCATTGGGTCGAGCCAGATGGAGGTTTGCAGCTGTAGCTCTGTGTTGGTTGATTGCAATAACTGGAATGCTGAGAGCAAGGATATTGGAAGATCAAAAGCCATCAAGCAAGAAGACTGAAGCTCGGAAGGGAATTGAAGGAAATCAACTCCAGCATTGATTTGTCCCAGGACCGGGGCGGCGTCAAGAGCATAAGAACCGATTAAGTCCACCCTGTATATGTCAACGGATGAGAAGGGCTGAGCCGAGAGGGAGCGAACCATTGAGCCAGTGCCACCACCTTTGCATCCAAACTCTCCAGCGGCAAGCCTGCCTCGTCAATTAGCCCTGCCACAGCTGCCATATGCGACCTCCATGAAGTCATATCTCCTCTTAGATGGGAGTAGCATGCCAACGCAGAAATTGCGCTCAATGTACCCTCCAGAGCCTGTTTGCTACCCAATGATGGTGTACTGAAATGGTTGCGAACCCCGGCAAGAGCTTTAATATGATTGGAAAGTATGAAGTGCTTCAAGTTGTGTTCCGCGTGGTACTGTGAGATGTGGGTGGCGTATGTGGCCAGCATCTGGTCAAAGGCCGCGGGATTTGTGATGCATATCGGATACCAACGCTCTTTGTATATACGGAATTGGCTTGGAGCTGGATCTGAGAACACTGGGTGAGGAGTATGGTGAGTACAACCCAGATAGGAGACCACAGACCCATGCAAAAGAACATACTATGGTGAAGGAGCCACTGTGACTCCCTATCTATAGCAACAGGAAAGACGGCAAATGGTATGATAAGAGGGGGTGCGGCTACAGGTGATGATGATGAATGCCCTGAATGGTGAGCCCTCCTATGGTGAGGCTCAATAGGAGAAGGGTTGAAACAAGAATCACATGCTGTTGTGCCACTGGACATAGATGCCGATGCTGAAGGACATTTAGCTAATGCTTTGTGCTGCTTCCGTCGGCCATAACCAATTTCGCGCATGACTCGCTGTCGCATCTCAGATCGTTGGGCGCTGGTCGGACGGGGGCATGTGGGAGACGTAGTGATGAAGACCCATTCCTTGGGTGGATATTGAGAAATCAGTGCCATGGTGCCCTATCTTCTCTTTTACAGGTACATTTTGTGTGGTTTATGGTACGGCAAAAGGAAAGAGAAAAGGAGGCATTATCTGAGTCGATGCTGATTTCTGAGTAGTTACATCATGATCATCATCCCCCACCATCAGGTGACATCCTGTTTCAAGTCGCTTGAACTTAATCAACCTTAGCCTTAGGTTTAACCGTTAAGCAAGTTTTTGAGTGTTTCAGCAGGTATGCTGGAAAATATAAAGCTCACTAATCCAGTACTGCCAAGGCAGGATATGATGTTGAAAGAATATATATGCACTGTCTATACCGAGCCATAGGCAGTCGATGTCTTGGCCTGCCAACCTACTTCGCTAAATTTCTTCTGGAAATGAAGTCTCTTTACCCATGGAATTTGGAAGTTTTTGGGTCTGGATTGGGAATTGTGCTGAAAATAGTTGCATAGAACCAAGGCAAGCACAGTTTGAGCCATCTCAAATCTGCCATAGGGTGTACTCCTAGTTCCTCAGTTACCACACGGATTGAGTCTGCAAAACGATCAAGAGACGAGAAAATGAGTCTAGACCATGCTTATGATATGTATGCAGTGCCTGGCTCTATATGGTGCCTGATAAATCCTTACACAAATTCCCTGTCACTCTCCTGACTGCTGTTATGTGGGGTCGGTTGCTCATGCATGGTGAAGACGGCATACATGAAGGCGATGCTAAAGGCTAGTGTAGCCAGTCCCACGGACGTCCATAGGGCAGCCCGATATCCCCTCAAAGGCTCCACACCGTGATGACTTACTTCAGCCTCCACAGTCCCTGCGATCCCTAGTCCGATGGCAATTGAGTAATTGATGACGGTGTTGACTAGTGATGCTGAGGCGCCTTGGTATTTGACGTGTACCGCGTCGCTAAGAATCGTCGCAGAGGCGGGAAAGGAGATATCCATACTGATGATGGTAATGTGAGCTCGTTAATATGGAGTGATGAGAGCTTGAAGAGACCTACCCCCAGGCCATTATGACAAATGACCAAAAAGTATTCAACCAGTATGATTGATCCACTGGTGCTGTACTCTGCAGGATACATCCAGCAAGGAATGCGGCACAAGCAATTGCCATCAGCCAACCACTGGAGATGACAGCCATTAGGTACGGCGTGGCGAGGGCGGCAACAATCCCTGATATGGCTCCTGGGGCGAACTGCGCTGCTGACAATAAAGGAGACACATGACGGAACTGCTGGATAAACTGGAACAAGTAGTAGAACCACACACCAAAACTGCTCCATCCTAGGCCCGTAGTGACCAACACTGCTACAACACGTCGGTTGAAAATAGAAAGATCCAGAATTGGATCCATTGCGCGTCGTTCCTGGAAAGCAAAAAGCCCCAGGAGGAGAAACCCCAGAATCAGCATGGTATAAACATAAGGCGAGGACCAGCCGTCAATGGGTGCTTGGTTCCATGAAACATTCAGCAATAGAAGACCTGCAACGCCCAGACCAGATCCGATATAGTCGAATGGGATTCCAGTGTCATTTTTGAGCATCGAAGAGTCTGATGGAATCACCCAATGTCCGAGCCCAGCGAGAACGAAGCATCCGATGCTGTAAACCCACATCACCCAGGGCCACCACACATACTCAGCGAATGCCGAACCGATAGCCCCAGCAGTAGAGCATCCGAGCGGAGCCGCCACAGCGAATGCTGAAAAAATCATATTCTTCTTCTTGCCAGGTGGGTATGTTCTTCCAGCGATCGCCAGTGCATTTGGTAGAAGTAATGCAGGTCCAATGCCCTGGAGTGCTCGAGCGGTATCAAAGAACACTGGAGAATGCGTGAAGGCACTGCAGCCCCCAATGACAGACCAGACGCCAAACCATGCCCAACCAATGATAAGAATGCGCTTCGAACCGTACAGATCGCCCAGCTTTCCTGCGATGAGAATGAAAGTGCCAACCGTCAAGCTGTAACCGCCAACGTGCCAAGTCATTTGGGTCGCCTCAGATGGCCCTTGACCAAAGGTTTGTCCTACGAGATGCAAGGGAATGAGGATGTATCCGAAGGAGCCCTGAACGAACAATTGCGTTGAGCACAAGACGATAATAAAGAGCCATTCTTTTGCTCCTCGAGGCGGTGTCTGATACATGGGGGATTGTCCAGGCTGATCCTGTTGGGATTCATTCGACGACATCTCGTGCCTGTAAGCGGATCGGATTTCCAAACCTCTGCCCGATTGCTGCCTGGCATTATGTGACAGAGAGAGTCGAGCACAGCTGAAGCAGACGCGGCGGCATTGGGTTGGGCATGGTTTTAAAGGCCGTCGAACTCTGAGAACCCAAGGCAGCCTTGCCAACAAGATAGTACGTCAAGTTCAATGCACATTTCTCTACCTAGGAACACTCCTATGGCAGCTTTGCTTCGGAAATGAGTGACGTATGTGGATCGGTAAAGAGCAAATGTGGGATCCTCAAGGCGGAAATATGAGGGCATCAAATTGGTCCAGGGGACCTAGCTCCTGATTGAGTTTAGCGTCACCTCTATTTCCAAATCGGGAAGTGGACCGGACAGGGGACCAAAGACCATATTGGGATTAGCGCCACGGGTGCCTAGGGAGTACTAATAATGGCATGGATTGGGTCAGATGGACACTTCTACAACTAGTGATATCCTATGCCCTCAGCTGCATACTCCATTGACGACAGTGTGTTGTCAGTGGAAGTCTCTGTCTTACAAACGCTGGACAAGCCGCTGGATCACGAATTGTGGGCTAGAATCCTCACGACTGAGGCCTCTGCGGAATCCCCGTGAGCAGCTAGTTACTGCATTGATCATGATATAGACACAGTGATTGCTAAGGTTTTTGCTCCCACAGCCTATAAACTATGCTACCAATGTTTGAAGGTGCATACATTGCTTATCTATGAGCATTGGATATATGAATCGGAATGACCGGTCTGAGCCCTTCGATACTCCTTCAGGGATGTCTTCAATAAGCCCGTATGCTGTACCCAATACTTCTTCGTTAGATGGTTACTTCCTGTATTGATGATTGCTTCCTTCCGGGACCTGTTGATGGTTGAATGTCACTTAACCAGAGCAGTATCCGACCTTCTCCGGCTCGCAGTCACCCTCACAACCATCATAAAAGACACAAGGATGGTCAGCGTCGGTGCACACATTCTTCAGTGTGGCCGTATCACCATAGTTGAGGTTGATGCCGACTACTTCGCCGCCATCGCGAGCCGTAGTGCCCTCAACATAGACATTCCGCTTGCATTGGCTGTCACAGTTTCCGCAAGAGCGATAGACTTTACCGTAGTCTTCAGCATAAAAGTTGATGATCTACATTCATGAGATTGGGTTCGAGAGGGGACAAAAGTAATCACTCACATTGACAGTACCACAACCGTTATGCTGGACAATCTTGTCCGAGGCGTGATAGGCTCCACCACCGATGATCCAAGTCTCCTGGCCTGCCTTGTCGTTTTTCTGCCACGTCATGAGACCTGACCAAGTATATGTGCCTCGATACTCACAATGGTGATGGCATCTTCGCAAACATCCTCAAACCAGACGAACTGCAAATTGCATGGACCATCGCAGTGAACCCCCTCAGCCTGGTTGGCGCCGATGATAACGTTCTTCAGAGTAGCACCGGAGTGAAGGTAAAATACGGCATCCTTCCAATCACCCTCGGACTGGCCGTTACAGGCGCCAGAGCCACGGTCGTACTTGGCCCACCCGGCATCGAAGACCTGTCCCGCCGCAACCTCAATTACGGCGCTATTGGAGTAGTGAGCGGTGGGAGTAGGAACTCCTCCCTCATAGCCCAGACACGCCAAAGCGACAGGAACGAGAACGGGGAGCGCCGCAATCCTTGACAACATAGTGAGGAAACCGGTAATAGGAATCAAGTTGTCTGTTCTCCAAGACCGAATGTCCACAGTCAGACTATGAGGCTTTTATAGCCTGGCGGAATGAGCAATGGAAAAAGCAATGACACTACTGAGCGATGGAACAGTCATTGGTGGACTATGCTGCACCTCGCAATCTCATGTAGTGCAGTTTATCCTGCTGCTCAACGGTGAAATTCCAGGGAATATCCAGTAGGCACAGCAGTCGGTTTCATCCCAGCCACTTCCTCATAATTACCCTCCAATCGCAATGGGAGCCACGCTCTAAGGAAGTGTTGTCAATGACGGCGCCTTGGCTTGACTCGAGATAGGCGGATATAGAGTCATGAACGCTGGAGTCTATGTTGCCAAGCATGGCGTCCGGAGTAATCTTTGCTTCTACAACATGTCTGCTTGCAAAAATCACGAAAGAATCGCATCCTGCGAGTCAGGTTGCCACCAGGAAATATGATCGGGATGACTGCCAAGGAATTGGCTGAAACGAGGATACTTGATAATGTGCATTCTACAGCAGAAGGTAGTGCGTCTCTCTCCCCATATCGACCAGGCTAGTAACAAAGCGAAGCTGGAGCGAGGGCTTGGTTTCTCCATTTGATCTCAGGTGGGATCTTTCTCTTCCACCACTCGATCCCATGTCTGCACCTGCTTATCCGCTACCCACTCTGCCTACCTGCTTACATGCCACATGGTCAATTTCTCTTCTGCGGACACTGGTGGTTGGAATAAACCTTCATGGTCTTTGCATGCTATCACCACAGTCTCTGGCGTGATCTTTATCTGCACCTCCTCGTCAGCATCTTCGAGTTCAGGTACCAGGCAGTACCCCATAAAAGCACGAGCAGTGGACAAAGGCAAGCTCATCAGTAGCTGGAAGCTTTCAGCCTTGAATAGCGCATTGAAGCTAATGTCAGTAGAGACAGCTGTCTCCCTTAGACATGAGGTGGGTACCGACTGGTGACCACATTTCAGTGAGCGGGGATCATCGTCCGGACACCTTTTTAGTCTAGCGGTCTTGGATTTTGATACAACAACTTTGAACACGTGTCTGCTGTAACAAAAATGTCCGCAAATTTTCACTTCTTCCCCTTGCTGCCGCCCGAGATTCGCATCTATATCTGGAAACTCTCTCTTCCCACCCACCGTGTCATTCGCATCACCTGTGATCGGGGCATTAAGCCGACTTCCCGACGCTATGCCCGTGGCTTCCGCGCCGATCATCCCAATCCCGCACAGCTAAAGGTCAACCGGGAAGCCCGCGAGGAAACCCTACGGTTGTTTGTCCCGTACTTTCGCACGGCAGTCTCGCCGCATGCCTGCATTTATCTAGCACCCGAGCAGGACACCGTGCATTTGCCGGAGGCGGTGCTGGCGTATCTCGGTGCAGCGGAGCGCAACGCTCTTCAACGCGTGATCATTGAGGTTCATGATTTTCTACTGTTTGAGGCTTACGGGATGGAGGATTTGGGGTGCATGCAGGGATTGAAGGAGGTTGACTTGGTTGTGTCGCAGTTACCGATGACTTCCTACCGCATGGCAAATCAGCAGCAACTAGATGATGAGTATATTGTTGATGTGCTCCAAGACGCCTTTGAGGAGTATACAAGAACTCATCCGCAGTGGAAGATACCTCAGGTCAGGGTTCTGTCTACTTTGGGGAAGCAGATGGGCAGTTTCACAATTGACCTTGGTGATGTTGATATGCTATGGCGGCAATGAATTGCCGTCCGTCCGTCGGGTTCTTGCCATATGAATGTTTATGTAGACAGACGTTAATTGTGAAGGAATGAATAAGCAAATAGCATTGTTGCCTCAGAATACTCCCAGCAAATGTATCATCAAAGTATACCTCAGTTGGAACTGATAGGAAGCACGAATTAAGCCGATAGGTTCAACCCGTAGCACCATCATTACAATGACAAGATACTTGCATATGCTAGAATCTATGCAAGGGCAAGAGAGAATGGAGGAATATATGTACATGTAGATATTTACAAAGTGAGAGACCCGTCAGGTGGAGATGATCATACAGCCTCCCAGTCCATCGCATCAACAATGAAATCCCAATCGGCATTCGAGCTGTCAGCTTGTGCCTGACTATGGTTGCTCTGGGCGATGTTGGCCACGTGTTCCTGCGCCAGACGACATCCCTCCTCGAGGCCGTCGAAGATATCTGCTAACATGTTGTCGAAATCATAGTTCTGCAGCGGCATCGTCTTTTCTCTTCTCGGCGACCACATAGACTCTCGCTCTCTTTCTTGCTCGGACAGATCTGCCGACTTCCAGCGGTTGCGCAGTTCCTTCGCTTTCTTCAGTTGCTCGTACACATTCCCATTGCGAAAGACGGAATGTAGCGGGCAGTTTTCATCCTCGAGAGCTTCCAGGACATTGGCATGATACCGATGCGTGCTCCAGACGGAGTTCGTGCCAGATACCTTGCCTGCAGCCGATACGGTGATCCCAAAGACGCCAAGCAAGTGCACCAGCGCGCGTTCTAGAAGCGCATAATACTCGTGAAAATCGATCTTGAACATGACTTCGGCATGAGCGACAGCCACGGTAGGATCTGTGCAGCGTGTCGCGAGGCGATAGCCCTCGGCCAAGAAAGGAAGTTTCCATTTTAAGCGAGCGACGATCTTCATGAAGCGCGACAATTCTCCTGCGGGAGATAACAGCATCCGGCGCCCCGGCGAAGCCGCAGGCGGTGGTTGGCCTTGGGTTTTATGCTCGCTCGGTTTAGGCGCCCAACGGGACTGGAATAGGCTTGACATTGTGAGCTACCGCATTTTATGCTTAGGAATCAAACTGTTGATGTTGGTGGTGGAAGTTGATGGTGTTGATGATGAAAACAACAGCATTTCTTGGTTCTCGTTTCAGAGCCAGGCTAGTCCTAATTAGGCAACTGTCATCCAACAGTGAATCGACTTTACATATTCATATGGTTCTAATTATGCTATACATTGTTGAAAATTCTAAGGAAATATTGTAAAATATAGTAGAATAGGTCAGGTCTATAGTTTGGGCCTTGTATTCTCATTACATTCTAAAATCAACTTCTGTACCTTGATTCCCACTACTCATGACTCTAAGCTCTATATATATTTCCCACGCCATGCGCAAAGAAAACTTGATGTGAAATCATGAGAGAGAGCCAGGAAGTATTGTTTCGAGACATCAATTAAGGTCATGATTTACATACTACACACTTCTGGTGCTAGGCAAATCCAAGATTTACTACCACCAATACTTGGAAGACGGAAATAAAACTTAATACACCTCATTAACGACTATTTTTGCGCTGGGATACAGTACATCAGATTGCTATGGCCCTCCCTTTCTGCATAAGGGATCATCGATATCTTGGTCATCCCACACAGGGCTTGCGACACCATGTATTCCAATTGCTGCGGCACCGGCTTACAGAAGCGCTCGAGTTCCCGTCCATCTTTCACCAGCAGCAGGGTCGGTTTCTCCACCATCGCCTCGTCGGAGATGTCATGATGTTGCGAGATATTGATCTTGTAGAAATCTATCATGTCGTTGGGAACATCGGACGCCATGTCGTTATATGTGGGATTGAGAGCGGAGCATTGCTCGGGCGAATCACAGAAGTAGAGGATGGCATACTTGTTCCTGTGGAGGATGTCATGATACTCGCTTAGACTATGCATGTTTAGATCAATTTAGTACCACGATGATGTCTGGATTCTTGCCTGTTCACTGGGACAGAAGACATAGTCTGTGGTTTGAGGGGGACAGTAGTATAGTAACGATTTCGTGAGATTCAAGTCTAACGTGCATTATCCGTCTTTGTCGAGGGATCTCCATAATTTTTGTACAAGACTACACTTGTATAGACGCGATGTGTACGCATATACGAAGGACATATGACGGCTGTATGTATGTGGAGGTGTATCTTTGAGATCTCGTTGGTCTGCTATGGTGGGCTACTTGGTCTGGCCACTCCTCACTGCTATAAAGCGCGGCTTTAAGTTTATCTCAGTGGTATTAGGATGCCAATGGAGTATCTCATTTATCCCTGTGTCCGGCTTCGCATCCGACATGTGGGTGCTGGGGATGCATCCACGGAACACGGCGCACTTTAGGATTTTTGACGAATCTAAAGTGGTCTGAGCCGTGCGTATTACTTCATCTGTATGGCTTATTTCTCTTATCGGGCCCTTTTATGGCATGATGTTGAGAAGATCAAGTTGAGTGGAAGTGCGTCGTGATTATGTATGCCACCAGAGTGGTGACATCATCCATGGAAGGTGAGCCGCCAATGAACTCTACACGGTTTTATATATGACCCCATGAATCAAGAATAAATTGTCTCAGATAAGCTTGAATAGCCTTGAATAACTGGTTGAGTGCTTTGCCTATTCTGTATGAGGTGAATGGTCGTCGAGGAGGAAAAAGATGTTTATCTGGTGGCCAATCTGTTGAGTTTAAAACACCTATATTGAACAACTGGTATACCCTGAGCCAAGTATCAGAAGCGGTTGATAGTCGAAGAAACTCATTTGCAGACTGTAGAGCTAAAACCTCAAAATTATTACACTTCTGGTATCTTGTGTCTATGTACAATTGTGCTTCAAGGTCATTAAATAGTAAGTCTAGTACACAATTATATCTCCAGCATCATCCCGTTGAAGAGTCTATTTTAGATGATCATGGTAGTTCAAGAGTGGCACATACGGCCCGAGTCGTCAACAGTCCAGTAGTCACTGCCGACAGCCTTGAGAGCATAGAAGAAGTAGTTGGGGTCCCACTTCTGCTTGATCTTGAGCAGGGGAGAATAGTTGTTGCCGAAAAAGGTGTCCTTCCAGTTGGGCTGGCGGAAATCGGCCTCGTTCTGGTAGCAGCCGCTGCCAGGGGTGACGGCCTCCAGCTGGGGCACAAACTCGTTGGTCATCTGGTACTGGTTGGCCACCATCTGGGACCAAGGGGCGGTTTCGTTCCAGGCGGTACCGATCTGCATGGTGACGGCGGCGTTGCGCAGGGCGGGGAAGATGGCGTTGGAGACATCACCGGGCTGGGAGACATTCATACCGACGCCGACAGCGATGACACCGTGCTCGGTGATGTTACGGATGACCGAGGCGAAGCCAGCAGCGTTGCTGTCGAGCACGCTACGGGGGATCAGACGACCACCGTACTGGTACTCCCCAACGCCGAGGTTACCGTAGGGCAGGGGGCCCATGTACTTATTGTAGTGGTCATAGTACGAGTCGTACTGGGTGTAGGAAACAGCGTAAGTGATGTTCAGGGAATCCAGGACGTTGAGGAAGGGAGTCAAGAGAGCCTTGACATCGTCGGTGGTCTTGTTGTACGCGGTGACGGGGTTGAGCGCGAAGAAGGAGGAGGCAACCTCGTAGATGACCGTGGCGCCGGCATCAATCATCGCGGGCAACAGAGCGTGGAACAGGGATACAGCCGCGTAGAAGTTGTCTGGAGTAGTCGTGCTGGAGAGGAACTGCAGACCCGCGCCAGCAATAGTGGCGTCGGGGTGCGCCTTGACGGTGGCCGAGATGACCACACCATAGTTGCCGGCACCACCGCCGCTGAGAGCCCAAAAGAGGTCGGGGTTCGTGGTCCGGTTGGCAGTGACCAGCTTTCCCGCGGCGGTGACCACCTGGAACTCCAAGGCGTTATCGGCTCCCAGTCCGAAGGAGGTGCTGAGGGCGGAGTGTCCACCCCCCTGGATATAGCCACCAGCGAGACCGACGGTGGGACATTCGCCTCCAACCACCACCAGACCCTGGGCGTGAGCCGCCTCCATCACCTGGGAGCCCATCACGCCCGCGCCGACCTGAAAAGCAGGACCATTGTAGTGAGAGTCGGACCAGTCCTGGTATTGGATGTCGTTAAAGTGGTGCATCCAAACGGACAGAGCACCAGCACCGGTGGAGCGAGCAAAGTAACTGCACTTCTATTAGCATTCTCTCGGGTATCCTGTTCTATGATCACTAACTCATGACCAGTGTTGCGAATGACAAAGCGAATGTTGTTCTTCTGGGCGAACTGGACGGCGGCAATCACATCGTTGCTGGAGGAGACATTGACAGCATAACTGACGTAGTTGCCCAGGAGACATGGCTTGGACTCTGCGGTGAAGGGGTCACAGCTCTGGTTGGCAAAGTAGGTCTGCATGATGGACGAAGAGGATTCAAGACTGCACACATTTCGGATTAGCTTTCGCTTCTTGTGATAATTGCATGACAGGGTGAGCGTGGTTTAACATACTGAGTCTGGGGAAGGTTCCACGCATTCTGCAAAGCCGCACAGGCGGTTGCATCGTAGTTGGGATCATGGCAGGGCGATCCAATGGGTACGGTAGCGACCAGACGACCACCAACAGTGGAGTTGAGCGCGGCCCAGGAGGAAGCAGAGGGCCAGCAGCTGTCACTGGGCAAGCAACGGCACTGGGAGCACGAAGTGGCTGCCGCGGAGGCGAGGGCGGCCATCGTGGCCAACGCCCATGAGGACTTCATGGTGTCGCGATGGAATTGTGGGGGCGGGAGGAGAGGAGAATGGATCTGGAGGAGGATATATAGGTGAGGAGGAGGGAAGAATCTCACGATCGCCGGTTGATCATGCCGATCCTGAGCTTGCTGGATATTTATACCAGACAGTGGAGAGCTGGAGGGGAGGAGGAGAAAGGAAGGACGGGCGACTATTTCTTAGCTACCTCGGCATTATTCCGCAAAGAAGGATAGTGATGTTTATGGTATCTGTCGGAGTCTCCATCGTATCTGCATCGAACCAGAGGATCTTGGTAACATGCATGGGGTGGTGCATGCGCGGAGATGTTTCCCAGAACATCCGCATTGCCGATTTGGGTAATACAACCGAGTGTAACACGGGCAGTGGTGGAGTTGGAAGATCGATAGTCGGCGGAGGCAGATACACTTCCAGATATACACATCTCGAGATTTGCTTCAATGTCTTGGAGACGAGCCTACAGAACCTGGCAAGGCATCATAAAGCTGCTCTGTATGGATGCAGTACCTCCTAGCCCGGATACGTGTATTCATCGGTGATCCCCCGATGTGGGCTAATTGTCAACCACATGGTAGTAGCCACTGTAGCATGGAGTCCCACGTGGGCATTTTACTGCACTAGACGGGATTCATGCATTTTAGCAGCGAAGGCTTGTACTCTGCTGAGCACCTTTCCCTCTCAACTCTCGACTCTCAACGGTGCAAGGATAGCTAACTTGGCCATGCACCGCCACTAGCGGCCAAGTCGGAGAATTCGGAAGCTCAGAAGCCAAGGAAAGGCGTTTCTGGGTCACTGTGGGACGTCGTATTTGTTCTCGGTTGCCACCGATTTGTGCCAGCAAAACGACTGATCATGCTCCAAAGTACCACGTTAGAAGGCTCTCATGGTTGAGGGAATGAGATGTCCAATTTATACCTTTAGATAAAGATGGTCGATTGGAGGCACAATTTCAGGTAGATTGAACTTTTGCTGAAGCGTCCTCCTTCATTTATTTTGATTCCTACCGGCGTTTTGTGAGGAAGAATAAAAGATTAACAGGACCGAAATGGGACTTGTATCTCGGCATAAAGTTTAAAAATTCCCGTTCTACCTACGGAGTACTCCGTAATAATAAATAGAAAGATGTTGCTTGCTTCGAGGGCACTCGGAATCGGTTATTCTTCGGCCCAGTTCCACTCTACTACTGTTCGTCTTCCATGAGTCGTAGAATTTCTCCGGTAGACTTTCGTATAAGCACGCGAAGTCTGACCAAATCAGCCACTGCCAAGCTGCTTCTGAAGTTGAGGGGGATCTGTTCTCATGAATATTACTCCTAGTACGGAGTATTCTGAAGCAAGACGGAATGGAATGACTATCCGTGGCAATGGACTATCCAAATTCTAGAAGAGTGTACCACCAATGGATATGCCGAAGATGTCTCACTCCATTTCTGTTCCAGCCAATCGTTGTCGGTCCTGCTCTTTAAAGTTTGTCCGTTTTTTCTGCTCCGAGTCTGTACCTCTTCTTTCTCCCCGTTTCCGGTCTAGCAATACGGATAGCTTCATTCTTGAGGTCTGACCGCACTCCACTCCACGACCAGCTCCTCTTCGCGACGCAACTTCCTCCACAATCATGACAATCTATGACTGATGGAAATTATGGAATAAATTCAATTGTCCATTCAGGCCCCTCCCACAATGGCCAAGTTCACCCCAAGCGCAAAATATAGCTTGTTCAGAACTCTATCCGCGGCTCGCCTTCGATCTATTGCCAGCCAGAACCTTGGAAATCTTCTGCAGACCCCCTTTATCTCTAGCTAGTTCCGCATTCGATCTTCTGTTGTTCGCTAGGAGAATCGCCCATGTTGGATTTTTTGCGCCGCCCGCTTGCCTTCGTCCATGCATTGTCCTCTCTTGCGGCCTTTGCTCCAAAGTCTAAATCTCGCGAGCCTTTGAGCGTTGTGTGCCTGGAAGGCGCTTGGCAGTAGTGGTTGACTGTTCCTGAGACTATTCTGTGACATTATTAAGCGATGCTCGCCCGGGGACGCCATTTCTTCGGTCGTTGCGCTCCTCAGTAATGCTTCACCGGCCATGATCGTCTCTGTTGCACCTCACTTTTGATCTCGTCGAGCCTCTCTTCCTCCGAGAAGCCTTCACCAGGCACACACATCCCCACCGAGTGCACGACGCGGTCGGTCGACATCCGCAATGGCCCAGGACTCACAGACCACAGCTGATCTCGGCCCGGCCCTCGTAAGGGGCATCTGGGCCGCAGTGATCATCGCAGTGATTATCGTCATTCTGCGAGTGTTTGCGAAGATCAAAATTCGCCAGTTTCGGGTCGACGATGTTTTGATGATCGTTGCAATGGTATGTTCCTTGCCGTCAAGCCCATACTGTCGCATGATTGACTGACTGTGGCCGCGTGAAGATTCTGGCCGTCATCTCCACCGTCTTCCTGACCCTTTGCGTGCAACATGGCTTTGGCAAGAATCTGAAAATCCTCGAGCTGGAACAACCGCACGAAGTGGAAGTCGTGCTGAAGTACATCGCCATTCAGGTGCCGATCGTGACCATTAGCACCACCATTGCCCGCTGCTCCTTCATCCTCTACCTCCTGGCCATTCTCGGAAACAATAAAAACTACCAGCTTGCGCTATGGGTGGTGATGGTGCTCCAGTTTGCCGGCAATATCGTCTCGGCCGTGTTGCCTCTGAGCATCTGTCGCAATGTGAACATTCTCTGGGATCCCACGACGAAAACCACCTGTGGGGATGTCACCGCCGTCATCAAGTTCGCCTACTACTCGAACAGTCTGTCTTACTTCCCTGCGTTCGTGAGTCCATTGCTGACCTGTATCAGGCGCAAACTCGGCCTGTGACCTGTTTCTGGCCGTGTTTCCCACCCTCATTTTCTGGAATCTCAACCTGAAGCTGCGCATCAAGATCAGTTTGATCATTCTCCTCAGTCTGGGCATTGTGTATGTCCCCATACTCTTCCGTTGCGTATCAGAAATACTCATTCTCGCAGGGCCATGATCGCCTCCATCATCAAAACCACCAAGCTGGACTCCGTTCCCAGTGTCACCAACCTCGGCGTCAGCGGTGGCGTCGAGCTCATCCGCTGGGGCTACGTCGAGAACGCAATCATTATCATCACCTCCTCCGTTCCCTGTATTCGCCCGCTGATCATCTCCTCCGTCCGCAAGTTCTCCAGCCGCGGCTACTCGCGCTCCTACGAGCTCACGGGGCCGGCGACCGCTCAGCGGCGCACGGGACACGACGAGACGGCGCAAACCCGTCGGACGCGTCGCTTCACCAAGAATGCTACCGTCGATACAGGCAGCATTGAGCGCATCCTGGATCCTACCAACCATACCAATACGACCGTCAGTGGTCGCCGAGATTCGCCGACTCATCTCGACCAGGGGATTACGAAGCAGGTGGAAATTTCGGTTATTTCGAATGATCAGTTAGATCGCCATCATCCTTGATCTCTTTCTTTTGTCTCCTTATGTCTTCTTTGTCTGATGGCTTGGCCATGCTCTCCTAGACGTTCTTGTATATATATTCCATGAGATATGGACGGTATGTCTGGGATTACGCCATTACTTGTAAATTAATGAGGAACCATTGTGCATGTCATACCAACCACACGTCTTGCGATATCCATTGCTCAACTTTCAGTCATCCTGATAATCAAGATCCCCTCAGTTAGCTCTCAATTAAGCCTCAATATCGAGTCGAGTAACGAGCCACAATCATCAATCAGGGATCAGCCCCGGGCAAACTCCGGCAATCATTCCACGGCCTGATGACCGGATCAGCACCGACTGAATCTCGAGTAACTACACTATTCTTCAGGGCAGTCCACACTTCAACGTTTCTCATGCAATTCTGCCGCATTTGTGCCGTTGTATATTTCTCGAGGGAAGATCCGGGGATCGCGGGTTGATCAATGATATTTATGAACAAAATCGCTGCATTTTGGGCTACTGTAACACCAGGTCTCATTTGCTGCAGTTGACCATCACGATGTACCAGCACAATGCAATCGGCCTCACCCTGGCCAGCCTTTTACTGCTCGGCCCTCATTCAATAGCAGCGAGCAAATCGACACTAGGTCAAACCCCGCAAATGGGCTGGAATTCATGGAACACTTTCAAATCCAACATCAATGCTTCTGTGGCCGAGAACACCGTTCAATGGTTCCAGACCCTCGGCCTCAAAGACGCTGGCTACGAGTACATTCTCCTGGACGAGGGATGGTCAGACTACTCGCGCACCGCGGACGGATACCTCCAGCCCAACTTGACCTCATTCCCAGACGGGATCAAGACGCTTGTAGATGATATCCACGCCAAGGGTCTGAAAATTGGTCTCTATGGTGACAGCGGAATCTTAACCTGCGGCTTTCGGCCTGGGAGCTGGGGCTACGAGGAACGCGATGCGCAGACGCTCGCCAGCTGGGGGGTAGATTACTGGAAGTATGACAACTGTGGTGGATTCTAGGCCATGACGGAGCCTCCACAAGTGCGCTTTGGCGTGATGCAAAAGGCGCTGGAATTAGCAGGCCGAGAGATCCTCTACTCGGTGTGCGAGTGGGGATACCAGTTTCCCTGGCATTGGGGAGGGAGTATGTTTTCCTATCATCCACCGCTAGGGAAAAGAGGGCTAATTTGCGACTCACCAGAAATCTGTCATTCCTATCGCATGTCTGGCGACATCACCGCCAAATTTACCAACGAGACCGGCTGTGCATGCAAGACGGCCTACTGCCTCAACACCGGGTATGCAGGCTGCTCGGTGCTGAGCATCATCCGCAAGATGCGCGAGATCAGCCAGTACCAAACACAGGGGCATTGGCTGGACATGGATATGCTGGAGATCGGCAACGGCGACATGACCCTGTCCCAGCAGCAGACCCATTTTGCTTTTGGGGCGGCGCTCAAGTCGCCTCTGATAATTGGGGCGGATCTGTCCAAGCTGTCGAATGACAGCTTGGCTGTTCTCAAAAACAGGGATATTATCGCCGTCAACCAGGACTCTCTGGGCCGGCCGGTGCATTATATCGAGGCTGCCAGTGAAGAAGGATCATGGCAGGGTTGGGCTGGCCAAGTGCGAGGCGGATACGTAGTTCTTTTGTTGACTGAGAAGAGTTATCCCCAGGATCTGTCGATCTCTTTCGCGGAACTGGGCTGGGAATTAATGATCCGGTCAAGACTACCGAACTGTGGTCTCATAGGTCTCTGGGAAAGGTTGAGGGTTACAAGGGCGTGCTGCAGAGTGTAGCCTTATCAGACGCTGATGTTTAGACTGCAGGTTTAGCACTTGCTATGTACAAGCACTTTGAAAATGCATTCTTTATAGACGGATCCATGTTGTCTAACACACTTGTCAAACGATTGAATTCTAAGTCCATGCTATTATAAAGGGACTCGGAACCTCATATGAAATAGCTTGACCTGACATAGTACCGACTGATGTGTCGGACAGTTCTACCTAGGAGATTGTAGCCAATGGCATACTTCAGTACATTCGGCAGAAAAAAGACGTATCTCCAGACACAGGTAGGCATAGTTAACTGATGTAGCTTGCATCTTTACTCCAGTCTTATCTCCATGGCTTTAGACGGCTCTTCCCCCGGATGGTCCCCAGATACCATATATATGGGAGGGGAAAGGAGCTCTGAACACTGCGATCACAAGGCAAACCTAACGACGCTAACTATGACCATAAGGCGTTTTCTAGACAGTATAGAACCAGCCTGTGTTTGTGATAATATTGCGCCGGGCAAAATTGGGACTTTTACCATTTGCTTCAAGCACTAAATTCCCCTCCGCATCCAGTGATTCTGGTGGCACTGACAGCCTCAGTAGATCCTTATCAATAGGGGCCACCTTCTTTGTCCAGTCAGGCAGTTCCTCCGGAGTGAAAGGGGGCCACGGGTCTCCATCTTCTTCACGATATATATGCTCTCGATTTCTCCGCAGACCCAGACTCAATCTCCAATTCACGGCCTAATGTAATTCCTCCACAATGGAGGCGACAATCGCAGAACGAAGCGGATCAGGATCTTTCGGGTCTGGTATGTCTCGGAGCTTCCAGTCTCGCCGACAAAAGAAATATTCCGTCTCCCATCCCACCAGCTCGTAATGATCGGCGAGGTGGAGCTCATAGAGCCGGTAAATCGATCGCAGGGGCGTGTCGCGCATGCGCCAGATAGGAATAGCGCGGAGATTATGAATATCGCCAAAATGAGATGTGATTATACCCGTCTCGTTCTTCGTATCTTCGATAAGCGCACGGAGAGAAAATGGACCGGGGATTGGGAAGAACCAGGATGGATAAGGGATGAACAGGCGCAGGAGTGTGAGCAAGGGATACTTGTGCTGATGGCTGAGTGGGATGAGACTACTACGTAGTCGAAGAGGTGAGTGTGCGTAGCGAATCCACGTTCGAAAACGGGCCGAGAGAGATATCTTGGGACGGCGCCGTGGAGGCATTGATCCATTGATGCATTGATGGCAAGTTCACTGAACAGCGACAAGGCGAAACAACATAACATATCACAGTCAGTCAAGTCTATGTGATGCGGAATAATGGTTGGACCGAGGCCAGTAGTGCAATCACCTTAAGTACATTCAGTATAAAAGAGACTCATCTCCAGATATGCCCCTCTCAACAGTATGGAAGGCTCGGGTTCGAGCAACTGCCAGGAATGAAGGCCTGCGAGATTCGAGGCAGATCCCCCTCAAGAATTTGAGCCGAGGGGTCCAGAATATGATCGATTATATGCACGACTCCCTGGAAAAGCATTTATTGTCATCCTTCTGACTAGGGATCCAGGCCTACCTGTGTGATTGCAATATCCTTTTCTACCACAGTAGCAACTTTGTTCAGGAGAACATTCCCGTTCTGAACCTCTGCCCCGACATACAGATAAGTCGCTGTCTACCTATCCTGTCAACAACAATTCATATATCCTCTTGAGAGCTGACATCACCTGGAACTGTCGATAAGTCTCATTGAAATCGGTGGACTTTAAGCTTGAATTGGGAACGTAGTGATGCAGGATGCTATTGCCCAGCCACCATTTCCCTTTTCTACAAAGAGTTAGTGACTAGCGATGTCACTCTACCGCGGGTGAACTACGGAGTAGCCTCAAAAGTATTGAAATATCTGCCCACATTCTTCTCAAAGGCATCGTTGTTCGGGGCAAAGAAGGTAAATTTCCAGGCGGGATCCGTGTCGAATACTTCGGGGAAGCCGCCGACTTTGTCTAGGGCTTCTGACAGTTTGCTCAAATCAGGTCGAGATTTGATAAATTCCAGCAGCGTCGTCGTGTTGGGGGATTTTGGAGGCACATAGGAGGAGTTGACATTCGAGTAATCGAGGGGATCTTGAGTCATAGCGAGAACCCGGCTGCATGCCGTCAAGCAAGTCAACAGGAGGGTAGGTATTAGCTTCATGTTGCTTCCGTATTCCAATGCAATCTCAGTCACCAGTAAAGAGAATGTGTATGACACTATATAATTATCAAATGAAGGCCATGCGCAAATTCCTCAACAGCACTCTCTCCCCAGTATTGTGATATGCAGTGACCTTTCTCATATTACCGACTCTCCATCGGACTAGACTCCGGGTGCGGGCATCAATGCTGCATCTAGGGAAATGCAGTCAATAGAAGCGCTCGGCTTAGACGCCGGCCTTGTCCCGACAGCCAGGATTAATGAAGAACAGGCTCAGCTGCGAGAAAAACTCTAGACCGAGCAACAAATTAATGGAGAAATGCGGGGGATCCCTCGCGTGTCTATGGATTCTCGCCTGTCTCCGAAATGTGAAATCATCTGTCCTGTAATTCTTCTGATACTAATGAGAATACTGCATTTGCTCCATAAATACAAGTCATGGAAGAACTAATAACTATAAGTACCGTAACACCCCTGTGAGTGATAAAAGTTTGCCGCCCTGAAAGACATCGGATGAAACCATCTTCTGCGATATGTTGAAGGTACTACCAGAGTCCTATCCTGCTTCGCCCTACTGACAAGATGCTAGAAATCGCTCCTAAACATCCTCGCAGTGGTTGGCGTCTGTCACTCCACTGTGGTGGATGTCCCCAGCGTCTTCGGCCCCATCCCTCATGTTGGTGACTTCTCCGGCGTCGACTCGATCAAATACCTCGAGAGACGCCCCGGAGACTTTGTTCATCCCGGTATCTGGCACACCCACGAGGATCTGGAGCGCATTCGGACCAATGTTATGTCCAAGCAAGATCCCTGGGCCTCTGCCTACAAGAAATTCAGCGCCGATCAATACTCCCAAGCCAGCTACCAGATGCAAGGGCCCAAAGAGGTTCTCTCCCGCGGCAAGATCAGCAACTACAGTACGTTCGCTCATGACGCTCGCGCGGCATGGCACAATGCGCTGATGTGGTACATCACCCGCAACCAGTCGCACTGGGATTGGAGCACCTCCATCCTGGATGCTTGGGGAACCAACCTGACCAACATCATCGGTACTGACCGCTCGCTGATGATTGGTCTTAATAGAGATTTGTTTGTCAACGCAGCAGAGATCATGCGCTGGGAGGGCAACTGGACGGAAGCCGGGGCCAAGTGGCAGGGAGGTTCTGGGTTCAGCAACCAGCTGTACTGGCTGTTTTCGCGGCAATCAGCCGTTGTGGGACAGGCCAACCACGGTATGGTCAGTATCAAGTCGATGCTCAGCTTTGCGGTATATCTGAATGATGTCGAACTGTACAACTATGCGATGAATGCTTTTATTCAGGACAACTGCGCTGGTCTGTTTGCGCAGTATCGTCCGGAGACTGGTCAATCCGTGGAAGCCGGCCGTGACCAAAGTAAGCTTTCTCTTCCTTGTCAATGAGCATGTCCACTGACAACATACTGCAACAGGCCACACAATGTCCGGTATCGGGTGGACTGCATACGGCGCACGAATCGGACAGAGCCAGGGCGTCGATCTATACGGCCTGGGCCACAATCTTTTGCTCAAAGCGGCCGAATACGCAGCCAAGTACAATCTGAACAAGACTGTGGAGTACAATCCCAAGTGGGCCCGGTGCGAGGCGGTCCTGGTCAATGGTCCCTGGGCAACTATCTCGGAGCAGAGTCGCGGCGTAACGAATCAGAATCCCGTCTGAGATATTTTGTACTACCAGTATGTGATCAAGAGAAAGGAGAAAGCCCCATGGACTGCCAAGGCCAGGGAATTTGAAGGTTTCGAGGGTGCTGTCTCGTCCAACGATCATCCCAGCTGGGGTGATTTAATCTGGGCATACTAGCTTCTGAACAGTTTGGCCAGGATTTCTGATGGCGTAATAAAAAAACTTACCATTGTATAATATGACTATTCCAACGGCAGAAACATGAGACAAACAATAAGATTGGCCTTCATAGCCGAGGCCTGGCTGTACCATTCCACCAGGCAGTCATAAGGTCTTAGACTTTCCTGTTTTTGAGGCAATTCTGCTCCAGATTCCTCCATGTGGCGCAGGATTAGGTGTGTTCTGGACAGTGAGACTCATGCTTGGCGTGATGCTGTAGCTATAGCTTGGTCTTTGGAAGATCGTTCACTTGTAATTGATGTAGCTTGCATCTGTACTCCAGTCTTATCTCCATAGCTTTAGAGAGTGGGCTATCATGGAGGGATGGACATTCTACGAACGAGCTGGTGGTTTCCTGTTCATGTTATATATATATATCTAAAACGCAATGACTTATATCGACTCGGAGCAATCTCCGACATCTTATACATGCCCATTGATCATGGTTATAGTTCTGTGCTAGAGCCTATGTGGCCTCTACAATTGACAATCTCTCACACGTCATCATAATATACACGAAATTGAAATTGGATCAAACATCGTACGGCTTCTGCTCGCCCGGCAAATAACTCGCCCGCCGACTCAAATGACGCTGTCGATCTGCCTCAAGCGTCTGTGCAAACTTGCTTCTCTCCCGAATAACCGGGCCCTTCCAGTAGAAGATGTACAACGGGATCAGCACAAGAACTCCCGCACATCCAAGCAAGGTACTCGCCCATTGCAGATGGAACTTTCCCCCAATATTCTCATACATAGGAGTGGCATACATGGTCGCAATCCCCGCCAGGAAATCCCGCGCAAAGCCATTACCCCCCGTCGCCGAGGCGGAATACGGCCCGTACGCGGCGACCATGTAGTCAATCGTGGCCATGTAGATGCCGTAGTTGGCCATGGCGATCAGGCAGGCGAAGATGCACGGTGCGATCCAGGGAGTATAGGCGGGTCCCATAGAGGTCCAGGCGAAGCCCAGCAGCCCGATTGGTTCCAGGGGTGCGATGAATAACAGAAGCAAGAGGCGACGCTCAGGGAGCCGGGCCGCGTTGCCGTGCGTCTTGCGGACCTTGCGCTGACGCCAGATATCCGGCAAGAAAATCAGGTAGGCGATCACGTAGCCGATCAGAATAGAGCCAAAGGTCATGCCGACGGCGAGCGTGCTAAACCCCCACTGTTCGAAAACAAGGCCGAAAGACTCCGTGAAGACGAAGATGAGCGCATCGGAGAAACCGGACAGCAGTGACAGACAGAGCACGATGGGCTCGCGCAGGAACATCTCAAAGGGCCGGCGCCAGACGCGCAGCACATCCTTGGCGTCCAGCCGGGGCGTCTTGAGCTCGTTAGGGCCGTAGACGTCGTCTCCGGTCGTGCGGCGACGGCGCGCCTCGCGGTCGATGAGGATCGTGGCGCGCGTTTCAGGGACAAGAAAGAAATGCAGGGCTTGAGTGGCGCCGCCGAAGATCAACTGCACCCAGAACACCCAGTGCCATGACAGATATTGTCCGATGAACCCGCCAAAGAAGGGGCCGATGGTCGACCCACCGACAGACGAGAGAACGACATACGCCACCGCATATCCTTGATCCTCAGCCTCCCACATGTCGGCCGTTATGCCCAGTGTCACAGATCCGCCCGCGGAGCTGAGGCCTCCAAGCGCCCGACACACCACGATGGTCCCAAAGTTCGGTGCAACAGCGCAGGGAATCTGCCAGATATTCACCAGAAATAGACTCAGCTGCATGATGGGCCAGCGACCAAACTCTTCGCTCCAGGGAGCCCACAACTCACAGCCAAAGGCGTAGGTCATCAAGAAGATCATCTGGCCGACACGGGCCGCCTGGGCACTGATACCAAACTCCTCCTGAAGGCCGGGGACAGCATTGGCATAGACACCCGTGTTGAAGTTCATGGACATCTGCACGACGAAGATGACGGTGAGGATGGTCCATTTCTTGTACCAGGGAAAGCGGAAGCCGAGCGTGTCGTAGCATTCGTCCTCGGTGAGTTCGCGCTTGCCGCCGCGGTGGATTTCTTTGGAGGGTTCGTCAAAACTGCTGTCTGAGTTGGCTTGAGAGGCATGTTCGCGTTGTGACTGGTTTGGCTGGTCGGTTTCCTGAAAAGACTTGGCTGCTCTGGCTAATTCGTCGGCTTTCTCATGGTCATATGTGTGGTCCGGCTGTTCTTCTGCCGGGGTGTGAGGCTCGGCGGACATCATATAACCAGATTCCAGTACTTGAATCAGTAGTGACTGCTAAGCGGCTCAGCTAGATGGCCGTGGTCTTTGCAAAATGCAATCATTGTCTCCTGGCAGGAGGACCGGCTGTAATTGTATTCTAATATCATTCTTCGAGGACATATGATCACCGATGCCTAGGCAAGTGGAAAGAGCCAATTATGCCCCATTTTCGGACACCACACAGCATGTCCGATCCTGGGGGTGGATACGGGAGTATCGATGCGGATGCTGATTGCATAAAGCAGAGAATCGATGGAGCTGTGGATGGGCATGACATCAGGTATGGAGTCATAGCAGGGGGGAAATCAGGATGGCATCGTTCATCCGGCGGGATCCAGTACTGACAGAAGGCTGTGCATTTGAATAACATCCATGCATCATCTCACCGAATGCACTCGGAGGAGGGAAACGCCCATCATTCTCGCTATGGCGTCATGGAATGCTGCTATCGGGGGTTATTGGCGATCAGCAACAGCTGGTGGAGATGCCGAGCATCAACTCGGGCCAGCTATCCCGATGCGTCTGATATTGTCAATTGATAGACGAGAGAATAAGAAAAGAGATTTAAGGATAAGCATTCTTATGACTCTGGGGTTCCATGGTTGAGCGAACTAAGCATCTCATAACTCTTATGCACTTTATAAACCACTGACATAATAATAACTAACAAAAGTGCAGCAACATCTTGATTCTCACAACAACCAACTATCGTCGCATTCAAGAATATCACTACCGCTCTTCATGGGTTTCTTATCAACTGTGTCGAAGCAGGTCATATGATTCTTGTAGTTGTTTCTGTATCTCTCCACCGATCCAATGAATGTACATATCAGCCAAGGACTGGCTCGAAGATTTTCCACCGTGATGACTCGACTTCCTTCGAATCGCTTTTACGGTGAGAGTCAGGATGCACAGTATACTGCGTAGAGCACAACATATTTTCGAGGAGGTCAATCGAGCTCCCGTCCATGACCCAGATGTGGCATACTCTGATGGCGCGAGGACATCCACTGTCTCCCTTGGAATTTGCTCGTTGAGCTTTATAATACCAGCCGAATCACCGCCAATAGGACGGAGAGCATTATAAGAGGCTCGAGACGGGTTGATCCTAGATTTCCAAGCGTACTCCATACGAGGATGATCCTGCATCATTCGATACCAACCTCCGCCTATGCTGCTCCTGGGTGATAACTGAAATAATCCCGTGTCATGATAGACACTATTTTGAGAAATGTTTTGTCTCTACGCCATCCTACCATAAGGGGTATGTTGCCTACATGTTCATGATTGTTCTCCATGCCATGGAAAACGGCCGGGCAATACTCCGTGAGCCCTAAACCTATCAGCTGATGATCAGCACACGCAATCACACAAACAGTTGTTGGAAAGGAGGAAAATATCAATTCAATGAGCTACAGGGTACGGAGGATCTTGCCCGTGAAATTGTAAGGAGTCGGGACCCCACAGCTTCAATCAACCTGCAACGGGCATCGGACCGAATCTGGAAAGAATCTTCACGATGCCGCTGTACCCCACAATTCCTCCTGCCCTTATTTCTCTTTCCGGGGAATAAGTGAGTATGACAGGCTGGTAGATGCTTCTCAAACAGAAGTGCCGGTGTAAGAACCGGGATTGACCCGCTCAGTACGATATCTCGAAACAGGAGCATGATGGGCCATGCTATATAATCTCTCGACAACACACAATTGAAAAATAACTTTCTGGTCGGTCATCATAAACGGACATGAAGATGAAGTTTGCTATCTGGTCAGGCTTACTCGCACTGTCGAGTGCCCGTTCACTCTCTCACTCCCATCGGCAAGGTAACAACTTCGCTCATCCTGGACTCCTTCACACAGCAGCCGATTTTGCCAGAATCACCGGCAAGGTCAACAGTAAAGCCAAACCATGGCTCACCGGATGGTACAAGCTGACCAACAGCTCTTACCTGTCGCTGAATTACGCCGACAGCCCGCAGGTGGTCGTGTACCGTGGCAGCGACGGGACCCACTCGCAGAACTATGCTTCGCTTTATAGGGACATTGCGGCTGCCTATGTCATGGCCATCTACTGGAAGATGACCGGCGACACGGCCTACGCGGACAAAGCCATCGGTATCCTGGACGACTGGGCTTCCACCCTGACGGCGATCTCGGGGTCGTCAGACAAGTTCCTGGCGGCGGGAATCTATGGCTACGAGATAGCCAATGCTGCGGAGATCATGCGGACCTACGATGGCTGGCCGGCGCAGGATGTCACCAAGTTCCAGGAGATGATGGTCAGTGTCTTTTATCCGCTTAGTCACATCTTTCTGGAACAACACAACGGTGCCGCCATCGACCACTACTGGGCGAACTGGGACTTGTGCAACATCGCCTCGATCATTTCCATCGGGGTTCTAACCGATAATCGCACCATGTACGACGAGGGCATTGACTACTTCAAGAACGGGGCCGGGAATGGACAGATAGAAAAGGCGATCTGGAAGCTGTATGAGGTCGACGGGGAGACCCTGGGACAGGGACAGGAGGCGGGCCGGGATCAGGGCCATGCGATGCTGGATTTCGCTATGCTAGGAGTCATTGCCCAATCCGCTCATAACCAAGGCGATGACTTGTTTGGGTACCTGGACAATCGGATTCTCGCCGGGTAAGGCCTCAATGCCATTGCCCATATGATACTGACCTCGAACAGAGCGGAGTACGCCGCCAAGTACAATCTGGGCAATGATGTGCCCTATACAACCTACACCAACAGCGATGTTACTCAACCTGTCATCAGCAACAGCAGCTGTGGGGATATCCGGCCCATGTGGGAGCTTCTCTACAACCATTATGGAGTGCTGAAGGGGTTAAACGTTACTTACACCAAGGAATACCGTGACCTGGTCGTGAAAGATGGCTCTGGTGCTGAAGGGGGCGGAGGAAACTACGGACCGAACAGTGGAGGATATGATCAGCTGGGATATGGGACTCTGATGTATACTTTGTAGGAGGACTAAACCTATCCTTCATGGGCGGGTAAAACATCAATCAAACCTCCAACACGGGGGCCAGTCTTTTCCACAGATCACACCGATTCTGTTGAACTTCTGAGATTGACTCCATCATAGTTGCATTTGTCTGTATTTTCAATCTTTCTCCAGCCCCCCATGACCTCCAGAATGGCGCGCCATCAGCCTTGAGCAGATTCGGGTCCAACGTTCTTATGAAGCTGATATAGTAGTTCATCACAATCGCAATGATCGCGGCATTGATGTCCCTCATACTACTGCTCACGCTCCCTCCATAATCAAGGCCGAAGATGGCCTGGAGATCGAAGGTGTGCGTGACACCAAGCCCGGCAGCAATCCTCCCCGGATCCTGGACATTATAGCGATAGTTCCATACCCTCTCATACCCATCTTGGCTGGCCATGCTACCCGAGATATGAACTCCTGGGCATATGATAGTCGCATCGCCAAAGGCAGCCGAAGCTGAGGGAAAGTATTCTGCATGTTGCGGAACTGGGTCCGTCTTAGGGTATGCATCGTTAATCGCCTGCGTCTGCTCAGGGCTCAGATGAGGGTACAAACTCCGTAAGAAGAGTGACACCTCGGTAGGACTAGTGGCATTATAGGCGAAGGAGGAGCCCTCATCCGTATCGCTCCCAACCATCAACGGCAACCGAATGAACTTTCCCTGCTCGAAGAGCGCGTAGAGTCGATCCCGCACCAGGTCCCCGTCTATGACTGGCCAGAACTTTCCCAATCCAGAAGGATAGCTAATTGAGCCTTCATCTGGTGAGCTCAGGTTGGCTTTCTGGATGGCGGATGCATCCGCGGAGCGCAAGCATGCGAGGGTCGAGCATCCCACGACCTTCAGTAAGCGGTGGTAGAGTACTTCAGCCTCGGAGATTGTTACCTGAGGAGCCCACCAGGGACTCTCTGGAATTGCGCCCACGAAAAGGCCATCGTTCCGGCCTCCATATGCAGTGAGATGGAAAGAGACTGAGCCACCACCGGCTGATGCTCCATGTACAACGACATGGTCCGGATTGCCGCCAAACTAAGCCTGTCAGCAAGACAAACATCATACGATCATGAGAGGCGTTTGATACCTGCCGAATATGCTTCTTAACCCACAGTAATGCTTTTCGCTGATCCAGCAAGCCAACATTCAAATCACCATCTTCTTCAACTTCCTTACCCGCCAGGAATCCAAAAGCTCCCACGCGATAATTGAAGTTGACAAAGATGATACTGTTTCCGGATTCCTGGACGACCTGGGTCCCGTTGTAGTTTGCATTGGAATTGGTCGCATAGGCACCTCCTTGGATAAACACCCAGACAGGCAGTTTCGAATGTGTGGTGGCATTGGATGGAGTGAACACATTGATGAAGAGGCAATCCTCCGCCCTTGTCGATGTTACATTCTGGCCAGTCCCAACACATATGAGGCCAAACTGCACAAGGGTGAGCTCTGATTTTACAGGTTATGCTTTTTATTCACCTCTGATGCATCTTGCAGAGTGGAATTATGGGCAGGCTCCTGCGCAACTCGGAAGCGAAGGTCTCCTAGAGGCGGTGCCGCATATCGCATGCCCAGATACTGATCGACTCCCGCTGCAAGTCTCACTCCTCGATACCGCGAGTAGCCAAGGTCGACCACGGGTTGGGCTGGTGGAGGAGCAGCATGTCCCGCCAGAGGGCTGGACAAGATACACAATAAAGTGGACAAGATCATATTGGTATTGATTGGAATTAGCTGAGGTATGAGCAAAACTTCGGCCGGGCCTTCTCTGGAGAATAATACCCCAGAAAACCCCAGATTACCCCACCTCTATGTTGGCTTGCTCGGGATATTTCGACCCGAAACAAACATATCAAGCAAGTTGTGATTCATAGAACTATCCCAAGTAATCTAGACAAGACACTGGCTTTAGATGAGTGGAAAGACTGCACATGTCTACCAGGCCTTGAGTCTTCTGCCTTGTTGATAAGAATATCTTATCCTCACTATCTATATACCAGGTATACTTCCAAACCATGGTCACGGAGCAGTGAACGTCAGGTTGTGAATGTGTTCGTTGGCAAACATGGGCACAAAGTCAGCCGTGTAGTACCAACTCGGCTTCTTCATCCCATCGTAGATCGTCTTACCGTTGACGACGAGATCCTCAAAGGTGACATTGGTAATGGTGCGCTGCTCGTATATCCCAGCATCAAGGACGGATTACCATTCGTCCCATTGTATTGCAATCCTTTGGTATACACATTCCAATCCCCCTTCCTGGCGATGTATTGTACTTGGAGTTGTACATGATGCGTAGGTCGATCAACTGGCCGTTGCTCTCAGGGTCCATGGTCCTATCCTTATATTTCGAAGTTGTAGTATTGCATCTATGGGAACCAGGGCTTCGGGCAATTTGACGGATTGTCGAGTATCCTTGGGGACAGAGACAAGAAAAATCCTTTGCCTCGCATTTTCTTCAATCCAACGATCCGGGGATTTGCGGAAACTGTGAAGGAAGATCATCCTCCAGCAACCATTTTGAGGACATTACGGACTAGGGTAGATATCCGGAGGAGATGAAATAGGACAAGCACCGTAGCATTCCCGGCAATTCCCCCGAATCATACAATGCAATGCACGAAATGGCTCAATTTCCTATCCACATGATCCTCACCACCTCAGATCCCAGCAGTCTTGGAATAGACCAACAGTACGCGGAAAGACAATAGGGACAGCTGGACATCAGATTAAGGAGTCTCCATATCTTAACATAGACCGCTTTAGAGAGCATGCGCCAGTATCCAACTATTTCCGCTGCGCTCCCCTAATCACTTTCGCCAAATCCTCAAACGCCTTGCGCCTCTGGTCGATCATCGCATTGAACGTCTCAGCAGGCCCAATACTGCCTATCACAATCTGGTCTTGTCCCGCAACAAGCCCTTTGAATGCAAGGTCAGTAAAGGTGTCGATGGGCATCCCAAAGTTGCGTCCGGTCTCCTCGCCCAAATGGTCATGTATCTCGGCTATACATCATCAGTCAAGCTCCCCTTCAAGGATGCAGAGATGGCATACTCTGCACAGGTGGAGGAGAAATCTCAATCACCGCCACGTTGGAGTTTTGCAGCTGCTCCCGCAGACACAAGGTGAACACGTTCAATGCAGCCTTGGAGGCAGAATATGCCGGCAGAGATGCAGCCGGGACAATAGCCACATTTGATCCGGTACTATCTCGTCAGATCCTCACATTCCGTGGAGTCGTGGACAATACTCACAAGATGATACTGGTGGGGTTTTCTTTGCCGACCAGAAAGGGTAAAAAGGCATGCGTCAAGGCGACCAGACTAGAGAAATTGACGGTCATTTGCTGGTTGAATTTCTCCAAGTCGAATTGGGCCTGATCGCCAAGATCAAATGGGGCTTGGATTCCTGCGTTGAGGAAAATGCAGTCCACATCTGGGTAAGAGTCGATGATTCTGGTCCGTCAGCAGGGCTATCATGGCTGGATGCATTACTTACTCAGCTGCAAACTTGGGGATGTTCTCCAGGACGGAGATGTCGAAGGGAACTGCGCTGGCCATTTGCTCTCCATGTTTCTGGACGAAGTCGTCCAGGCGGTCCTTCCGACGACCAACAGCTGTGACCTTGACGCCGGCTTGAATTAGTCGATCGGCCATGGCACGACCAATGCCAGCAGTGGCTCCAATGAGTAGAACGTGCTTATAAGGGAAAGCCATCTTCACTAGGACCAAAACTTCAAGAGACGAGTGAGGACAAGACGAGAATATATATCTATTGATTGTGTTGAGCAAGCGTGGACCACGAAGAATCTTGCAAGAAGAAACAGCAGAAGGGCCGAGCATTATCATGGCCTGCTTTATATATGAGAAGATCTCCTCCCGTCTTGTTCTTCTCATCTTCTACTATACCATGTCTATACTCCGCTGATAGAGAATGGTCCACTTAGCGTCGAAATGCCTGCCCAAAGTAGCTTAGCGTACATCCGCACTCCTTGATCCTATTCCTAGGTATTCATCGCATCCATTTCTTCCACTCTTTCTCGTCTATTGCATCTTTTGTCATCGCTACAGTCACCTATCTCTCTGTCTATGATCAATCTTGATGGTATTTCGTGGTCGTCCATCAAAGGCCTGCCAGCGCTGTCGAACTCGACGGTTAAAGGTATGCTTTCCCTCACACGCAGCCACCAGACATGTAACCAAGAGAACAGTGTGACTACCGTCGGGATTCGTGCACACCATGCCTTCGTGCAGCAGTGGTCTGCCATGGATATCGGGACCCACAGGAAATTCGTATTGAGGATCAGACCGAGGACGCCCGGCGCAAAGCTTTACTGAAGTCGAAACCTGCTAGGCTGACAGAGGGTTCGCTATCATTCTCCATCGAGACCCAAGCCCGTATGATCTTTTTCGCCCATTATGTGTCTGTAGGCTCCCGTGGCTGGGACTTTTTGATTCGATGGGAGTGTGAGACGGAGGTGGCGCCTCGTTGGTTAGATGCGAGCATTGATGCCGTGAGCTTAGCTCTTCTGGCGCATCAACATGTCTCGCTTCCTTTATTGTCCTTGGCTCGTCAGCGGTATGCTTTGGCTTTGGGCGTGATGAGGCAAACTCTGAGATCTCCCCCTAAAGCGAGAGACAGCCTCATCGCGGCATCTCTACTGCTGGATTTATTCGAAAAGATCACTCACTCCGAAGCGAGCATCATTCAATTCTGGCCGAGCCATGTCAACGGGACACTCGCTTTGATCCAGAAGATGGGAGTACAGCATTTTGAAGATCGTTTTGCCCTACGTATCATATCACGATTCTTAACCAACTACATCATCAGCTGCGTGGCCAGCGCGCATGCTGTCGCCAAAGATGTTTGCATACTCCGTGACCATCTGGAGCGTCGTTTGAACCTGAAAGACGATCCCAAATGGAAGATCTCGTGGCTGACGATACAGTATGCTGCTTTCCGCAGTGGGGTTCGCACCGCCAGATGGTCGCTTCAGGAGAGCATGGCCCGCGCACAAGATCTTGACCAGGCCTTATTGGCGCTCTCGCAGAATATACCTCCAGACTGGCAGCCGGATAGGCGGATTCTACGGTACCCGTTGCTCCATGTATATCGCCAACAGATGGACTGCTATCCCGATCGCCATGTCACCCAGGCCTGGAACGTCCTGCGGCAGGTTCGCATCCAGCTGAACGAATATCTCCTGGAGAGCTATGAAACGCTGAGCGCAATACAAGGAGTCAACCAGCTCGCTGCATCTGAAGCTGCGTTGAGTAACATTGCAGCACTGTCGCTCGAGGTATATGCCTCCGTTCCACAATATGCAAGTTACGCCTGTCGATCGAAGCGCAGCAAAGGGCAGGCAGTCGGCACAGACCTCTCGGTTGCCCCCCAGAAGGGCTGCGATAAAGTGCATACACCGTCCGAGCTCCTTGACTGCTACACTCTGCTGTTTCCTATGTACGTTGCCGCGCGATCCAGGGCGGCCCCGGTCGATCAGAGACAGTGGGTCTCGTACATGTTCCATTATATCAGTGATCACTTTGGCATTCGTAATGCCTTGCTACTGGCACAATTGCTGGATCAGAATACCGATGTTGACCCTTGGTGTATTTATGCCATGTTAGGGGGATACGGATTCGCCGCTTGATCATCGCGTCAATTCAGGCCGACCACCGCGTGAATGCGGCTATAAACTGAAATAGGACGCCACATTATTCGGATGTCCACTCTTTATTCTAACCACTGCATACTAGCAGGGCACCCCTTGTTCCGAACCCCATACCCGCCGCAACAGCATTCTAAAGCTATGCACATCCACAGCTGGTAGGGTACAGGAAGAAGTCCTACTGGTTCAGCGCCCTCAGCTCTATTCCTTCGATCCTGGCTGGTTTTGACTTTTGACCTGGAAGAATGGACAAGGGTTAATCACATCATGAATTGTCACTTGGTAGTATGTCTAGAGGTCCTACACAGCCATGATCCAGCGCACCCTCCATAATATGCTTTGTCATGCTCTATGTAGATAGACTCATCTTCCAAGACGACCAGCCTGAACCTAAAAACTTTTCGCTCAGTCGCCTACATGCCTTGTTTAGTTTAGTGTCCTGTCGCAGACTCTTGAAAGGTTGAGATGCGTTGCGACCAAACCACCGTCTTGGGGGAGGCTGGCCGCTGGCGGCTATATCCTTAGCGTTCTGGACTTCTGGTATGCAGCAAAATCCTCAGTCGATCATTGATTGACGATTGACCTTCAACACCTTAGAAGTAAGCATCGAACTTTGGTTAGGTTAGCTCGCCTGATTGAAGAATATATAAAATTCAATTACTTTTGTCGCTGGGGTGATGAAGGTAGACCGTTCTCCCTAGTTTGCCGCTTTTCTCATCGCAAATCTCTTCTAGTGATTTCTACCTCTAGTTTATTCTACATTCCAATCTTGGTGTCAGCGCCCTAAATTGACCCCTCCATCTCTTCCTCCATCTCTTCCGCTCGCCTGTTTTCACCAAAAGAAACAAAACAACAGTAACCCGCGTGCTGACATCTCCGCTTCAGTCATTCATCTGTCTTTGTGACCTCTTCTTCCACCTTCATTTCATTGATCCTTTTCTCTGTTCTTTTATTTTGTCCTTTTCCTTTAATCTCCAACCCCGGCCATGGAATCCCAGGCCAGAAAGCCAGACTGGTACCAAAGGGACGTGCAAAGCATCAATGCTGACGCCCAGAGTCCTGGAAAGGTACAGTGGCCTCAATCCTGAAGAAGTGATTCCACATGTGCTAAGGCTAGTATGTTTCTCCCAATCCATTCTACGTCCATTCCGAGTAACCATATATATATATATATATATATATATCAGCGAGATGAAGCCTTTCAAGTCTACCACTACCCCTGTATCGGGCAGATGCGCTTTCTTGCTTTCAACCTCCCTCGCATGCCATTCTATAATCGGGTTCTGGAACGACTACGAACGGATCCGTCCACCAACTTCCTCGATGCTGGCTGCTGTTTTGGGCAGGAGATTCGTTCCTTGGTAGACCAGGGCATTTCTGGCAAACAGCTCTTCGGATGTGACGTAGAGCAGGCATTCATTGACTTGGGATACCTGCTTTTCCGAGACAAAGACCGTCTCGAAGCGACTTTGCAACTGGAGATCTCACAGCAGAGGACGCCGTGTTTTTAGGGAGCCAATTATCGCGGACAATGTCCGGCAAGATCGATATCATCTTCGCAAGCTCGTTGTTTCATCTGTGGGACTATGACACGCAAGTTCGAGCTGCGATACGCCTGGTTCGATTGTGTCGGGACAAACCAGGCGTCATGATCACGGGGCGACAGCTTGGGAGTCGGCTGGGTGGTCACTACCCAATGCACGGCGTGAACGAGGAAGCTTTGCACTATCGGCATAATGTCGAGACACTAAAGGGCTTCTGGAGAGACATTGAAGCCGCTACCCAAACGCGCTGGACGTTGGAGGCGAGCTTCTTTGCAGATGAAGCGGCTGAGCAGACAAACAAAGTGCGTCCGGTCGAAGATACTAATGCAACGATGATATGGTGGTGCGCGACGAGAAAATAATTTTATTTTGAACATACACGTACAGTCAAGCCAAAAAACTATGTTACTGAGTCTATACGAAGCTAAGACTAGGACTTTAGTCCAGTATCAAGCGCCCATGGCCAGCGATGGAGTTGTGTCGCATTGGACGGAGTAATGGTGAGGGAAATCCTTTGCATATGCTGTGAGGGATCCTATGTCATTGTTAGCATATCTCTGCACATCTCTGGCTGTGATGAGGTTTAGGCTGAGCCAAGCACTGCTTCTGCAAAATGACGTCGGTGGCAGCCCCCCACTCAATGATGACATTGCCAAACTTGTGCAGTCATCCCCACTTTATAACCATCTGTTTCAACTGTTAGCCATTTGATTGTTTACATATTCCCAATCATAGTTGTCACAATGGTCGCCTCAACCCAAGAGCCAGAGCAGCCCACGGCTCCTTCTACCCCGCAGAAGAAGAAACCAGCCAAGCTACGCCCGCGGAAGAAGGCAGAAGACGAAACTCAGGATGATGCACCAAGAGAAAACTCTCCAGAAGCGAGCAATATCCCCCCAGAGTCTGAACAGCCTCGTGGCAGTGGGCCAGTGGACTCGCCCAATCCCGAACCCGAACCTCAACCGGAACTCGAGCCAGAGCACCGTCAACGACGCAACCGCCGCGTGCGACGACCCCGGCGGGATCCCGACGAGGAACAATCCGCAACACTATCCGAGACCGCTGACAACCGCGAACGACGACGTCGCCCCCGCCGGCGTGACGAGCAGCGCATGGTGCCGTTCGGGGCTGACAGCGTGGGGAGGGAAGTCGGGCGAAGGAGACAGGATGGCAGCAGTACGTTGGATAGCATCGGCAATACCAACGGCATGATGATGGGACAAAATCAACAAGGAAGTCAAGCTCAGCCAGAGAAGAAGAAAGAGTCAAAGGATACGTTATCGTTACGGCTGGAGTTGAACTTGGAGATAGAGGTGCAGTTGAAGGCGAGGATCCATGGCGATTTGACACTGGCTTTGCTGTAGGTCTTCCCTCTTTCTGGTATTGGGTATGCTGCTGACAGTTTACAGGAATTGAGTTGGCATCAGATGGAGTTGGGTGTTCAAGGCTTACGATATGGTTGGTTTAGGATTTACTGTATGGGAATCATGTTACCATCTTTCATCAATGATAAGACAATCTATACATGAGAATATCAACCAGACAGATCATTATCGTTCGTACATCATGAGATCATATCAAAAAACACAGTTTCAATCACCCCAATCCTAACACAACCAATCTGAAATGCCATCCGAGCAAATTTCACCCTGAACAAGAGATATTGTAGTACCACATGCCGAAAACTCAAGTGTCCTTCTTCCCTTCTGGTTTCTCATCATTTTCATCCTCCGGCTCATCCTCCCCCTGCTCCTGACTATGAGACAACCAGAACCTGGTGATTGTCCCCCCGAGGAAATGCTGATCAATAAACTTGACCATCCCATATAAGATCCACCCCCAACCCCAGAGCGAGACCCCCATCATACTGGCAACCAGCAAGATCGGCCCCGCCAGGATCAACGAGAGCACCGCCCAGAGGAGCACCGCGACGGCAGCAAAGAGGAACACCCCGGCCAGGAACACGAGCAGCGGAACCCCGCAGCAAATCAGCTGGCAGATGATGAACGTCGAGGCGATGGGTCGGTTCAGGATGGCTTCGTACATTTTGGCTTGGCGCGGGGGCGGGAGTAACCAGGCGATCAGGCCCTTGATCCAGTTCTCGAATCGGTCCATGAGGCTGGGGAAGAAGGAGAACAGCCAGTTCTTGAAGGAGGACCAGATGGCCGAGAAGGAGATGTCCGGCGCTGGCTTGTCATATTTCTGGTCGTCGGAGGGGTACTCGCCTGGAATGGCTTTGTCGGTGACCTTTTCGGTGGTGCTGTTGAGCTGTTTCGTGGTCTGGTTGACGGTTCCTGATGCGACGTTGTTGACGGTGTCGGTGGGCAGGCCCTTGTTTAGGCCGCCGGTTACTGTATTGAGGGACATTTGAGCTGGAGATGATATGTATTGAGAATGTTATTACTCCAAACGAAGGATGTTAAGAAGTTCTCTTGAAAACATTCTTATTCCTGTTGATGTGATCGTCACTTGTCCCCGATGACGTAGTGGGCGTTGGCATCAGGACTCGCCAGTTGGCGTCACGGATAGAATGATCGCAGACCAAGATATGATACATATTATAACCGCGGTCTCAGCGGCCGAGGCTTCTCGGCGCCAATCAAAGGAACCAGACCAGGATCTCCCTTTGCCATGGCTGTCTGATATGACTCCCGCTGGTTGACCCTCTGCAGATAGGCAAGAATCCCCTCATATCCCTCCAAACTATACGGACAGAACAACCGCGCTGTCGTCAAGGTAAACACACTCATAACGTCCGCGGCAGTGAACTCCTCCCCAGCCAGCCAGGCATTCTTTTTCAGCCGATCATCCAGAATCTTCAACGCCTGGTCGAAATTGCGCTTGGCGTATTTCGCGCTTGGGTCTTCGGGGGAGATCCCCGATCGGAGTAGCCTGGAGAACCCCATCACCGCGGGCTGGAAGTATCCATTCGCAAAGTGCAAGAAGTACAGATAATCCGAGTAGTTGTCCGCCGTTGGGGCAATAGTCAATTTTCTATCACCGTACTTGCTCAGGATGTACTCGACGATCGCCCCAGATTCGGCGTGTGTGGTGTCGCCGTCTTGGATAACGGGGGCTGCCTGTGTGGGATGTCTAGCGGGAAAAACAGATCAGTGTGTTCTACTTTAATTTCTTGTGATTTGTGATCAATCGTACAACTGCTGCAATGCTGGAGGGGATAAAAGAGTCTTCGCATCGCGCTGGTATGTTCTGAGCTCGTAGGGGATGCCCAATTCCTCGCAGAGCCAGACAATGCGCTCGGACTGAGATCGCTGGAGGTGATGTACAATAAGCATATTGTAGATTATGTTCAGGAAAACCTTGAAGAAGAGGTGAATGGTCGATGAAAGGATAATCATGCGGGGTTGAAGTTATATATCACGAACTGATTTCCACTAAACATCTGGCCGGCCCTGAAACTGCGAAATACCTCGGGACATCGATGAATCCATTCCAGCCTTGTGACCCGACGGCCCGACATGCTAGACAATTACTATTGCCAATGCCATTGCGATTGTAGCACAATTGAGAAGAAGACGATTTCGAGCCACATGAAACCGCCCTTCTGGTCGAATGCAGGAAGATCTCGGTTGAATGCAGTTCATGGCCTTTGTCTTGATTGACTTGTACTACAGGTATCAATCTCATCCGCATCAAACTACTACTACTACTGCTGCTGCTGCTGCTGCTGTAGGATGTCTACAGAGGCATGACAGGTTTCGGATCATCTGCAGCTGCCGAGCTCAAATGAAGTCCATCCTGTACCATAAAGTCGAATTAGGTTGTAAAGTCATGAAGATTCAGTTCATCTGGTAGCCTAAGACACGCTTTGTAAAACAAACATTCGAATTAACAAATCCATGGTAGCATCCACCCAGGCCAGTGGCTCTTGCAAGTCTTCCACGTCCCACTGAAATAGTGCTTCACCAGCACATCGGGTAAAGTGTGATCCTCGCCCTGCGTGACCGCAAAGGATCTTTTGGGCAGGATCATAACGTCTCGAATTCTTACAGGGTCCTTCAAGTCCCGTAGATGTTGTACTTGCTCCTCCGAGCAGCTCAAGTAGTCCAGGATCGTATCCGTCCATACACTTGGACCCGTCCAGTCCATAACGTTGACCTCAGCATCACCCTCCAAAGCATGCACCTGTTCAACAAAGCTTGGAGTCCTCTCCGCAATCCGACTAAGTAGATCCCGGAACATTGGGTGCAGAGGAGTCGATGCCATAGTCCACTGGACGAACTGCGGCGAGCGAGGAAGTCCTTGTGTGGTTGCGTCTCCTTCCAGGCCAATAATCACATTTGGAGGACTATGATGCTGCTCTCCGGAAGATCCCATAACAGTCCACGGCAGCGGCTGGAATAGGTGGACATCGAGGTCGCTGTACACCCCTCCTCGCCCGAACAGGACCAGGTAGCGACAAAAGTCCGACTGGAGCACGGCATAGGGAAGTTTCTCAAATGCGTCTGCAAGGGTTCCTGACGCGTCAACATCGCGTGCGAGCTCGCGGCAGGCCTCCTCGCTCCAGTACTCGACTTTCCAGCCCGATTGCTGCCACGAAATCACGTGGTCACTGGGTTCAAAGTGCGAGATGGGATGGTCGGGCATCGACAGAAGAAGCTGGTGGACGGTCTGGGGAATGGCGATCTCCGTCACCGAGTACGCTTCGGTGACTGCAGGCAAGTGAGAGTGGTGATCATAGTAGCGATATAGTAGCCACAGGATGCTGAAAAAGACGATTGCCTGGATGGCAACGAGAGGCCGCATCGGTAATGCTATCAACAGAACCCAATTTTCGTCACGATACAGACAGTCGTGAGCAGATATCAATATTCGACCAGAGCGCTCGATTCCAGCGACCGAAAGGTCTACAAAAGCAGAGATCTTGGTGCCGAAATGTCTATCTGGTTGTTCCAGGCACTCGAGCGCATCATGATCCGGTGTTCCCGGGCCAGCTTGATCGGTAGTTGGCCTCTCGGATATGATTTCCTGCAGTGAATATCCCTGCCTGTTGATCCGACTTTCTCTCGTGACCACAGTCTTGCTAGAATCGTCGTCAGTGAATTGAACAGAGGGTTCGCGGCATTCTGCACTTTGCAGAGATTCTCAATTCCTAAGAACGACGAGGGGAAGATGGATGCGTTCCTGAGACTAGCAGCTTGGCGCGACTCTAGTCTCGGAAGTTGTGGCCTCAAGTCGCCGTTTGCGATATTTTTGACCGTGTTGTTGTTTTGGTGTGGATAAATAATGAATGCACTAGGCCCTATCAGGAATGGCTTGGTGATGTTGCCTGAAAAGGAAGGTCCCTCAGGCCACTAATCCCTAGATCCCTCAGGCCACCAATCCATCTTTCAACACTTTTCATCAAGAATAGATTTTGTTGTCTCGCTCTTCTTTATACAAAAGGCTTCATCTGCTAATCGATAGACAGAGTGTCATCAATGCTCAATCCCAATCATCATATAATTAGTCTGAATCATTGCGGCTGTGAATTCCGACACTATTATGGAATGCCATGGCTGCTGCCTGACTGGCGTCTCGGCGAGAATGAATTGTCCAGCCCTGCTACATGGAGCAAGACGCACATCAACTGCGCCAAGTCTTGTTCCTCTGTTCGAATTTAGCTGTACAGATTTGTTGTCCTTTACTATTGTCTAGCAGAAACCTGATTTCCGAATAGTGCCACGAATGCTGCAGCTATCTGTGTTGATACAATAAGACAGAAATCGTCTCAAACCCGCCTCACATCAATCGGACTCGAAATTCTCCTTTGTAGGTCGATCGCCGGCTCTGGATAAGAAGGGATCGTGGTCTAGCGTCCGCTTCCATTGGGCCATCTGGCTTTCGTCGGACTTTGGATGGTTATGCAACTCACGCGGCGTCGAATTAGGCGTACAGACTTGGATCAAGGTATCTTTGGGATTGATCAACTGGCCAACCATGGAGACGAATAAAAGCTGAAACCGAGCTGATGGGCCATTAGACAGCGGCCCTCCTGCTTGGTAGCCCTTGTCTCTCTCCGCCCTTGATGGTGGGACGTAGAAGATTGGTTTGACTCCCATCGATTCACCGCAGTAACGCAGGCTGATTGAGTGAAGAAAGACATGAACTTTGCACCTTGATGGATCTGAGGTTATCTTCATCGCCGCAGGAATCCATCAACATTATCTTCAGCACTACAAGGAAGCCATAAACAGAGCAAAGGCTCTGCTAGAATTTTCCCCAGTGGCGATGTCCAAGTGATAGACTACAATCGTCAATAGTGAGACCAGCTAGAAAGTTGCATTCATTGATGGCAGTGTTTTCTGTCCTGTATGTTTCAATGAGGTTGATATGTCGAAGATCGCACTTACTGCCACATTGTTGACGATCAGGCCCCCCGCAGCTGACAGATCTCCAGCAAATCACTGCGCGTTTTGGGGATATATAACCGGGCTGTGTGAATCGTACATTTTTCTGACCGTAGGAGCTAATAGAGATTGGATATGTTTAGGTATGATCAGTCTGTCACTGTCAGCTAAGACCAATAGAGCAGGGACACTGGACATGCGGGAAGCCTGACGCCTCAGATAACTTAAATCCAAATATAGAACGGTTTCATTTGTTGATCTTATGTGAGATGGACGACCTTCAAATACATTAATAGATGCTGAAGCCACTCGTACCTCGCCATCCTGGAATAAACAACGAGCCTCAGCAGCCATCATCCTCTCCGAATCACAAGTCACACAACAGCGGCAATATGAAGCACCTTTCCCTTGCAACTCTTCTCCTCTCCCTCTCCGGCTCTCTCACAGCAGCCTGGAATGTCACCGCATACAGCAACACCGACTGCACCGGCTACCTGACCTGCTTGACGGGGGAACAGGACTGGGGCTGCTACTGGCTCACGGGCGTCACCGAGCCCATTCAATCCCTGAGCGCCGAGGACCTTCCGGACGGATGGAGGTTCATTGGATCGAGTGGCACTGCCTGCGACACCTGGCATCAGTCCGGAGGAGACGGATGTTACACTCAGAGCCAGGGATTTCAGTCGTTTGAGATTATTGGGTCGAGCAGTTGAGTATGGTTGAAACTATATGAATTATTGAGCGATACTAACACTGGCAATTAGTTGACTGAGAGATCAAGACCGCGAGAGTATCGAAAGTGATGATGTTAGTTCGCTGTTCGTCTGGGTCTGGTATTTTGGTTTCTCCTCTACGTTTTACATGACAAGGACCTTGTTGTGGATACACAATTTCTAAATTGAATTTGGACCTAAGGCAATAAAAGGTCGAATTGTTTCTCCTAAATAGTCAATAAAATAAAATGGCATGAGGAACGTACCGATGCTGATCAGTGCGATTCGACTTAATGCTCGACGAGTTTCCATATTGCTGCACGCCTCCTATTTAGCGCCTGAGTAACACGTCTGAGTCGGTATGACACCTATTTGAATACCGTCAATGCTACGTAAAGCGCAGAATTACCATGAAAACAGATGGCGAACGAAGTCAGCAACCTTGTCCCGGAAAGATTGACAAAAGAAGAGGAATCCATACGAGCGATATGCCTCCTGCCATTAGGTAGCGCTGGCAACCCAAAGCCCCGAGCCGAGCTCGTCGACGACCGAGTCACACTCGACCCCGACAGACTGGGCCATGTCCGCAGCTTCTGCCAGGAAATCTTCATTTGGCCTTCGAGGGTCCGTGGCCCAGACGCGAAGAGTCACCCGTTCCAAGCTAGGAATCCGTTTCTTTGTCTCGACAACACGCTGGTCGACCGCAAAGACCATCCCGTACGGATCCCATGCGTAGTTGTCGAACCCGGAGAGATCGTTCCGAAGCACCACGTGTCGCATTTTTGGGGGCAGGTACTGGCGAAAATCCGCCCAATTCTCGTTCGAGAACCATCCCAGTAAGAGCGGCATTGGGACTTCCAGCTCCTGAAGCTGTGTGAACTCAGGGAACAGCATCAAGAAGTGATCCGTCAGCGTACTAGCACCCGAACTATTCTCCTGGTCCCAGCTGAATCCGCCAACAAAGCTTGGGTCAGTGTCGAGACCTATCGAGAGTGTCTCCAGGCGACCCTTCAACAGCTTCAAGGCGCCAGCCAGTTCCTTGCTGTCGAAAAGTGGTAGCTGCCGCTCGAAGTTGTAGCAGATTCCCAGGTGCAACCTACGGAGCTTCGGACAGGCGCCGAGAATCGCCTTGATGTCGGCAGCATCCGCACTTGACCTGGCCAAGACTAGGCTTTCCAACTCCCCAGCCGCCAGACGATCCTTGTATGCATCGAAACCGGAGGCACTTCTGAGCCACATCTCCACGTGCTTCAGCTTGGGCAGGGCGAACCAGGGAGCAAATTGGTCCTTGTTTCCGAGTAAGGGAAGTACTGCCACCGCTTCCTCCGCCTCGTCGTCGAGTTTCTCAGCCTGGGGAACGTCGCCGCCATATTTGAGGATCTCCAGTCTGTTGAATTTGGAGATGCCGTCGAAGGAAGAGCGGAGGGCGTGTTCGAGGAAAAGACCGGGGAAGCCACCGTTCAGAGTGTAGGTATAGTCTAACTCCAAACTTCGCAGGTTAAACAGTTGGGAGATCAGAACCGTTGCATACGCGTAGTAATGGCCCTGTCGGAGCAGCTCCACGTAACCTTCGGTGTCGAAAAGGCCGATCCGTCTCACGAACTCGATTGCCTTTTCGGTGACAAAGGCAAATCTCGTGGCCTGCTGTTGAAAGTCAATATCTGGAACAGGCGCAACCCAGGCCGGTCCGGTGTAAGTGAGCTGGAGGTGCTTGACATACCCTGCAATTTGCGCATTCAGGAAGATCTGTTCCAGCAGTAGAAGTACTCGTCGGAGGGGTGTTGCTGTATAGGTCCACAAGATGTCTCTAAAGACGAGTGGCTTCGCCCATCTGCGCAGATCTCTGGAGACCTTGGAGACAGCCAGATTGTCAGCAGAGTCTAGGTTGTCAAGGACATTCAGGAGACATTCTGGCGGGAGCATGCTGAGCGGGCTGAAGGCGCTGTCAGCTGCATTCTCAGAATTGTTAGCAGAAGATACAGACCCGGCCTGCGGATCCATTTTGGGATATTTGAAGTTGATCTCCGAAAGGTGCTGAAGGTGATAAAGTTGATATAAAGACGATAGTGATTTGATTGGGAGGGTATTGGTAAGGGAGAAGGAGAAGTGTTGATGAAGTAAGAGTCAAGAGTTTAAAGAGAAAATGCACACTTTTATAGACGGTCGACCATTGGATTGTCTTAGAATCACCTTGAGTGTCTAACATGAGGGTATATTCACTGCGACAAAAATCATTGCCTACGAAACATAAACCTTTGTCTTCCAAGACACCCAAACCGTCTTCTGTCTTGATGGTAGATGGGAGAGTCCCTTCAGCAGCGCTCGGGTCCGTTTGACACATTTCGCTTTCATTCATTACAAAGAAGAAATGATTGAGACATAAAGGAACAAAGATTATTGAGAAGGTCCTATATGCTGACAATGGCATTGTACGAGATCAGAGACTTCGTGTTTGATTCCTTTGTTGACGGGATTCCCAGCTATATACACCGGTTGATCACCGTGCCATTGCGAGAGACTGGTCTGATCCTCCTATCTCGACAAGGTGAACATAATTTCTTCATCCATCGAGTCACATTCGTGACAGCAATTTAGTACAGCCCTTCCATCCTCAAGGGTCAAAAGTCAAGGATCAATGAATGGGTTGAGATAACGTGGTGGTCATAGATGAGCAACAGAGAAATGAATGCATTCAATACCCGATTCGTCCATGACGGACCACCAAGCATAAACCCTGTCATACAGATTCACTCATTAGATGGTACTGTTCAATAAGCTCACTCAACGCTCTTGATGGTTCGAAATGTTGCAGGCTGTACATGGATAGTGCCGACGATCAAGAGGCGCTGCCCTCTGCCTTGCGCTGATCATTATTGGCCCGCCAGATACCTACGGAACGGGGGGTTCTCGTTCAGTAAGATTGAGTATACATAGGCCAGAGTTTGTCCCTCTTAGGGAGGACGAGACGAGAATTCAACGAATGAAAATGGTAAATGTTTGAATGAGAACTCTAGAGGTTTACCATTTGATCCAAGCGGGGGTAGATTGGTGAAGCCTAGAAAAGAAAGAAGAGACCTTATAGCTTCTAGGGAACAATAAGAGACAGAAATGCGCACACACAAAGACTACATATGAAACTTGACGTACTCGGACATTAACGTGGAATTCGCATGTTGTTGTGGTCAGATCCGAGAAAGAATCACTTTCCAGACTTCATACCTCTTGTTCTATGGCTATCATCGCAGCTTAATTATTTTCAAATAACCCCGAAATTTCCTTTTTGTAAAGCTCCAGACTCGCCAAACGTGCCACACTGCCCTTGACTGTCCGAATGAAGGGCCTGTCTACACTGGCGAAGATCAGACGCTCAGGACTCAGCTTCACGCACTCATGGCAGTGCTCGTTGACTTTGTCAATATGGGGCTGTAGGCTCTCGATCATCGCTTGACGACCAGCATGTGATACCGCTTCGTCCTGGTCATGCATTTCCACCAGAAGCACCGGCAGTGGTCGTCCGTGACCCCCTATCAGTGCCGCTTTCACCTTCGGATGCTGTTCTATCTCCGGCTCCAGCGATGAAGCGTAGAGACCATCACCATGGGAGAGAGAAACATAGTCATCCATGCGCCCGACGATCTTCCACAACCCTTTGCGCGTTGGATGCTCGATCCACAGATCGTTCGTCTCGAATCGGTCGCGGTCCGGATAAAGGAGAAATATATGCTGCATTTTACATTCGGGCTGACGAACAAAAACGAGTTCATGGAGGTCTCCCGAGCGGGGCTCAAAGACCGCCCCTGCATGTTTCTGGAATTCGATGTAATCCCAGTCCTTGTCGTCACGACGGAACCTGGTGAAGTAGCCTCCCACCTCGGTGCTGCCGATGACGGGAACGACCTGGACGTGAGGAGCAAGGAGGTCGCCTGACTTTCGTGAGAGAGGAGCTCCGGCATAATTGAGCACTTTGAGGTTCCTCAATGCCGAGAGGGCTCGGTCGTTGAAGCACATTTGGTCGATTAGAGCCGGAGTCAGTAGTGCACTGTCGACGCGGCCATATTTGAGGATATCGACGACGATATCGGGGGTAGGTGGTGCAGATGGGCCGACAACGATGGTTGCGTGAAGATATGTGGTCATGGAGAGAACCAACATCATTCCTACCAGCTTTTTATGGTCAGGTAGAGGAAAAGGATTCACCAGAGAGAGCTACGTACGTGTAAAGATGGTAGGGGTGTATACCAACGTCTCATAGGACCGTGGTGCAACAAGCCTTCATCAATGTCCGGCAGAGACGCAGCCAGGTCAAAGGCAGCCGCCATCTGGTGAGTATAGGTAATGGGTTTGGGGTATCCTATCTGCTTCAGCCCACGGAATACTGCCCAGAAGTACTTCGAGATCAACTAACCTGTTGTGCCAGAGGTATGAAACACCATCCAAGGATCATTCTTTCCTTCTTCCCAGGATTTGGGGTACACATAAGGCTCAGCAGCAGTCTCTTGTAGTAGGATTTCAAGTTCAGGAGCTGTGATCTGCTGAATATTGGGTGCATGCTCCAAAATAGCACCAACTACCGGCGCCATACTTGACGGTCTGATATAGACCTGACATTGTGTCTTGCTCAGAATCAAACGCTGGGCTACCGGCGGAATCAGAGGTGATGGGAGCACCATCTGTTAATGCATCAGGGAGAGGCCGTTTGTGTCAATCGCTTTACTAACCACTTTCTGCAGCTTTCCTGCCGCAGCAGCAATAATGGGATAGCGAAGGTCCTTGGGACCTGCATATGCGAACGATTGGAATGGCTCATCTGACGCAGGTAGGTTTTGCTGCAACCAGTGAACGGCATGGTCGACTGCGTTGTTGAACTCTGCGAAGGTGATCTCTTTATATCCTTGAGATAGGTCATTGTTGTCTATTGGTACCGAGACCCAGGAGCTGTCTGAATCGTTCTTCGCTCGCTGTTCAATAACCGAGATCAGAATGCGATTGCCATGTTGTATGCCGGGCAGTGGAAAAGTAGTCATCTTGGTAATGGTCACCAATCTTGGGAAGTGAAGTGTTTGAGCGACTCATCAGAATTGCATGTAGAAGGCCCTCGAGCTGAATATATATGGAGACAGACAGGGATCCGCGTGGGGTCCACTATAACTAGACCTAGAGCTGTCCAGCCACAACGCAGCTAAGACTAGCGCTTACTTCACGCGCACTCTCAAAAGCTTCACTGAGGGGTTTAAGCTGCTGCTCTCTGCCTGACTTTATCAGGATTTCTGCCCCAGTATAGTGAAACGGAGGGAGCTTAGGCACTGCCGTCGTAGCCACCGTCTATGTACGCGATATAGCGCTTGTGCTTGAGGCTAGGAACCAGCAGTATGATTCTTATAGGGCTGACACGTGGTCCCTATTCTGATCTGCATTCAACAGCCGGTCCAGAACTGTCGCATAGAGACTGTCGGCGTAAGACTGAGGACTGCATACTGCACCACTCGGATGACCATAACCTACTTCCGAGGCAAAGCATCATCATGTCCCTGAAATCATTGGCCGAGGATCTGCGAAACAGAAAACACCGCATTACGGAGATAACCAAGGAGCTGGTTGTGCACATATTTGCCCCTAGTTGGGGCCAAAATAGTGCTGAGATCATCCCCTCCCGCCCTGACGTCCATGTTCATCAGCACTACTACTCCATAAAGACCCCGCACTTGAATTCCTAATCTTCTTTCTGACTCTTCGAATCTGTTAGGATTTATGATCAACGTTCTGTTTTACTAATGGCGTTCCCTTTCAGAGTTGTCGAACATATCATTCCCGGACAACATATCCGGGAAAATCCCCATGCCCTTAAAGGACGCCAGGAAACCGCTTTGAAGCTTGCGGTTAAGCAGTATATCCCACTCGACCAGACAGTCCCTCTTCCCGAAAATGCTGTGACAATCATCGGGGCGCAAGGAAACGGATTCCCGAAGGTAGGTAAATCATTCAGTGTCAGCACTTAGTATGGACTTCTCTAATCCCAGGCAGGAGACATATGAGCCGCTGTGGCAGGATCTCTATGCTCGGCTCAGGAAGTGCTCAATTCCAGTGCGTGGCATTTGGATCGCCGATGTCTCGCACCAAGGCGCAAGTGGTGTCTTGAACGAACATGTTCAGGGTGATAATCGTATGTCTCCCTCGATTGCCGTTTGAGTCGGGTAGAGGATCTGACAATGAACAGCACATTGGCATGACCATTCCCGGGATCTGATGCATATGATCAATCACTTCCGCGACGATATTGCTCGTCCGATTATCGGAGTCGCCCATAGCATGGGCTGTGCACAGCTGTAAGTTATCTTAGTACTTCTATGATCATGCCTGACAACTTGCAGCGTCCAGTTATCCATTATTCATCCGCGTCTTCTCTCAACACTTATCCTCTATGAGCCTATCATCTTCGGGGAGTCATTCGAGGGTCCGAACCCCGCAATTATGGCAGTGCTGCGTCGAGACCTGTGGCCTTCGCGGGAAAAGGCTGAAATGCAGCTCAAAAAAGGACTCGCAAAGTGCGATCCCCGTGTTGTAGACCGCTACCTTCAGTTCGGTCTACGTCCTGTGCCAACGCCCCTCTACAATCCCGAGGACAACCTCGATATTCCCAAGTCGGCCGTCACACTAACCACCAGCAAGCATCAAGAGGCGTGGACTTATACCATTCCCAATCTCGAACCCGAATCAGCAGGGCTGGACGACCTCCTGCTTCCTGGTTGGGATCCGGTCGTTGAGCGTCCTGCTGCGTTCGCCCGTCCAGAAGCCTGGGCGGCGTTTCGGTATCTGCCATTTGTGCGACCTAGTGTATTCTGGGTATTTGGTGGTCGGAGCCGGTTTTCTCCCCCCGGTGCTCAACAGTCCAAGCTACGAGCCACCGGAACAGGCATTGGAGGAAGTGGAGGCGTGGCTAAGGGGATGGTAGATAAGGCAGTTTCACCAAAGGGGACGCACCTGGTTGTCTTTGAGGAAGTGGATTGGTGTGCGGAAGTCGCGGCAACCTGGATTGAGAAGTGGTTCGAGCGATATCTGAAGGAGGAGGAGTTCTGGCGAACATATCAGAGCAAGAAGTCGGACACGGAAATGCTTAGGAATTCCGAGGCCAGTATCCGGGTGGCTAAGATGGCGATGGGAGCGTCTCGAGGGGATACCAAGGGGAAGCTGTGATTGTGAATGAAAAACTGAGCAGCAAGTATTGCATGAGAGGGAAAAGAATAGGAGAGAGGTGGAGAAGAGCTGGAACAAGAGGAGAAATACTTTAGGATAGGGCAATGTGATCTACGAGAAGGGCAGATATCAAACATAATATCTCATCGTCTTTTTCCCTCAGCGGGATCACTGCGCTCATAATCGGATCTTTGATATAGATTCATACGGCGTGGTTTCTCTCCACTCTCTTTTCTGTTCTTGCATACTTCAAAATGATACAACTGAAGGTTGCTGCTCAAGGCGCCATAGCAAGGTATAATCTGCATCTTTTGGCGTTTTGAGACTAAACCGTGTTGAAAAGGCTGGCCAACATCATCTTGACCCTTTCCAGCACCACCCTCAACGAAGAGCACCCGGCTATCTCTCCAAAAGCTTCACTGGCTCGGATCAAGGGGAACGGCAAGAACATGGCTGCGCTGGAATACCGAGTTCCATTACTGTCTTGTATATGCCTCAGTCATTGGCATGGGTACATTATCCTCCAAATCTCGATGACGATAAATTGGAATCACCCCTCCACAGGCGAACGGATTCATCGTATTGGAGTATTGGAAGGGCCAAAGCAACGGTCCTCACGGATGTCGACCGACAGCCTTTGTTTGTCCTGCGAGGGTTTGGGATAAAAGTAAACATTATCGTTCAGCCTCGTCTACTTATGTACACAAACTACTTCGCAATCGCATTCTTGATCTTTGTAGCCGCCAGCTCTACCACAGCCTTGGCCGTCGCCGACTTCCTCACGGGCTCCAACATCACATAGTCATGAATCTGCCCATCGGCCTTCAGCACAGTCGTCTCGACACCAGCCTTTTGCAAGCGCAGCCCAAAGGCCTCACCCTCGCCGATCAGCGGATCAGCACCAGACACGAAGAGAGTCGTGGGCGGAAACTTGGCCAGATCCTCGTCTTTAGCGAAGCTCAAAGGCGAAGTGAGGGCGTTCTTGCGGTCCTCGGGGTCGGGCAAGAAGGCATCGATCATCCAGTCCATGGTCTTTTCGGTGAGGTAGGGCCCGTTCTGGAAGGTCTTGTAGGTTTCAGTCTTCTTGTGAGTGTCGGTAACTGGGTAGAAGAGGACAAGATGGGAGATGTGGATGGGCAATTGGCGTTGATGGACGAGTTGGACCATGGCGATGGCCATGTGGCCTTATTGTGTCAGTAGAATTTCAGGAGATATATAGATATATAGGTAAAGGGGCGTACCGCCAACACTGTCGCCGGCGAAAGCGATCGAATCAATCTTTAAATTGAGATCCTTTGCATTGCCGACGGCCCACTTGACACTGCGTAGGATTCCTCGAACTGTGTAGGATACTGCTTCTCCGGGGCGGGAGTGTAATACGGGAAGACTACTGCCGCATTGGTTTGACGGGCGAGATCCTCCATAAGGGAGCCATGAGCATTGGGACTGTATTACATGATTAGAATGATTGAACGAGGATGAGTGGGAAGTCAATATAACCTTCCCAGGACCCATCCGCCGCCATGAGTGTAGAAAATCACTGGCAAGGGGCCTCTGGCCGCTTTGGGCCGGAAGATGATAGTGGTCACGTTCCCGGTTCCAAAGGGCACTTTCTTCTCGATATGGTCAATATCAGAGGCAGGCTGGTGTTTCTGGATGGTTTCAAGAACTTGACGGGCCTCCTGGTAGGACTTTGTATAGAGGGGAGGAGCGCCGGAGCTGGCGTCGATGAAGCTTTGATTGACAGGGTCAAGGGCAGCCATTTTTACTATTCCTTGTGTTTCTTACAAAGTGGACCCGTATGTAAAGCTCTCGGAATTTGAATCCGCTTATATACAACGACTGAGGAGAGTGTAACCAGATCTCAGCGTCACGACAATCCATCACGGAATATGCCGAGTGGAGTCAAAAGTCTATCTTGACGACTGGATCCACCTTGAACATAGATATGTATTTCTATTTCCTTATCCTCGACGATGATTCATCTAGCATATCTAAATACTTGATTCTATTCCTTAGGTGCACCAATGGCCTAGCCAACTCCTGATGTCATGACATGGAGCAGATCGGAAACAACTGCATGTCCTATCATCACTACTACTCCACATCGTACAACTAACAGTACATTGCGCTCTCATTGACGGGATGGATGACTCCAGCATCGATCAATCCCCCGTAGCTCCAGTAATCAGCCTGCACACCTTCTCCGTCCACAGCCGTGGTACTATTGTGCTTGATAGACCAGAATGTTCCTCCATGCAGGTACTTGTCCCACGCATACCGCTGCGTATTGAACAGGTTCTCCCGGTTTGCAAAGGTGTTGTTATACAGCACCTGCAGCGACCACTCACCGACGAAAATAGGCAGTTTGCCATCTCCCACCGTCCCCTCGGCTTGTCCGCAGATGGCCGGGTCGGCCCACTGCCGTAGATTCCCGACGCAGCGAAATAGTAGATGTGCACATCCATGGCCACGTTGAGGCAAGTATTATTGAAGTATGGCGACCAGTGCTCCTCGCCCATAAAACAGTCTTGCATCATGAGTGGGATGCATGGGTTGGTTTGCTTGATGCGGTCCTGTACGCCATCGACATACTGCACCACCCAAGCGGTGCCGTTCGCAGTCAGGGTCTCAGGTGAGGTGTTCCGAACCCAGTGATGTTATCCGAGGCTTCGTTGATCGGGGCGAAGGTGAAGGCTTCTGGGTTCCCTGAGGTATTGATGAACTCTAAAGCTGCCTTGAATGCTTGATATGAGAGTTCCAGGTTGGTCGTGTTGTAGAACCAGTCATCGTGACCCAGCGCTTCTCCAATGTCCAGTGTATTGACTCCGCCCGGCAGCGAGTGTAAGCCCAGAATGATATGCATACCGTATTCGGTAATGGCGTACTGGGTAATTTCGCGGAGGTATGTCAGTCGATTGCCGTGGTAGTATCTCCCAATATCTCGCACAGAGTCCATTCGTCCGTCGCGTTAGGTGCCGGGGAATCCCACCAGTCGGGATAGAAAACCTTTTCTAGTTCGAGTCATCCCCCGAGATTGACACTGTTTGCCTTGAATGTGGTTTAGTCAACGTATCCCGAGTAACTTCGGACGTCGAGAAGGTAGGGGCCGGGGCCTGGCAGGACGTCGCCGATGTGGTGATGGTGACGGTTGTGGGCTCTTTAGTCTCGGTGACAGTCGAAATAACATCGACAATCGATCCTGCAGTCTCACAGTCGGATGTTCATCACTGCAAGCAAGAGCTTGGAATGCACCCAAGCCGAGGGTGATCAGCCATGCTGTCCTCTTGTGGTCATCAGTATACATACGGAACTGGTGTCTGGGAAAGCTCTCCACCAGGCACCGTCTTATATCTAACTCATTGGGCCTCCTCCAGTGGTCTTCTTCATTTTGCTCATTTTCGACAATCAACACGTAGCAACGTCATGAATGCTGTGAAGGGGTGTCTTCGCGTCTGAGTTGGGCGCCATCCCGCGGCATGTAAGGGGTACTATTCACGTCGATTAGCCCTAACTGCAGGAACATAGAATGTCAAACAGCCAGTAGTAGAGATCAAATTAATCACTGTGGATGCTTCGAGAGACTGAAATGTGATTTCTAAGGCCGCGCATACTGACTTACCCGGTTTACCCATGGGATCACCTCCACAGAGCGAGCCTTATGATTAGTGGGATAGAAAAGCTGCTTCAAAAAGTCTGATTGCTGATTCAACCTGCTATGACTTGATACAGACTTGAAATATAGAGCTTTGAGTCTCTGGAAACATGATGATAACTCGTATATCCATACATCCTCGGGTATTATGGTCATCATATCGCGGTCAACGCAAAGGTATAGACATACATCGCCTACATATTAACATCACTGCTTTTCCAGCCGACTCAAATCACGAATGTCCTCCGCCGACGATTCACTCGATTCTTCCTTGCTCGTTTCTCCGATCATATTCATGCTTTCCTCCATCCTGTTGTATTTGCGGAAGCAAAAGTAGAACAGGACAGCTGTGGCAAACATAGTTACGCTGAGAGACGCATATTCCACCAGCACTTTTGGATCGACCGATACAGGCGACAGAGTAATTCCCATTGTTGAGCCAATCGTGCAGGTAAGAAGAAAGAGAGAGGAGACGATGCTCCGCATTGACCTCGGGGCTTTGGTGTAGGCGTATTCCATCCCTGACAGACTGGCGAAGAATTCGGAGAGACCAATGAGTGAGTAGACTGGAATCTGCAGGAGAATGCTAACATGGGATGGTGGTGAACGATATATTACTGCATTATGACATTAGAAAGTCTTTTGAGCATTTGGGGTAAGACGTACATTGTTGGATGCCGGCAGCGATGGCAATGGCAAACGCCTTGGCGACGAAGCCGGTAGTCATGCGACTTATGGGTTTGAAAGGGATATGGAATCGTTGGAGGGCAGGGTTGATAATGCGTTCGCTGCTCTGTCAGTATTGGATGGGATGGCGTATGGAGTTGAAGCGACATACAATAGAGGGACGGCAGTCAGAATGGTGACGGGGTTGAATAGTCCCACTACAAAGGTTAGACGTCGCTCTATCAACAACCTGGGATGAGCACATACTCATATCGTGCGGCATCCCGTACGTCTTGAGGGACGATGCCTGGCTGACGAGGTTGTTGTTGGCCTGGCCATTGCATAACCAGAAAATAGGGCTACTAAGTTAGCATCACCGCAAGGTTAAGGAGAGTTTGAACGTACTATAGCAAGCTGGCAGAATGTTAACACTGATTGGACTAGTTTGGACTGCAACTGCACTTACAACACTCGGCAGGCAACAAGTGCTCGCTTCAACTCATCCACAAACGTGTCGTCCCAAGATACAACTGCACCATTTGCTTCCATTGCGAAGGGCCTTGCTGCGTCCATGTTGCCATTGTTCTTCAGACTAATCCACAACACCCAAACAGCTTTGGTCACGGCAGAGCCATGCGGTTGCTGGACCACTACCGTCATTTAGTCCTCTTCCCGTGAGACAAAAGGCATCCTCACTTACCATATTTCTTACGGCCAGCTACTAAGGCGACAATAGCCAGTAGCCACAGACAAAGTGGCATCATAAAGGCTGCCCAGAAGTCGACCTTGAGCTCCAGCCACTGCTATTGTTAGCAATGACCTGAGAGAGCGAGAGACGCACGAACTGAAGCAGGAATGATCGAGAGAGCTCCGATATTTATGATCCTTGGATTATATCAGTATCATAGATACGCCTGTATAATGGTCGAGACACACCAGTAGTATCGCGCGTAGACCGTCTGAACTGTTACATTGGGATCGATAATGACCTTCTCTCCACTATGCAGTGTTTTCACTCGTTCTGTGCGCATCGAGTACTGTTCAGCAATCAAAGGGCCGACATTGCTTTTGATACCACCGCATCTGCTCCCATTAGCATAAGCAGTAACTCTTCAAAGTTGTAGACACATACCCCAGTCCAATCAATATCAATGCAACCATAAGACCTGGTAAACCCTTTCCATGGTCAAGACTTGGAGGTAGCGACGTGACGAACAGAACCAAGACTCCGCACACGGAGAGTCTATGCATGGTTAGTTGTATTCGAAAAGTGTGAACCAGAAAGGAAATTTACCCCGCCCCTAGGAAAATGGTTTTGAATCGACCTAGGTAGCTGTCTGCAACAATAGCCCCGAAAATTGGCGCCAGGTAGCACCACCCTACAAAGAAGTAACTAATCCCAGTTGCCACTTTTTGGCCCTGCTTCTGTCAGCTTTATGTGGCAGAGAAGCAAGTGGATATAATGAGTACCATTCCTAGAGCGCCGTGGTGAAGTACATCATCACGATCATGCTGTATGTAATTCTCTATGCCCGTCAGCAATATTCTCGTCAAAAGCACTGTTTCTGGAACTCACGCATTGGCGCCGTGATGGAACGATAGGTGAAGCGCTCAGCCAACTCCACTACGGCCACGAGAAAAATGTCCAGTGAGATGTCATCGCAGACCCGCCGAAGGGTCGTCTTCTCCAGCTCCGTGGTCTCAACGTGCTCGCATTCAATTGAATTGGTCGGTTCCATTTTTGATATGCTTAGCCACCAACTTCTCTACAACTGATGCAACCCTGTCAAGGAGTCCACCTTCCGGACATGCATTGAGATATATAGTCGATGAGAGCTAGGTGAAACAGTGCCATGATGGCGCTTGAGGATTCTTCTTGGCCTAAGGAATGGATTCGCAATCAATGGACGATCTGAGTGCAAGGGATATGTCTGATTCTCTTTCTTGATAAATGGTGAATCAATATCTGTCGACTCTGGGCTTATTGGTTTGATCGAACTGTAGATCTTCGGTTCCTATCCGCATACGCTGTGGCGGGAGTAGGTTGCGTGGTCCATAGTACCGGGCACTTTTCCTATGACGAAGGAAGATAGATGTTGTGATTCTTCAAGATGGTATCAGGCTTGTCCTCAAATAGAAGTCTTGCAGCATCCACCAGGATTCTTGCCGCGTATGTTGAATCCAGCGAATGATGTCCCTCGACCCACCACTGGAAGCTGCCAGACTCGTGCACTCATAGAGGGAAGTCAATCTGCAAACTGATAGCTCCGTGTATACAATATATGACGTCAAAGCATTCAAAACACACAAGTCGATGAGATTCCAACCTCTGATTTTGTTGAGGAATGTGGGCTGTGCAAGGGATGAGTGGGAATACCCATCTTTCACAAACCTCGAATTATCATGAGAGCACGTCCACTCAATCTGGGATCCTCACATGGACCATCGATGTCAGTCCTCTTGGCCATACACTTGAAAGGTAGCTAAGAGATAATTCGGTTTTCACGATGATTCTGCGGAAATGAATGCTGTAGTGATATCACATCAACCTTCGAAGCCGCCAGGATTCGGGTGAGAAGCTTAGCCCAGCCACCAAATCTATTTAGAGACACAATCATTATGCCCGTCCCGAGAAATGGTAATTCTAAGAATATCGGGATCTTCAATCTCTGCTTCAGAAGCCTAAGTTATGATGTGTGACCACCGCAGGCTTACGCGGCGTTACATAGGGACCATCTACAACGATAGAGAAGGTCGACGCCACTACTTTTGGATACAAATTATAAATGTTCCCCCTGAGTGGCTTTCGGATGGTTAGCAGTAATGAATCGACGTTATATGTTTCAAGGCAGCTCTTCATGTCGAGTTCAACATCTCTAGCTAGTTGGACCATTACGCCGGAGATCAGTGCACAGGTGCAGAGGCTTTTGGGCATTGAACCTGCTTGCATTGCTAGTGCATTCCTCAACTGCAGCCAAGCGGGTGATTACGCACGACTTGACGTTTTCTTGGACAGTTTTCTAGTTTGCAACGCGGTGTTGTCTAATCTTGACATTGCTGCTGATAGCCGCTATTGTATTCTTGCCTGTCTAGTCTCCTGTCTCGGAGTACCAGCACCTTAAACAGTACCACACACTTGTCTCCATCATTGTAGTAGTGATCAGTGAAAGAGCCAATGATTGCCACTGAGAATCTCCTTGATGTTTATAGCTTACCCTCAGGTCGTCCATTGCCCACACTTCTCACCGGCTGTTGTAGATCAATAGGTATCTGGCCACACCTTTTAGCAACTTCCATCTGATCACGCATTAGAATTTAATGATTTATAGGCTTGAATTCAGGGTCTTATGGTTTGCATATCTTACAAAGCTGTTGATAAGATATGTACGGTGAGACATGTGGTGCTTGATTCATGTAGTGCTTAAAGATGACGGGAATATATATTTAGTTGACTGGCAGAGGCCTATCTGAGTCCACATCTATCAGCGCTTTGTTACATTACTTACTTCATAACATGAAACATTCTATTTCATTCATACAGCAAGTTCCTGGCCAATGCAGATCTGCTCATACCAGTTGTTCTTAGTGGTGGTTGTGCATAATACATGCAGCTGATGCATAAACCTCAGGCTGCTCTCCCAAGTAGGACTAGTCTAATTATTTCTTGGCGTGGTTCTGTTGTGCTGTGAAAGTCCATTTCTGGCTCACACTCAGTCTTGAATCTTTCATCGTTTACAAGACCATCTCTATCGAATTCATCTAGAAGTACTACTTCCTACTGATCGAAGTCAATGGCAATGGCTTGGCATGCCTTCTCAATTTCAAGTGATCGTTGGCTGGCCGATGTAATGGCTATGGAAGGCTGCACTAATCATTGAAGAAGATCTACGCCGAGGACTGTGTCATCTAGTCAAATTGATGTCACTGGACATTGGGCAACGACACCAAAGGTTCTTCCACATGACAATTTGTCTTAATCCATGACGACTCGGATCCCACGGAGGTGGTTGGATGGAATGTCCCAACACGATGGGCGGAAATGACACCACGACTCTATGTGTGGGGCGGAGTTTATTTACATCGACAAAGAAACTGCCCGCTCGACACGTTCATTCTGCCAAAAGAGTTGCATAGCGTTCATTCGAAATATCCTTTTCAGCTCCAAGCGAAAGAGAGAACGTCCACGAGATTGACAAGTTCTGTACATTATCGCCGTCTGCGCATGTGCCAATTCCTCGATGGCGCAAGTAGGCAGGCCATAGCCCATGAGGGCTGTCCCGCGATTGACTTCAGCAGGAGCCAAGGTCGACCTTCACGAATCCAAGGATCCTCTATTTATATGATGGCATGGTCACCGGATTGGGAAATACGGTTAACTCAGTATCCTCTCAAGCTTGTTTGCGGTTTCAAATCGCCATGATGTCAGGATTGCAAGAAGCCTCCTTTTCATGCAGCGATAAAATGCCTTGATTTTATATCAGTCAATGCACATCTGATGTGAAACAATTCTCTTCCGACACTATTACACTATACCATTTTGGACAGAAAATTCATATCAGCAATATGGCTTCCAAACGAGCCAGAGCCCTCACCAGTGCTAGGGGAAGCTCTGGTCAGCTCTCCATGCTCCGGAGCATGGTTCAAGCCGTTTCCCGGGAGTGCGAACCCCGCCTGGGCATGTCTGCCAGTGACATCCAGGCCAAAGCTCCCACTGTCGATGTGTTCTTTGACGCGATCGCTTCGGAGCGGCTGAGACGCATGCCGGCGGATGGAAGTCGGCTTGACGGTGCTCTTCGACGCGCATCAAGACTCGCCTTTGCCGTGGCCTCGTTACGCGATGCTGTCATTTCTTTCATGGATGGGGCGAACGAAGCCACTAAACTGGTCTGGGGTGGCCTTTTATTGCTCCTAGAGGTGAGACACATCCTCGTCTTTTTGCAACAGCAGCTAAGGATTCCAGATGGGAATCGAGCATGTGGACATACTGGACAGCCTTTTTGGTCGCTATGGGCGTGTTACTCTCCAAATTTCTCTTCTGCTACAGCAGGAGAGCTTTTTTAGAGAGTCCACATCGTTGCAAAACGAGGTGTCCAAGACCTACGCCAGTCTGCTGCAGCTTGTTCTCCGTGTTACCATGGAGTACCATGACGCGTCACGCACTTCGGACTGGTTGACCATGGGCGAGAACATCGATACCGCGTTTTTCCAGTTCTATAACAACTTTAACACCACCTGGCGGAAAATGTCAGGGCTCGCCTTGTCCAAGAGAACGACCACTGATGTCGCTGCCGTATATCAGTTCCTTGATCTGCAAGATCGCCCACTGCAGATGGTCCTCGAAGGACACAACCACTCCCTCGCTGATGGCTCTTTTGCGTGGTTTGACCCGCATCTTACGACTTTCACTCTCAGCAGCCGTGAGATGATGGTAGTAACAGGCAGCCCCGGAGCAGGAAAAAGTGCGCTGGCGCAATGGACAATTGAGCGGCTGCAGGTCTCGTCCGAGTATGACATTTGGAATGTCATTCCCTGCTGGGTACGGGAGGACGTACCTATCTCAACGTTGACCCTTACCATCCTCAAAGGTCTTCTCCTTCAAATGCTGGACCGATGTGTCAGCTCCTGGAAGACCCAAGAGGCTATTCTTGCGTCGGTTAGAGAGGCTGCGCACATGGCCTCAACTGGTGCTACAGACACTCAGGTGGAGGACGTGCTCTGGTCCGCTGTCAGAATGTCAATGCAGTCACACATGCACTTCATGATTGTCCTGGATGGCCTTGATCAGATCAAGAATGCCAAAACTGCCATGGCCAGATTCCTCGCGCGTCTGCAAGGTTCTATCTCCGGCACGTCGTCAAAGATTATCGTATTCTCCAGAGAGCTTCCAGCGCAGCAGCGGCTTGGTAAAACCACTCAACAACTCTCGATGACTCCCGCATTGACTCAAACCGACTTGCTTGCGGCTGCTACCGACGCCATCAAGTCAGACGGCCAATTCTATGGGCTTGCAGCCGATCAGATGGACGCTATGGCCCAAAGCATAGTGGCCCGCGCTCAAGGCTGCTTCGTTTGGGTGCAGCTCGCTCTCGAATCTATGAGACATGAGCCGACCTTCAGGAGCATGATGAGTGCAATCCAGCAAGCACCACGAGATGTCGGCGAGCTGATTGGCAATCATCTGAGCACGATTGACATCTCTCGGTCTGACATCCGCTGCCTCCTTGCCTGTCTGGTGGCCTCCGAGCGTCCTCTGCGCATCAAGGAAGTTGAAGAACTACTATCTGTGGACCCGCAGAGTCTCAAGCTAACGCCCCATGCTAACGGTGCTGAACGGAACATTTTCAAGCCTCTGGGTCGTCTGGTCATGGTCCGTGATGGATTCGTGGCCTTCCGCCACTCCATGATCCGTGAGAACCTCAGGCAACGCGCGATGTCAGCAGACAGCAACTACTCGAACAATCAGGGATTCCCGTTCAACCTCGAGGAAGCCCACTATGATCTCCTCACGCGATGCTTGGCTTGGACCCGTATCTGTGTCGAGGAAGAGGTGGCGATCTCCATGGACAAAATGCCAGTAGAGCAGCGTGACGTCCTTTTCGACTCGCATATTCTCTTAGAATATACTTCGCGCTACTGGTTTTCGCACCTGCTTTCATCCCCCATGACCACCCCCGACCGTGAATTTGCCTTTACGCCGGTCTTCAAGAACTGCCTACCTAATTCAGTCCTCTTTGCGCAGCTGGAGCTGACCGGCCGGGAGTCGCAGTTCAGTCGATCCAGCATCCTGGAGCTTTACCGGCTATCGGTCGCGGTGCGTCGTGTGGCACTGGGCGAGAAGTCTCTGGCGTTCTTACAGAGTCTTATTCTCAGCGCACGTGCGTCCGACTTGGCCAAGACCAGTTGGGCTAACGATCATTTGTATGAAGCATGGACGCTCAGTCGGTCGCAGCTGGGCGCCTCCTCTCCGATCTCCATGGAGCTGGAACAGCTGCTGGTGGCCGCTCCTCAGCAGGCAAACCGTGGGGACAAGACCGCGGGCATGCGTACCGACGCACTTCGCGAGATGACCTTGTCCAACTGGGATTCGACAGACATCAGCTTTGCCCGCCGCATGGAGTATCTCACAAGCCTGGTCCAGACCTACCAAAGCAGCAACCAGCACGACGAGGCGTACAACGTTTCTAGACAGTTCTACCGGCAAACTCTTGACAAGTATGGTAGTCACTCGGCGGAGAGTATGCAGGTGGCGGATTTCATCACCCAGCACTTCCAGATCGCTTCCTCGGACGATCTCTCGCTGGAGATTGCGCGTCTCAAATACGAGAATATGGTCCGTTCCATGGACGCCACAGACACCCGGCGCATCGCCTACTCCTTGTTCCTCGCTCAGCTGTATGAAGAAAACAACAAGAGCAAGCAAGCGGACTCGATTTTGACTAGCCTCTGGGCCGGCGTTTGCTCGCACGATGTTGATTCCAGATCGACGTGGGACAAGAAGACAAAGGTGGCCTTTGTGTATTACCAATTCCTGCGTCGTCACGGCCGCCATGACGAGGCTAAGATGGTCCTTCGCGAGCTGTCTTCGGATCTAGAATCGGGCGGCGTCCACTCACAGGATATGGCAGACCGTGCCATGGGCCTTCGATCTGAGGCACACGAGCTGGGCCTCATTGACATGGAGCGCACTCTTTCCATGCTCATTTGGAACTACTACCTTGGAAGCGGAAAGCAGTACTCGCCCGAGGCTGTCACTCTGGCCGAGGACCTCGCTGAGGACCTGATGTCCACCCATACGACTGTTGACAGTCTCGCCACTTTGTCTAAAGAGGAACGCATCTACCTGCACAGCCTCATGGCCAGCATTGCGTCGTCAGGCAGCGGTCGTCAATCAACATCTATTTTGACCTTGTGTCACAACCTCTGCACTTTGCATATCCGCGAGGAACAGTGGAAACAAGGCAGTGACTGCGCCTGGTCAGTCTTGAAGCATGAATGGCCGGATGTCCACGATCCTACGTCCGAGGCCAAGTTCCGTTCTGACCGCGCCCTGTTGATCGCGAATATCGTTCTGGACTACGCGTACTGTCTTTTCCGACGCCTCGATGTCCCCACCGCGACTATTGTCTATGGAAACGCGTTCAAGGCTTCCATTACCGCGGAAAAAGTGACCGTTCCGCACATCACCGCGGTTGTCAAGACCGTGGTTGAATTTTACGAAACCACATTCCAATTCTCCAAGGCCCTTATCCTCTTGCACCAGGTCAGCGAGTTCTTCATCTCTCGTTTGGGTGATTCCGACAAGCACACGATCGACAGCCTGTACTGTGAGGGTGACTTGGCCGCTCGCCTGGATCGGCAGGACGAGGCCGAGGCCGCATATCGCCATATTTATAATGTCAACATCCGCGGTGATCAGATCAGCTCTACTGGTGTTCGAGCAGCCGTCGCTCTTATCGGTCTCTATGAACAAAACCAAGATCACGACTCCGCTCTCGAGGTTTACCGTCATCTCTGGCCGACCCTGGTGCGTTTCGACGAAAAGGATGGCTACGACCGTGCATTTCTCGAAGGTCTGTTGGACAAGACCTATATGGGATACATGGCAATCTTAGCCACTAGCACTGCGGGAGGAGCCGATGCGGAACGCTACACGGTGGCGTCTCAGTACCTTAAGCTCTGTAAGAAGATTCATGGGCGATCGAGCCAAGCTACTCGGGATGCTACTCTTGGTCTCGCGAAGATCTGCGAGGACAGCGATGGCCATCTCGACGAGGCGGTTGCCCTTTACCAGCAGGTCCTCAAGAGCAAGGAGTGGGTCCCTCAATCTCAGTCGTCCCGGTCTTTGCCTGATATGACGGATTCGCTGCCGATCAGTATCAAGCACAAGCTCGCTCAGATCCACCTTCGCAAGAAGAGCACCTCCGACGAGGCTCGTTCTTTGTACCTGGAGGAGCTTACATTGTCCAAGCAGCAGCGGGGTCTGTCATCCTCCCCGACACTTTTGTGGCTGCGTGAAGTGGCTCTGGTCTACGCTATGAAGGATACGATCGAGTCGCGCAAGCAGGGTGCAAAACTTCTACGGGACCATGTCAACGAGGTCACCCGTGTCACTGCCAGCCACGAAGCTGTAGTCGAGCGCGCTCATCGTCTTGCGGAGGTCTATCTCGAATGTGGTTACAAGGATGCCGGCTACGATTTGATCGACGAGCTTCATAAGCAGGTCATTCATGAAACACCCGCCGCACAGCGGTCGGCCTTGAACGAGCACCGCCCTGCGGTCTTTGTTGCCGCGTTTGAGGAGGTATTTGGCAAGAAGATGACGTACAGCCAGATTCTGGACGCCCTGGCCCATGAGAGCGGCGTGTACAGTGAGTTCCGGAAGAGTCTCTTAGGACATGACCTCGTCCCCACCCTCGTTGCTGGCGAGAAACTCCATCGCCTGCAGACCGAGCAGAGACGCAGTACGGCGGCCACCAAGACCCAGGGCAGCATGTACGAGTACTTCTGCAACTCGCTGTCTGTTTCCGCTGATTTGCGCCCCAAGGACGTTGTGCACCAGTTCTACAATCTCTGCCGTCGGGAGGTTCTGGACGATGATGACTATAATATCAACATTATCACTGCGACTACCAACATGGTCCGCGGCTTGTGCGACACCTCGCGCTTCCAGGATGCCGCAGATTTGACGGGTGTGTTCCACTCGTTTGTGCACCTTACCGATGGACTGTGCAGCCATGAGGCAATCTTTACTGCCATCAACCTCTGCTTGTATCTCAATGGTTACCAGACGAGCAAGTGCTCGGACAGTGGCGTTGCCAAGCACATGGGATGTGAGTCACACTTCCTCCTTCAGGAGATCATGGCCAAGGCTCGCCATCTGAAGATTGAGTTCTCTGAACTTCCATTCCCCGAGCTGAACGACCTGGTTACGGTATTGGGTGAACATGAGATGTTTGACGATTTAGAGGTATTTCCTTCCTCCCCCGGGTGTGTAGATATGCTAATTTTTCAGGCCATTCTCACCGATCTTTGGACCTCGCGCATCGTCCAAAAGACCTGGTCTCTCAATGTGGTTGTGTGGATCGGCCGTCGTCTGGTGGAAACCCGCTTCTGCCGCGGCCGCACCAACGCAGCAACCCAGCTGGGCAAGGACATCTGCTACAACCTGCGGCAAGTCTGGGGCAACTGCGACCCCGTGACACTGGAGATGACCAAGCTGCTCTCGGGTCTGTACACGGCATCGGGCAACCACCTGGCCGCGGTGGCGCTTCACGAGACGGCGCTGTACGAGCTCCTCAACGATCCGGACATGGACCAGGACCATGCCGCGGACACGCTCAGCCAGCATTTGCAGCTCCTCAAGCACGCCCAGTCGCGCCTGAGCAAGGAGAGTAATCAAGCTGTGGACACGAGCGCGTACGACGAGCTGGTTCAGCAGGTTGCTACTAAGTTTGGTGTTCGGCAGGAGAGTCTGCAGCAAGGCGCGGGCGAGGAGAAGGACGTTGGGATGTGGCATCGTCCTCGTCGGTTTAGTCTGGACGTGGAGGAGGAGCAGATGCATTCTAACCATCTGCGCAACAGCAGTGGCTCGGCGTTGCTGAATGGAAATGCGGGGGCCAAGCGGATTTCGATTACCGCGTTGTAGTGATCACAACAACACAGAAGCTGTATCTTAATGACTCAGAATGTTCGCAATCTAATGAAAAGTGCTACTATATTTTTGCATCTATGTGTTTGTCGTACATTCCAACTGGGCTATACACTTTCACCACTCCTAAGGCAGTCTCCTAATCAGCCGAACTAAATGCATTCACTTAGATTTGTTAGAACGTGGTTCCATCTGCATCTCCTCAATCATACACACTATGATCCTTTATAATTAAGGTAGGCAACAGTCAACGTCATCACAGCCAGTATGACGCCGATCTAATCTGATCACGGACTTAACGCACTTACTCCGATTTCTAAACTCCGCAGGCCATGAAAGGGTTAAATATCTGGGAGATCCACCTCCTCAACCACATCCATTCACCAGAGTACATTGTCAATATTCGTCTTCAAAATGGGCTTCCTCTACTCCCAATTCTTCGTGACCCCCACCTATCCCACCCATTCCTTCAAGGACCAAACCATCATCATCACCGGCTCCAACGTCGGCCTGGGCCTCGAAGCCGCGCGCCACATTGTCCGGCTGGAGGCCGCAAAGGTGATTCTAGCCGTGCGGAACCGCCCCGCCGGCGAAGCCGCCAAAAAGTCAATCGAAGAGTCCCTTCCCGGATCCACAACCGACATCCAAGTCTGGGACCTGGATCTCGCGTCGTATGCGTCCGTCCTCAGCTTCGCGGAGCGCGTGTCCCACCTGCCCAGGCTCGATGTCCTCCTCTGCAACGCGTCCCTCGCAACCCCGACCTTCCAGCTCGCAGAGGGCCACGAGCGCACCGTCACCGTCAACGTCATCAGCACGATTCTCCTGGCGCTGCTTGTCCTCCCGACCCTCAGGACCAGCGCGGAGAAGTACCCCGGGACCAAGCCGCGTCTGACGACGGTCGTCAGCGAGGTGCACGCGTGGACCAAGTTCCCCGAGTGGAAGGCGCGGAATACGTTTTCCGCGCTTGACGACGAGAAACACACCGACATGGGGGAACGGTACCAGACCTCCAAGTTACTGCAGGTGCTGGTGCTGCGGGAGATGGCCGAGCGGATGCGCGATGACGCTGTCGTGGTGAACATGCTCAATCCGGGCCTGTGCCATTCGCAGCTTGGACGCGAGGCCGGGATCGGGCTCGCGCTGATGAAGATGGTTATGGCGAGGACGACGGAGGTGGGGAGTCGGACGCTGGTTGCGGGTGCGGCGGCGGGAGAGGAGAGTCATGGGGCGTACATGACGGATGGGAAGGTGGACAATGGGGCCTTGTCGAGTTTTGTGCGCAGCGAGGAGGGGAAGAGGGCGCAGGAGAAGGTTTGGGGCGAGTTGAGGGAGATTCTCGAGGAGATAAAGCCGGGTGTGACTAGCAATTTGTAAGCTGTACTTATATGATAATCTTGTCTAGTTTGAAGTATCAAGAACTGCATAGTAGCTTATGCCTGTCTGTTCTCTTGTGCCGGACATAGACATAGGCATTGGTTGCAAGTCCGGAAAGCCTCGGTTGTTATACAGAGAAGGGTATACTGCCAACACTGACCAGAAGCGCGAGTCAAGTATTCCGAAGACGATTGTTTGTTTGTCTTTGGTGAGAGGTATCTGGACGGGAGGCAGTGCTCCAGAGATAAGTCTAAAATGTATTTGATAAAGTCCAAAGAAGAGAATAATCTAAGCGAAGTGATATAAATCAAGGAGTAGATCGAATAGCGGTATAGAACCAAGAGATAACAGCACTTAGATTGCCGTAACGTCAACCCAGAATCTGGTATCGTCTTTCTGATACTTGGGATCACTCTGAATCTGCTGCTGGATCCACTGAATGGCACTTTTGTACGCTGCTCCAGTTAGCCCCGTCCAGCCTAGAATTACGAACAACATACTGTTGATATCATCCGTGTACGGATTCTGCAGACCAGAGGCTCCATTGCGATGGCCGGCAACCCAGATGTCGAACCCATAGTGCTTCTCACCGTCATGGCGGGCCTTGACATCCTTCTTCAGGTCCCAGCTGGCCGAATTAGCTTCTACACTAGTAGTAGCTGACAGGGGACGTACTTCAAGACCGCACCGTTGGAAACCTGGCCAGTAGATTGGCCGTGAAATTCCCTGGCAGAGGTACGCAGCATCATCCAGTTCTGCTTGAAGATGCCAAAGTTGGTCGAATCACCGGATTTGCCGTCGCCGTAGACGTAGTCGGCTTTCATGTGGTCACTGTTCTTGTCAGATTGGTTTTCGTAGGGGTAGACGGGCAACGAGGCACCTTTCCAGCATGGCGATGGCCATATCCATGGTGGTTCCGCCGGCTTTGAGGATCTCTTGCTTGCGCTGTCCGAGGCCGGAAACAGTGTAGCTACCGCGGTTGTCACAGAGGGCGAGCGGGACGAGGCCGAAAAGGCCGATGATGGTGGCGAACTTCATTTTGCGGTTTCGATGTGGATAGTTCCTTCGTTGTGAGCTGTTGGAGTGTTAGGAGTGTTGGCTGGGAATGTCGGTGTTTATATAGTCCTGATGCTGTACCTCAGGGGTATACGCGTCCCGTCTATCGTTATGATCCACGGCTTTATACATGAAGCAAGTCCTTGTAATCATGCCATACCCTTCTACTTGATGATTGATGGTTCTATCCCGAGACCCATCGGTGCGGAGTGCATTGCCAGTGATACGGCCCGAATCTGTAGATACCGGCCCATCAGACGTGAGCCGAAGGGGAATCGTTCTGGCATTTCCCCATTTGCCACGGAGAACCCGTCTTGGATGTTTCCATTGAATTGTCAATAAAAGAGATATTGGCAGCGAGGAAAGACATAGGTGGATACGGCGGGAAGGTGATGTTTCAAGGTGCTACAAGTGCGTCCCTTGAACCGGTCCTCTGCCAGAATCTCATGCTTCAAAGTTGCGCTAATCTAGGCAGTTATTACTTATTAGAGCTCATCCCGGAAATGTCCAGAGTATCGAGACTCATTCTCTGGGAATGGAGAGGATCGGAATAGGGTCCGACGCCCCTCCATAGACCCTGCAAACTACGGCAGACTGAAACAGCCTTATGTTAGACTGCGGGACTTTGCACTGCATGTTTCCCTATCTTGACTCTTGTGTATACAATTCTTGGCTAAGATAATTCAGGAACCGGACACAGCCACATCACTAGAGGAAACGCTCCATCCTGATTCCTTGAGCTGGACAGATGTTGCTGACATTGAAAATACCCGGATAACCTGGTGATGCCCGTATAGGCTGGCAACCTCGTATTCGCTGCAATGTAACCTCATCAGCTTAGCTTACAATGACTCAGTCTAGTAGCCGCATATAAATCTCTTCCTCTCTTCCTCTCTTCTTCCCCTCCCCCAACTACACACATCTAACAATGTCCACAAATAAATCAGACCGACACTACGTCGAAATCATCTCCTCTCGCCCTCAGAAACCCATCGAAATAGTCGACTACGACCCCTCCTGGCCATCAATCTTCGCTTCTCTCGCGCAACGCATCACATCCGCTCTCGGCCCAACCGCCATTTCCATCAGCCACGTCGGCTCCACCAGTATCCCCGGCCTGCCCGCCAAAGCCGTCATCGACATCGACCTCGTCGTCCCCGACCCCACCGCCGAGGCAGACTACGTTCCCGCCTTGCAGGCAGCGGGCTTCCAGTTCCTCTTCCGCGAGCCGAACTGGTACGAGCATCGCTTCTTCGGGCTGGCGGAGCCGTATGCCAACCTGCATGTGTTCGGACCGGGGGCGGGGGAATTGAGTCGCCATCAGCGGTTTCGGGAATGGTTGGTTGCGCATCCCGAGGATGGAGCGTTGTACGTGAAGGCGAAGCGGGAGGCGGCGCAGGCGAGTCGGGAGAATGGAGAAGCGGTCGATGGGTATAACTTCAGGAAAGAACCGGTGATTGAGGAGATTATGGTCAGGGCGGGGATTCCTCTGCCGGGGAGTGACTAGACGTACAAAGGAATCGTGAAGTTGTCTCGACATTGGCTGCCAGAGGGGAACTTGAGATATCACGATGTACTGGTTTAGCTATGGGTAGACCAGGCCAGGCATAAGAGCCTGTCTCCTGGCACAGCCGACTCGTAGGTTCTTGCGCATCCTCATTCTCATTGCATACTCGATCCCTGCATCTGCCCGATCCAGTGGTCTAGAGATACTCCAGGAGCACATCCATCCCTCCCACCACATAGCATCAGCATCCCCTAAATCAAACGACAGACAAACCAACAACAGCCCCCACTACTCCAGAACTGCACATGCCCTCTCTTCGACACCACTCGCCGCTGATCCCCCACTGCACGGGGGATATCCGCGCGGTAGCAAATACCCCTCTTCGCCGTGCCGACAATCTCATCCAAGGCCCCTGCATAGCAGTCCATGTACCACCTCTACACATTCATCACAATCTTTGATCGTGGCTCGTCCCACGCGGAGCGGATATACCCTGCACCCTACAAGGTGATCTCAACGAATAGGATGCCTACGTCGGTCTAGGTAAAGGCGAGGTTCAGCCAGATTGTCATTGACGCGGAAAAGTTTAAGAATGTAGGTTGGGGTCTGTCACCGAGTGGGAGGAGAGGCGCAAAGGAAGGCCGATGCATTGCCGAGAACATGGAGCAGGCAGGCAGTTTCGAACAAACAGCTGATTTGAGTTCATTTCGTCTTGGTTATGATAGTTGAGAGCAGATACCGAGAGACTGTATAGACATTCGATGCAATGTGCGCAACTCTCTCGGTAGATGCATGCACCCAAGACCATTTGTCCAGTTGAATATATCCAGCTGGTGCACAATCGACTAGATCAACCCGTAGATGAATCCCAGCTGATCCATCTCGTCCCCATCCTGCCCGAAGAATCCCACAATCTGCCATCCCTGCGCCGCCGCAAACTCCTTGCAGTCATCCGTCGCCGTTCCCGCACTCACCGTGCGTCCGGTGCTCGTCGTGGCCAGCAGGTAGAAGTTGCGCGTGTGGCTGTTGTACTGCCCCTCGCACAGCTTCGCCTTCGTCCAGTACTCGTTCGCCGCGAGGGTGAGTTCCGATAGGGTGCCCCCGGTGCCGCCGTGGGTGTAGCTCTGGCCGGAAGTCAAGGTGAGGCCGACGCTGTCGAGCCGCTCCGCACCGCGCAGGGAGATCTTGCTTGGTTTGTTCTGGCCGGTGGAGGTGCTGGGGATGGAGTCGAGGTCGTTGAACCAGGTTCTACTTCATTAGCCCTGCAATTCGTTCAGATGCGGGGGGAGAGTACCCATGTGGTCCACCGAAGAGGTCACTCTGACGGAAGGAACTGGACAAGGCCCAGGTGAAATTGCTCGTCACCGGATTGTGATCGGACAGGATGGTCCCGTTGTCGCTAAGGAACTTGGTGCTCTCGTAGTTCCAGAAGATGGCCTGCAGATCGACTGCGCGACTTCCGCGGTAGCTGTTCCTATCAGTATCGCTGGTGGGAACGGGCGCAGGCAGGCAACGTACAAGATCTTATCAACAGTTTCGCAAGTGGTGACCGTGCTAGGGTTCTCGCAGACCAATGCACTGGTCCCCATGGTCGGCTCGACTCCCTCGAGGATAAGCTCGACCCACGGGTTCACCATCCCATTCTCCGTCTGGAAGACACGGATGTTCTCGCCGGACGAGGTATACCGCGCATTCGTGTCGCCAAACACCAGCACCGCATTGCCGACCGAGTTGGTCTCGATGGAATCGGCCAGCTGCTGCAGGTTGGCGCTGCGGGCGGTCACATCGGCTGTTTCTGATCTGTTCATGGTCAGGCCTAGCCACGGAACCGGGAGGAAAGGAATTACCCGGCATCGGCATGCAGATTGTAGACATCCACGTATACGCCCTCGTCGAAGCGCACCCGCATCGAGGTGAACCCCTTGGGGGTCAGACAGTCCGACCCCGAGGTATCGGAGCAGGTCGCCCACTTGGTACGCACAAAGTCGACAAATTCATAGTTGGACAGCGTATTCAGACCCGAGCCGATTCCCGCGCCCCCAGAGGTGGCAGTCCGGTAGGGGTGGTTGTCGGTTTCGTAGATGTATGCGTGGTAGTTGAAGTCCTGCTGTTGTCAGCGTCGTTCCCAGGTACGAGAGCATGGACTGACCTCCTGCACGTTGATAACATCGTATCCGTACTCGGCGAATTTCTGCCCGATCAGACGCGAGTTCGTGGTCTTGTCGCCTGGAACCTCGTTGCCGTTCAGGATGGCAGGCAGACCTGCGACGTTGAAGGAGAGGATGTTGAACTCGCCAGCTGTCGCAGCCAGGGCGGCTGGAAGCCCTGCTCCCCAGAGAAGATAGTTTGATCGCATTGCTAATTACTTCGTACAGTACAGTTGAGATGAGCTGATTAGTGTATGAGGACTTGCAAGATATTCCGTCGGTATTTATACCTCTGTCCACACCCGATGACGACAATCATCGCCAGACGCTAGCAGGCATAAAAGGGAAATGCTCCGTAGACTAGAGGCCAATTGATTAATCCTGCAGAATTGTTGCCGTAGCCATTGGCTTGGCCTGGGTTAGCAGACTTGGCAGCTCGTCGCTAAGAGTGTTCCTATATTGAACCGAAGCTACGCCGTCCACGTGGGTGACTCTGTGGTTGATATCCGGACAGAGGGATATTCTTCATGATGCACGTCTTCGGATAAATAAATGATTGAGGAATTCAGTCCTCCGGCAGCGTCATATAGATCACTGTACTCCGTAGTTGTTTGGCCAAGCTCATGTCTCATCTTAGTGGTTTACATGCATAAGCGAGCAATGCTTAGAACAAAGGCCGGAAATGATGATCCAGTAAGGATCTTGCATCAATAGGAACGTCTCCGTCCAGCTCATTCATTGGATCTTCAGGTTCTTCACGGATATAGCCGAGTAATCGCCTCCATGAGTGTTTGAGGGGTGAGCCTACTCGATCCTCCACAGTACCTCTTTGCAAAAATCCCCCAGGTGCTCCAGTATCTGCAATAGATAGGTATCCTGCGGTGGACTTGTAAACTAAGAATCGCCTGTTAGGAGCTGTCTAGATTTCGTAAAACTTGCTATCTCCCCAACACCATCATACCGTCGTCTTCGTATAGTTTCACGCCCAAGTTATTAGCCTTCCCACCTGCTTCCCTCAAGCCCACACGGCGCTTGTCACTTCCATCCTGATATAGACCCAGCAACGGTATCGGATCGTTCTTCCATTTGGGAACCTGTGCTCGTCGAGTCTTCCATATAGTGCCAGCCAACGTCCCAGCCCCCAGTACCCAAACCAGAGCGGGTAGGACAATTCATGGCCAACGCACTCCAACATAGGAAACACTCGTCATCGCCCGTCCAACCGTCATGTTGGCCCTACTCAAATCCGAATTGGCCCCAACATATGCCGAGTCCCGGAAGGTCTTGGATAAAGCTTGTGCAACGTTTTTCATGGCGCATTCAAGTTTCTGGACGGACCGGACATCACATCCGGTAATGTTACCGAGCGACATGGCTTGAATGAGATCGCCCGGAGCGTACATGGTCGAATCCCGGGTGCTGAAGACTACGCTGTTCAACGACTGCAGGAAGAACTGCCCGAAGAACAGACTGTTGAAGAACTCCGTGATTCCCTGAAAAGCCGAGGTACCAAGCATGAATCGACTGTTTGGCGAGATTCCGAAATCCGAGCCCCATGGGGGTTCCAAGTAGAGTCCAGTCGAAACGTTGGTTTCCAGGGACCAGAAACTCTCGGTCCAGACAGCAAGGGTCTCTTCTCGGTAGACATTGTCGCGGAGAGTTGCCCGGAAGCTTCGCACAATCGGTTCGATAGAACACTCCATCGCTTGCCATTTGCCTTCACCCGGGGATTCCACAGATGGATTGAAATCGTATGGCGCGATCATCTGGATAGGGGGAAACGTCGCATTCTTGTACACCACCGCTTCATCTGGGCGGACGGCGGCAATGGAGATCGATGCATATTCATAATGATATGGTATGAACCAGGCGGTTGTATTGGCCGGTGGGAGTACAAGAGTGCAGTTAGGTTCTCCAGCATAAGTGAAATTCTCCGCAACCTTGGAGGAACATGACATGTTCAAATTGGTCGTCACACTCGAGCAGATGGCGCGCGCTTCTAACGCAGCAATGGGATCCCAGGTGCAGTTACTGGAGCTGCATACATACTGCGGGATGGACCAAGGCCTGGACTGGTCGTTATTGAAGAGAGAATTGTACACATTTGCCTTGAGCACCGGGTCGACCCAAAATACTAAATGAGTTCACGTCAGTCGATTCGAGACATTGATCATGCAGCTGTCATGACTTTACGTACTAGCCCCATGGTCCAGCGGTGGCCCAGCTGTATCATACGATGACGCGTTTGCCAGGAGTGCCCGTTGCGATGCATCCTCAACCATATTGGGATAATAGTGGATAAGATTCTGTGTGAACGGGTCAAAGCCCAGCGCCAGGATCACTGCAAGACCGCCCCAGATGGCGAAGTGCCTGGTCTATCAGTTCGTTCCATCGGAGTCTATTTGAACAACATACCGGCATCTCAGCGTCCAAATCAGTTCTGCACTCCCATAGAACCCCCGGCTGGCCGAATCGAACGTCCTAAGGTCCAACATGGGCCGTGTCTTTTGGGCGAACCACACCCACTTGAGCTGTCCTAGAGCTTCGCTCACGGCAAAGATAATGCAAGCCCGGGAGACGGTGCTAAGCCAGGAAATGACCGAGTTCAACGAGACGTGCTTCCACGTGGGTTGTGCCATTCCGTCAAACTTGGCCAAGATGACGACCAAGGCAATGAGCGTCGCAGCAGATAGAACAGCGGCCAGAATTTCCCACACAAACCAGTCTGAAAGTCCGTCCCATACTGATTTCCTTTTGTCTCCCGCTCGTTTCTCTTTTTCGTGGGTCCCGGCTAATGATTCGCCTTGAGCCGAGTTCGGGGCTTCAAGCAGGTGGCTATTCTGTGACAGCGTGTCCGGGGTCGAGTCGTCGTCCGCAATTGGCCCTTGCCCATCGGTTGGTCCACCGGAGGCGGAGACATTGAGCAGGAGAATGAGAGCGTTGAGTGTTTTCAGGCGGTTCTGTCGACTGGTGTGGGGTCATTTTGGTGCCATGAACCTATCCACATATCAATGTAGAGTGCAGAATCCTTCCCTGACTCAGGCAGAGCTTGGCGTTTTAAGTCGCAGGGAAATCGAGTCATTTAGAAACATTCACGAGGCTGTCACAGCCTTGTAAAGGGACTATTTGACAAGCAATGATGAGGCCCTTCCCCTGCCGATCAGAGCCCCAGCCCCCATGCCGTCCGTGGCTGTGTATGGAATCTGAATATGGACTAATGCCACTTAATGCATGTCGATCAGACGCACGGCCAAAGCTACTCCGCCTCAAACCCATTAAATCAGATGTTTTCTTTCTTTTTGGGTAGTCTCACATGTACTTGCTGTACGGTAGCTGGTTTGTTGGCCAGGGGTGGAAGGCAAGGTATGTCAGATTCCACGTAATCTGGTAATACTGATATGATAGGAATCTGGTCAAACTGGATGATATTCTTGATGCGTCTAAGAATGTATATTCTTATCTATGTAATAGTTAATATAACTAAAAGTTATGTGCATTCTGATTAAGAGAGACTAGCTAAAAAGGGAAAACCAAGTAAGTACTGTAAGTGTAGAATATATACTGACTTCATATCAACGCTAGACTAAAATATGTACTTCAGGAGTGATTTCAGCTCATATCATAATGATTTATCAAGGCTCTCTCATTTAGACACTAATGACTAAAGAAGGAGTCTACGATTCTTTCAGTTCTACCATATCTCTATTTTCATCATCCCATCTTGGCTGATCTTATACTTGGCTTGAAGGTATTCCCATTCATTCTGTCCCCCAAGCTTTTTGGCAGTGGCGAGTTTGTTCCGCAATTGAAGTACCTTCTTAAGCTCCGTGTCAGAGGTCCCTGTGGGCAGTGGACTCCAAGCACCTCCATTGGTTCTGGTGGACGATCAGTGAAGACCTGTGAAGTATAAGGGGCTTGCACCTACCAGGATTTACTATGGCTTCCCTTGAGCTCGCTGGAATAAGCCATTTGTGGTCCTAGGACACCTTGTGCCTAAATTGAGGAATTTCGCAAAGTATTCTAGCCTCCCTCTGTGCCCGGTAGTTGCTACCTTTCGAGGCATCAATGTCGTCGAAGCTTGGCTGGTTGGAAGATCAATATCTGGACCAATGGTACTTCCAGTCCTTTAGTTGACCACCGTGCTGGTTCTGTCAGCTTCTGATGCCGCCACCAGGAATGGGAAAACAAAAGCACAACAAGCAGGAGGACATGATCAATTGCAGATAATGCTCTATAACAATGGACATAGCTACTGATAGCTCTTATGCAGGTCCACGCGTCCATGAGCTACGCAGATCTAGATCATCTTTACATTTAGTGTGCATTTCAGTTAGTTGAGGGTGCAAGTATATGTTGCTATAAGCCAAAAACAGTAGTTCTAAATGGGAGTTCATGAATAAATGGGGATTCCCAATTCATGCATAAGGTCGATGCAAGGGGCTATGCTTCATTAGTTAATCATTAACTACTCATGAATGTCAACGCCAAGCCGGCTGCAAACTATAATAGCAATCTTACCTGCTGCAACATTTCATTATCCTCCACACTAGCAGCCCGGTTTGCTGATGCAAGAAACATCGTGAAATATGGACAGCATTGATATCTCTGCTTTGGTTGTCGGCAGCCCTCCTCATGTGTTTCATTCTAATTATTATTCTCAACCCCCCTCGTCTGAGTTTGAGCAAATGAAAAGGGCAAGCGAGTCTGGCGACATCCAACAGATCCGTGTACTAGTCGAATCTCAAAAGCTCTCGCCGGATGAACTGAACTACTCTCTCACCTTGGCACAGCAGAAAGGTAGTATAGATATTGCCGCTTATCTGCTGTCCCATGGTGCTTCCGTACAGACTTTTCATTTTGAAATGGCCGTCAAGGAGAGAAGCTACCCATTCCTTACGTTGTTTTTAGATCATGGATATGATCTCAACAGACCGATCAATTGGAGCACTCCCTCGGCACTTATGTTTGACTCCTTTGGCTATCCTGTATGGCAAGTTTTCTGACAAACGATAGATTTTCGTTTGATGACGACGAGCTTTGCAAGTGGCTGCTCGAGCGTGGCGCAGATCCGAACGCACGCTGTGTCCTAGATCTGACCCCACTTTCTGTAGTAGTCCAGGAAGCCTCATTCTCCATGATAGAACTCTTGTTCAAGCATGGAGGATCAATCGAGCATGGCCAGCTGTTGCACTACGCGGTGAGGAGAGAAAAAGCAGACTATCTCAGAGTTCTTGCCTTCGTACTCGCCAAAGGCCCTTCCGTCAACCGGCTTATGTACGAGAATCATCGAGAGTCGTTTGAGCTTCAAAAGCCGTTTGGAGTAGGGACTCCTCTCCACGAGGCTGCTGGTATGGGCAAACTACATGTGGTTGATATGCTTCTCTCTAGAGGCGCTCACCCATGGGTCAAAGATGTGAGGGGCCTGCTTGCCGTTGATCACGCAGTACTCAACAATCAAACTGCGGTAGTTGAACGCCTTCGCAGGCTGGGCTAGGGCCACATTGCTAGCTTATCTCCTATTTCATAAAAATGGATGTAGCTGCCGCTGCCGGCGAAGGACGTTGTGATGCGGCGGCGAGGTCAAGGGCGAGGAGTGCGATTGCGAAGCGTCTGATGCACAGCCAAGGGCTACTCTGCCTCAAACCCAGTAAATGAGAGATGTGCGTAGTGATATATCATAGGTGTGGTGCTTAATCCTAGAGTACGACACTCATGTGCCTCTTTCGAGCCTGGGTACGTACTACCTGCTGGATTGCCTACTAAACAGAAGCTGAGATCAATGTTAAGAATGATTTTAGATAACTCCAGAGTACCTAATGTCTTGAATCATGCCTAAGTAACAGAGATACAGACGAAGTCACTAGTGTTGACATTTCAAATATTTAGCACAGTAACTAAAGAGTTGGGAACGCCGCAATTCTAATGCTGTACAAAAGTGACTATTTAAGAAACTACCTCTATAAACAAGCCTGCTTGGTTGTATCATGAGTTGTATCATATTAGATTTCATCATCAAATGAGTCATGTAAAATACTGTAACTCTTTATGAGTCTGTCGGATCTAGGTAGGTCGTCCAAGCAGGGAAGACTCTGACTACACCTATTTCCTCAAAAACGTCAACGCTGCAAGACAGAGAGCATCGACTCCAACTTTCATCGTTGGTTGTATAACAGGCGCAAACAGGGCCGAGTGGTTCCCGGGTATCTCTTCTGTGGGATTGTCTTCTCTCATAACCGTATCCCAGAGTTCTGCATCGATCCCCCCAATGAACCAGAAGCAGCATGGAATACCTTTGCAAGTGCCCAGCGTAGAAAAGTCTTCGCTAACATTGGTTCTCGGCGTGTCTCTGTCAAAGTCCTCAAAATGCTCTTCGAACGATGCGGCCAACTGAGACGCCACATGTCTGTCATTCAAGGTAGGCGGAAACCGCCGTGTGGGAGTGAAGACCGGCGGCTTCGGCGAGCCACTGGCCATGCATTCGGCCTCCACAATGCGCCGAACAGCAGAGAGAATCTTCTGCCGAGTCTCCAGCTTGACGGTCCGGAAATCAAGCCCGATCTCCGCCCGATCCGCAATGATATTCTCCGTCTGCCCGGCTTGCAGACTCCCCACCGTTACAACCGCCAGGTCGCTCGGGTCAACCTCTCTGCTCACGATGCCCTGCAGTCTCACAACAATATGCGCAGCGAGAAGCGCAGGATCCACCGTCTGATGCGGCAGTGATCCATGGCCCCCGCGGCCATAGACGGTAATCTTCAGACTGTCGGCCGCAGCCATGATCGTACCCGGCCGGGAGCCAACACTTCCAGCACGCAGGCGCATCACATGCTGGCCAAAGACGTAATCGGGAACAGGGACCCTGGAATACAGTCCGTCGTCCACCATCGCCTGCGCGCCGCCGCCTCGTTCTTCGTCCGGCTGGAACAGCACGATCAACGTGCCGCTCCACGCATCCCGGATGTTTGCAAGAGTTTCAGCCGCGGCGAGGAGACACGTCATGTGCATGTCGTGTCCACATGCATGCATCACGGGTTTCTCAACGCCGTCGGCGTCGCGCATCGTGACCGAGCTGGCGTAGGGCAGTCCGGTGAGTTCCTTGACAGGGAGTGCGTCCATGTCAGCCCGCAGAAGCACGGTCTTTCCAGGTCCATTTCGGAGGACTCCTGCGAGCCCGTAGCCGCCGATATTGGTGTGGATCTCATACGCTTCCAGCTGGGACAGGTGGGCTGCGACCTTTCGCGATGTCGATTCTTCTTGTTGCGAGAGTTCGGGATGGGCGTGGAAATACTTGTAGAGATCCTCGTACGGAGTCAGGTCTAGAGAAGCACGCTTCAAAATGTCTGACAGGTTGGGTGCCATCTTCGTGGCTGGCGGCGATGCATGGGGGAAAGGAGAAGCTTCACCTGAGGCCTAAGGCTTGGAGGGGCCGAGGGGCACACGCTTATTTACGAGCCTGTCCAATCCAGGTTAGAGTGGTTTGGTTGGATACGGCCGAGAAACATTTCCTTCGACTCCATTAGCACTACCCATGACGGTGCCAATAAGAAAGGGGAAAGAAAGAAAGGTAATCATGGTAGTCCTCTGGTTATGCGGAGGGAGTGCGTTGATCCTCTTTAGGCAGCATCATTTCTCCCAATGAGTTGAGGCTTGTGGCTTCACTAGTTCAGCCCTAGAAATCAGGATCAAGAATGCCTCTCCCAATACCTCTCCACCTGCCACAGCCATTGCAGAATCTTCACCAATAACCCCTCCCCTAGCAGCTTCACCAACGGCAATGGCAACGGACTCTTAAACGCCCTCCCCAGCCCCTCCCGGATCTGCATCTCCACGACCTTGCGCCAGTCCACATGGTGCGCGAAATGAAACGGGAAGTTGTGGTGACTGAGCGTCTTCACCGTGCAGTCCATCTTTGGCTGGCCGCGGAGTTCGATCTGCGGCTGGCGGATGGCCGGGTGGGAACCGGAGCAGTCGATCTCGAGGCGCAGGATTCCGACTCCTGTGAATTCTCGGATCTGGATTTCGAGGTCGTGGCTTGTCTGCTTGTGTGGGTTGGTATGGTGGTGGACACGTAGGTTGATGAGGGGTTCGTGGGCTGTCTGGTGGAGAGTGAATTCGCCCTCGAGAATCATTGTATCCGAGTCTGGTCGATGGGCAATGTGGACTCGGTTGAAGCGCAAGGGTCGTTCAATGGATGCAAGCGAGTGGAGGACTACTCGCTGCGGTGCCGGCTCCCCTGGTTTACTGACCGTCCTGGACAGGCCGGCGTTGACGTGCTGAACGATCTGCTCGCAGAGAGGCCGTTCGTAGAGGTGCCAGATTCTGTCGAGCAGCTCGTTGATCCAGTGGACGGTTTCGCCCCGGGCGAGGATCCTCTGGGCGTGGTGGCGGCGTGTTTCGTCGCGGATGGCGCGTTGGATGCGTCGAGTGGTGAGTTCGTAGTAGGTTCGACAGATGGATAGGACGAGGAGAAGCCCGATGCAGCCAAAGCGGAGGCGACAGAGAGCCCAGGAGGCAAGACAGCCGACGATGATGATTTTGGATTCGCTGTAGATCTGTTCGATGGTGTCGTAGGTCGTGTTAATGGATTTGCCCATGTTGATTATCCCGTATGAATCATCTTGCTGTATTCATTCTGTCTGTCAAATACGGGCATAATATGGGGTTGATAAGGCTGAGATTGACTGTAGCCTAGAGTGGCAGACTGACCATATGCATTGATTATTGGTTACTGTATCCTAAACCCCCGTCAATGCTTTTTGATTCTATTTGGTAAACTATCCTTGATGATGCTCTGCCCCGCCGACTATTGATCGACATATCATTCCCTGGCTTGTCCTATGGCCTTTTTTCAGGCCCACTTGCCTATCAATGCCATAATTCCAGCTCCCAAGAGTGTACATCCCAGCATGTACAGGATCTGCCCCCGTCTCTTTGTCCGACACGGATCAAACAAAAAGTCTCGCGCAAGCAACTCCACCAACCCACTGTATATCAAGATCCCCGCGGATACAGCGTTTAGCACTCCCTGCACAATCATGGACATCTTCGAGTTTGGGTTATATGATGTGCGTACACCCAGACCGATCGCGATGGAAACTGGTGTGGTCAGTCCGTATGCCAGGCAGAGAGCCCACGGCAGCCAGCGGTGTTTGCCAAAATGGAGCGCCGACATGCGAGCCCCGATGCCCAATCCCTCGAAGGACTGGTGAAAGACCAGAACGGGGTAGAGCGTTGCGAACTCATCGCCCGTCACGCCGAGGTTGAGCCCAATGATGACGGAATGAAAGATGATGCCGAATTCGAGGATCAGGAAGGCGGCGATGTCCTGTCGGAAGGCCCGTTCCGAGATCACGGAGGCTTCTTCTGCGTGAGGGGAGAAATCCTTGCTTCCTGCGGGGGATGAGATTTCCCTCCCATCGAGCCTGTCCGACGACTCAAGCGGACTGGAGCATGCGGGCTGGGTGATGAACGCTGCGGTGGCGTGCGCGTCTCGCTGCACATTGTACTTCCACTCGACGTACACCTCGGCCGCAACGTCCAGCAGGAAGATCAGCACGACGGACGCCAGGACGATCGCCGCGCACCAGGAGTACTCGCCCCAGTAGCCGGACACGCCGATGCATGTCTGGGGTCCGATCATCTGGTAGGCGGGGTCCAGCAGGTGGATGAAGGCCGTAGCCACGATGACCCCGGTGCCAAAGTAACGCGCGAACAGGTACACAGGCTGCGGAATATGCCACTTGGGGAGTCGCTGGGCAACCACCGGGAAGAGGGTAAATGCGGTCGACGTGACAAAGATGACAAAGATGGAGGATATGCGCGCGCCTAGGTGGCCGTTGTATTCATTTTCCGACAACGAGAGGTAGCAGATGACATCCTCCTGGCTGGCAGTGTTGAGGTCAACGTTGGAGGGATCGAAGCTGGACATTGTGGTGGATAGCAATATCTCAGCATGATGCACCCGAAATTCTTCTCCTTTATAGGGGATGCTGGGTACCTTGAGGTCCTACTAATTCATGTCCACCTGCCAAGGTCCTTTCACCAGGTCAATGTGGATCTCTAGGCAGGCACATCTTGTCAGGCTAAGCTTTGTGGAGCGAGCCGAGGAATTGGAGAGCTATCTTACAACTGGTTGGTTCTCATGAGCACAGATGAGTGCAAATGAGAGACAACCATAGGCCGAGGGCATCCGACGAGGACCTTGTTAGATGCGTACCAAAGGATTGACACAGGCATTTCAGGCGTGCACATTCTTAGAATGGTTTCAGCTGAGATTATGGCACAATGCCCAGTATGCCTTCCTGCGGCATGGACGCAAGCAAGGTTGCCTCTATGTCGTGGCTCATGCCGAAGTCGGCCAGCTCGGTGGTGTCTCTGGCGGAGCATCGTTGCCAACTCCCTCCAACTTCGAGTGTAATTCTATCCTCCTCGGTTGGATCAGGAGCCCATCACTCATTCGGATGCTACTCGCAGTGCTTCGGTCGACCTTCCGCAGCCTACATGGCCTCGAGAACAGTCGTCAGACCGACTGCTGTGCCAACTGGTGCAGCTTCAGAGTTCCTGCGCAGCAAGAGCACGGCGCCTCCTGGATTATCTCTGAAACTTTGTTACCATCTGCTGCTCGAATATCCCAGAGAAAGTGTAAAGGAGCAAAGATGGAGGAATGTCATTACTTAGATCCTTCTCAAACGAGCCTATCGGGAAGCTGTACCGTACAGGCTGATCAAATGACCGTCTCACAGTATAGCCTTTGGTGTATCGATCGCACATATCGAACCTCGTAGTTGAATATTGTGATGGCAGTCAAGTCTATCAACAGACTGACCCACTACTGGTGATTGCCGACGATCGCCTTCCCTCAAACGCAGTGGACAGAAGTACGTCTTGCAGCAGAGGTGGAGCACAATCATACGACATCCAGTCAATGGCACTGGACTAACTGATCCTACGGTGACAGCGGCTATGGTGGCAGGGATGTTGGCCACTATTGATGGAGGCAAATATCCAAGCCCCAATCACACTCTTGACCTAAGTATCAAAACAGCTAGATAGAGTCTAAATGATGACAAGTGACAAGTGACACCAAGGATGATTCAAACTAAACGAGGAATTGCGGCGGTCGATCACTGCATGCCTACATCCTCGAGTAATAATACTACTCCTGACTGAGAGGGATGCAGCCTGCCGGTCATCACAGACCACAAATTGATCCATTTTCTTTCTTTCTTTTGCTTCCTTTTCTCATTTCTAGCATGTTGTGCTATTGCTAACTTTATCCATGGCATTATCCAGTGAAAACTAACCATTATTAAATAGTGTGCCTAGAGGGGAAGGCTTCATCATCATACATAGAATCCATCCTACAGTCATCTGCATTGAGGGATGGCTTCAAGACATGTGAAATATGATCCCTTGTGCACCTTCCTACGGTACTTCTGTCTATTGAACCAATGTACGAAGTTGATTTCAAATTGAGAGAGAACTCCCTGAGACCATTGGTAATGGGCCAAGCCTAAGTAAAGTGCGGGATTTGGGCCCCGATTTTAGTGGCTTTGAGAGTGTCCACTGTGGCCCACAATAGCCTTGTCTTGGACGAGTTATCTGCAGTAATTGTATTTGTAAATGTAATACCTGCATGGTCTGGTCCCTTTCCCCGACTGCTACCGCCACCTCTACCAAACTACCACAGTCCCCCTTCTGCAGTCTAAGTGATACTGACAGAAATGAGGATGGATCCCTCGAGTCAGTCAAGCGTTGTCAACTCGTCAATCTAGCCATGAACGATTCTCAGAGCGACCAGCTGAAAACGGGTCTGCCCGCTTCAACGGGGACAGCCAAGGCGGGCACACGAAAGAAGATCCGACCCACCTATTCATGCCTAAATTGTCACAAACGCAAAGTGAAGGTATCGTGTCGTAGCCGCCAGCGTGCAAGGTGAGTTCATCCGAGCTGATCTATCTGTCTTCCTCGTCCAGTGTGACAGAGTGAAGCCATGCGGCGCCTGTTGTCTGCGAGGAACTCCGTCCGAGTGTGAATATGGCACCAGCAAGCGAGACCGCCACTACATCCAGCAGTCGGCTCTGATCGAGAATCTGATGCAGACATGTGAGAACCTGAAGAAGCAACTGGCCGAGGCACGCGCCTTGGCCAATCTTCCGCCCGTCAAAGACGAGGACTCGTTCTCAGCCTTGTCGCCGAACAACCTCGCAGTGGCCCGTTCCGAGAAGACGACCGTGGACGAGGAGGACGGAGAGGAGGAAATCTCCAACCCTCGAGATTCCTCGGACACCAAGAGATCACCCGGCGATTCTGATGAACTGGTCTCTGAAAATCCCGACAGAATTGCCCCGTGGAAACCCTGTATGTTCTGCCAGTTTCCCTTCCGACGACACTGACCATCGCCAGATCAGTCGTTTCGGTCACTCTCGGAGGACAAACGGCTCCTGACGGACCCAGCGCTTGCAAGTTCGCTGGTAGAATTGTTCGTCGAGCGTCTCATTGACAACTTCAGCCCGCAGCCAGCCGCCATCTACGGCGGCACGATTGCTCTCCGCGAGGCATCTGGGATGCGAGTCCTGTCGCCGATTCTATGTACCGCATTCGAGGCTGCATCCTTGACATTTGCCGGCCGAAGTGACCAGATTCGAGAGGTGGAAGCCGTGGGACATACGCGCTACGTTCGGGTTCTCCGGTTACTGCAAAATGCCCTGAACGATCCCAAACAGAGCAAGTCGACGGAAGTCATGGTTGTGGTCTTATTGTTCACCATCATCGAGGTACGTGTATGCCCAGGTCCAGGTAACCCCTACTAAGTGATGCAGGCCTTTAAACAAAGCTCAAAAGACTCCTTGTTGAAGCATCAACTGGGTGGATTGCAATTGCTGCAGTCGCGGACGCCGTACCGACATCGGTATGGAATCGATCGGTCGCTCTACGTCGATCTTCGATTATACTGGGTAACTTGCCCATCCATTTCAGGAGCGTCGTAACTGACTGGCCAGGTGACTGCTGCGCTCGTCCAGCGAAAACCCACCTTCCTGGCAAGCAAGGAGTGGCTGACCGTTCCGTGGCCCGGAGACGCTCCGTCCAAGGATATCCTTCATCGACTGCTGGACATCGCCGTGGATATCCCCGCGTACCTGGGGCAGATCGACGACTTCGCGGCGGCCTTACGGTCCGACACCGCCCCTTCAACCGCGCTCGTCGCGATGCAGTCCGCCATCTGGGACCGCGCCGCGGAACTGCACTCGCGTCTGAACCTGTGGAAGAGCATGTTCGCCGACACATACCCTCGCGGCCGAGCCTGGGAGGAGGAGCCCGAGACCGAGCGCGAAACCGAGACCGACCGCCGCTTCCCGACCTTCAAGTGCCGGAATCCCGCGACGATGGACCTGGTGACGGCCAAGCTGCTGGCGTACCCAGACCTCCTGTCCGCGACGTGCATGACCTACTACTGGGCGCTGCAGCTGATCGTGTCGACGACGGACAGCCGGCTGGCGGGCGGGCTGGGTCTGCAGGAGCGGTACCAGTATGCGTGCAACATCTGCCGCAGCATGAAGTACTACGTTGAGAATATCCCGGGGTGTCTGGTGTCGCGCATCATGTTTGTGCTGCGGACGGCCTTTGATGCCTTTGCCGAGGGGATGGTCGAGAAGCAGTTCGTCACCGATGTGTTCCGGCACATCGCGGACAAGTTTCACTTTACTGTTTTTGCGAATCAGTGCGCGTCGTCCTCGATTAGGAGTTGACAGCCATTGATATTAGTGTCGTGGCTACTTGTCAACCGCCGGTTAGCGTTATGGTGCACTGCACATAATCAATGGAATAGTCATTATTCATCAGTCCTATTTACATGATATGTATTCGTGCGAGCGTATATACAAATACAGAGCAGCTGTCGTGTTTACTCTGCCGTAACGACCTGGTGATTCACGTAGAGCGACGCTCTCCTGATGCTCGTGTCATCACATCAACGACTCAATCTCAATGACGCAGCAAGCACCTCGAGCCGAGTCGGGTCCGTCACGGCGCCAGTCTCGCGGGATCAGATCCAGCGGACCCTGGCCGAGGTTGGCGAGGGGCAGGGGCAGGGGCACTCTTGCGTCCCCAGGCCATCCTCAAGGGACAGTCGACAGCCCATGGCCATCTTCAAATTATAGTCAAGGAAACCAGTGGCATCCTCGTGACTATCCTCACGCCGGCATCTGGATAAACGCCTCCTTGCTGAATTCCATCGAGACGGGGTCATACCCATCCCCGACCCCGTGTGCCTGGCCATAGCCATAGCCATGAGAACCAAACTCCATCGCAGACGCAGATTGAGACACAGACACATCCTCAAAACCAATGGTGAACCCGCCCGTCGGGTCGACAGGCAGCCAATTCGCCGTGAAGCGGGTACTGCCGTCGGGCATTTCCAGGGGTGTTAGCGTGTCCGCCGCCTCGTCGTCGTGGTGACTATTTACCCGCGGAGGAGGATGATGCACGTGGCGCTGGTGGCGCTGGACTGATTGGAAGGAGGGAGGGATGGAGTCGAGCCTATCGGGCAATTTGTAGAAATGGAGCGAGGCGTTGGGGCCGAGTTCGCGGTCCCAGTCTTCGTCGCTTTCTTTGCTTGTTGTGCTGGGGGTGCAGGGGTCCAGCGTTGGGGATGAGAACTGCTGGTTTGACGTAGATGACAATGATGACGAGGACGATGACGAGGACGATGAAGGGGAGGTGGTGCTGGATGGGATGGTCATGAACAGGGCTCGCTCGGTGGCATTGTGGGATGTGGAGCGGAGGAGGGACAGGTCCGTGTCGGGGGTGAGGTCGGGGAATGGAGGTCTGCATCGTCGTTTAGTTCCGTTCAGGAGTCAAGACAGAGTGACAATTCCTGAGACTCACACTGAAATAAAGGCATCTCGAAATTCCATCCCCTGCGCAAACATCGCCATCTCAACTGGCGGTGAATGCGTGTGCATAAACCCTGTCGCCGCCGTCTTTGCCGAAGTTTGTCCGTAAGCCAGGCAATTATCCGAGCTGAGCATCGCAAAGTCGCACTCGCCGTGGCCGTGAGAGGGGAACTCAAAGGCAAGACTCATGGCCTCGTCGGTCTGCAGCTGCGGTTGCAGAGTCGATGCCTGTCCGATGGCGTCGAGGAATTGCCAACTTGTATAGTCGTAGGGGAGGTCGGTCATATTTCTGGCTTTCGCTGGAGTATAGTTCTTAAGCTCACTGTCCAAGTAGAGTCACAGCATCCCAGTGCAGTAGCCGTAGCAGTTGTTATTAGGTGCTCTCTTGTGGTGTATTGTATAGTCTCAAAGCGTCAACATTCAGTATTCAGCAGCAGTGTATACTCGGAAGAGAAAATGAACGGGGACCACGCCCTTAATAAAGCAAGCAATGAATCCGTTGACCCGGTAAAACATCATCGAAGCTAAGGAGTATACTCCGTAGAAATACAAGCATAGACTATGGGGTATGGAGAAGCTCGCGAAATTCCATCCAGGCACAGTCGCATCGGCAGCAAAATTGCCAAACTCGGCAAAATAAATCAAAGCGAGTCGACTCTAGAACACTCAATACTCGACAATCGACAGAATCGACACGGAGCTTCCAAGCTTGACAATTGACAAACCAATAACCATCTTCTTTCTCCTCAGAGGACCGTACGATCGTCACATTGCCATGTGCGTGCAGCTTGCAAGCAACCCCAGGCAGGCTGGAATTAACCGAGCTGCTTTCCCCAGATTTCGAACACGGCCAACGAACGGCTCGAAGGCATAGATCAACCCACGAAGTCTAACAGACCGTCGACCATCTTGTGGCCCGATCGCAGCAATCTGGTCCGCCATTCGGGTCTCGTGCCTGGTCCGGGCCTCGCGCACTAGCATAGCACTAACTGGTCAGCTTCCCCGCATCGGTTATTTGGCCCTTCGGTTGATTGCTAATTATCCGATGAAGATCAACTGCTCGGTCCGGGGGTCTGGGTCTGCGACTCTAGCCGAGTGTCTGGGGTAACCCACCTCATTTGCATATTCAACCGTTGACATGGTCTCAATTTTTCGAGATTGAGTGACCGTGCGGGTATTTACTTCAGCCTGGGACGAGGGAGGACGCAGTGCTGGCGAAAAGATTGTAATGGAGAGTAGGAAAGGACGTCCAAATGTCTATATATACATCATATGTTCAAGTTATACACTGCTATGCATTATGCATGCATCGCAAATTATGGGGCATTGCAGTCTCCGTCCAAAAACCAACCGAGCATATCTACCGCTCATAACTGACTTGACAGTAATCTAGTGGAGCCGCTGTCCCTGCAGATAGCGCAAGATCTGTTCTAAGATATTGAGCCAGTGAAACACGGCCGATCAAACCCTAACGTGACTACGCGAAGTGCGAAGTGCGACCTGCGAACCTAGGGGACGACAGTGGAGTCCGGGAACTCCTGCTAAATTAGAGAGCCAACCCGGTGCCTTTTCTCGTCCACCGGTACAGTGCCAGAACGGCCTTGCGCCGGTGCCGGATCTCGCTGTGGTTCACCGGGCGTCCCCGCGCCTGCGCAACCGCACTTCGCATGACTTGGCGGAAATTTCGCTGGTATTCCGTGTTGAGGGTGACGACGCAGGATTCCGTCGCGCGGATCATCACCTCGCATGCGTTGAGGATGCCCTCCCCCGCCTCTTTTTGGAGCCGCTCCACTATCAGGAGGAGGAGAAAACTGCCTTGCAGTAGCTGGATGCCAAAGAAATAAGGCATGAAGCTGATGTCGGGGTCATATCGTAGAATCTGATTGACCGAGTCGGCCGCATCCAAGGCATGCGAGATGGTAGAGGCAAACGCAGGGGACGATGTCCAAAAGTCCTTGTCCTCAATGAGCGAGACCGGATCCCACTTTCCGACCAGTAGAATGTGCAATACATGCACCAGATAGGATGCGTACGCGATGACCGTCTGCGTATGCCACGAGAAAGCTTGAGAGAGAGAAGGTTCAATAGGATGATCGGGCGTGGAAGGAGGAAAGGTGGTGGAGAGTGGCGCTTCAGGGACTGCCGTGGTCGCTGCAAAAGTGGTGAGGCTCGCCTTGTAACTCTCGAGCTGCCGCAGCACCTCGCTGAGATGCGCGTCCCAACCGTCTTTCCCATGCAGTCGGGATCCAAGCATGGGATGATTTCGTGCCTGGTTGAGGTCGATCAATTCGCCCGTGATGGTCATAAGCGGTAGGAAGAAGCCAAAAATCGAATGATCATGGCAGATAAAGTTAGGGAAAACCCGGCGCTTGTTCTTGTCTCCAGAGATAGGACAATGCGGTCCGTCCGGCTTGGGGCTGTTGCTGTGCACGTTCCCTGCCTGCCACGAGCCCTCGTCCAGCGGTAGCAGCAGGTCCTCACTCTCGGCATCCAGCAATGCCAGCGGTCGATTGTAGCACAGGGCTAGGTGGCGGTCCATAATGTATAGCAGCCACCAGGTTCGGCGACGTTCCTCACGGTGCTCTTCGGTGATAGTGGCATGGGGGTCATGGCTACGGTCGCAAACACAGTTCAAGCTGGGTCGCGCGGGATTCGAGTAATCGAAGAATGCGCCAGTGTCGACGCCACTCCAGCCGGGCAGCGAGTAGTCAAATGCTGGACTCGAGCCTTCTGCCTGGCCTTCCGTGTTGGGTATCACTTCGATTTCCTGGTTGAGTTTCAATTCTCTAGCAAGGGTGAAGGCAGCATGCCACCTGGACTAGTCAGTCTAACTCCTGCCAAAGAAAAGCGAGAGAGAGAGAGAGAGAAAGACAAACCATCGCATACTAGCGGCCTTCTGTTCACTAGAAGAAATTATCGATGCAACATGGATATAGGTAATTACATCATCCAAAGAACCAGCAGGCCCGACTAGACCCCGATCATCGCCGCTCGATTCAAACGGATGGTGCACGGTTGTAGGAGGACAGTCCGGAGCAACCCCAGCGAATGTGGGATCGTTCGCGTTCGAACACGCTTGCTCCTTAAACGACACGTGAATCAACGGTCGGAGCAATCGAATGGTCAAGGCGCACAAAAATTGACAAATTTTCTTGCGTTGAGGCGGCGAAATGGAGAGCGCAAACGCCCGATCGTCCAGTGCAGCGACCCAGAGCATGCTTGCCAGTAGAGCCGGACTACTGGGCCGGGGATTCTCCCGGCTCAGGAATGAGGCCTTGCGGAGGACATAACAATGGATGTGGTGGCACACGGGATGCATATGCGTAGAAAAGGCGCTCGTAAAGTACAACTCGAGAAGGTCAAAAACCAGCCTCCGCGGTAGATTCGCTTCGAGAAACGGCATGAGCGGCTGTAATACGGGGTATTTCAAGGTCATAGACGAAGTACTGGATTTCCGAGCCGCACCTGCAGGCTTGGACCCCTGGACAGTAGGGGCACTGTACCCGGCCAGGTCCACGCCATTCCAGATGTCCAGCACCCGTGGCAGCGGACCGTCCCCCCAACCCACTCCCCCCAATACTTCATATGACTCTGGAGACACATGCGCCGCGGACAGCCACTCCTCCGTCACATTCCCTGTTGGTCGCGGTCTCGGCGCCGGCAAGGAGTGATCCGCTTGGGAGCGTCGGTCGTCTATGCTATGCGCGGAGACGGTCATCTCGTTGGTCGCCGGCGACCGATGCTGGAAGGTCGTGGTCGGCGACGCATGGTTCGGCGCTGGTGTTGGCGCGGCATCTGTTGGCACAGGCGCTGGCACTGGAGGCTGCACATTAGGGGTCTTGGACGGCTTCTCCATCGACCCGCCTCTCGTGACTGCTGCCGTCTGTTTCGACCGTGCAATCCGCCCTCGTTTCCGTCTCTCGCGCGTAAATTCGCAATGGATCTCGCTGCGAAGACAGCGCGAACAGGGGAATGCCCGGTCGCATCGCACGCGGCGCGAATGGCATGAGTCACAGGCGATACGATTTCTCCTCCATCGACGCTTTGCGGTGGTGGACGAATCCTCAACCGTTCCTGCGGTATTTGTGCTAGTAGGCTGTGCGTCCCCCGACTGGGCAGGATCCATTTCAGGCCGACATTGAGTGAGTATGACGAGGGTAGGGATAGGTTTGTCTAATAGGAGGAAGTAAAAAGACAAAGAGTTAGCAGAGGGTCAAATGTCCGCGAGCCAGAAAATTTGTGGAGGTGGTACCGAGGCGCACAGAAGCGTGCGGTGAGAGCTGTCAAAATCGCTCTTGTTAACAGAAGAGATTCATGAGGATATACTCTGGTGATGAGCACGATCCATAGTCTGAGATTCACGATGCGAAGGTTTCGTTGGAGAGAATTGAAGCTGGACAGAAAAGTCAAGACACCGACCCGATCGCGGGGGGAGACGAAGAGAGAGAGCAACTCCGCATCGAATCATCGGCTGACCTTGTTTTTAACTGGGACTCTTGGCAGAGTGGTCGAAAGTGGAGAAATTGTTCATTAGCAACGGCCAGACCATGATCAGTTTTCCATTGAGGACTCCGAAGTGAGAGAATCGGGAAGCGCCAAGTGTCCAATTAGGATGGCTCAGGGGCCAACTATATATAGGCTGACTAAGTCGGGACGCTAAACCTAAACGGGATGGAATCCTGACACCCCCCCTCGGACCGACT